ACCAAATGTATATGTCTGATTTCTATTAAAAGATATGTCATTAGGGCGCCGGAAGCGTAGTGGTAAGTGTTTGCATCCTTTGTACAGAAGCAATAGTCCTCCATGTGGATGGCCTTGGACTCTAATCTGACCTGTTGCTCCTTCCCCACATGTCATTCTACACTCTCTCCTTTCTCCAATTTCTGAATCTATCCACTGACCTATCTCTTAATAAAGGCATAAAAAGCCCAAAAATAAACATTTGAAACAAGTTAATGTTGCTAATAATACCTGGTAATGAAATATTGTTGACAAGAAATACACTTGGTAAGATTTTGAGTTTTTGTAGTAAATCTTTTTCAGGTGAGCCCGGTGAGTACATACCTGCATGCCATGTAAATTCAAATGGCCTGAGATTGTTTTTCAAATTGTCACCCTCGCTGAATGATCTTTTTTATAATATATAGACTGTCCTTCTAGAGGAGGAAATGCCATATGTGTATATGAAACATTCCCAGAAGCTTATACAGAATTATGCATTCATATAATATTTCAGATTTCTTTGGTTAAACAACTTTTTTTGTTTCTGGCTGTTTGACATGTAACTGAACATTGTGGTGCTTATTGCATGTTTTAATGAAAGGTTTCAGGAAAAAGTCTGTCCACTTACTCTCTTGAGACGAGGCGCTCAGGTGTTCGAGTAGATCACATCCAAACACCTTCTCTTTGTGCCCTCCTTTCCTCCGAACTCTCCTCATCTCGTCCTTTGTGCTGTGTTTCACCTCACATTAAGCCCCACCAGAGATTCTCTGCTCGTCACAATCAGACAGACTGTCTCCTGGATGTGTTGACCAACTCGGTTAATGTCCCACTGCCTTCGTAGAAGCGCTGCACATTTCAATTTCACAGATTTGTCAGTGTAGCTGCTGCTGCTGCTGTTTCCTTTGCTTCAGTGCATGATGGTGTGAGTAGGTTGTTTCCTCTGATATGTTACACCTGAAAGTGTCAGGACATTGTTTTTCTTAATGTTCCACCCTGCAAATGCAGAAATACAAAAACTTTTTTCATGCATCACAAACTTTACATTGCAAACAACAGCCTTTCCCATGACTTAAGAGCATATTGCACTGGATCCTCTGTGTGCATATGTGGCTCTCTCCACTTCCCGTTGATGCTCACATTTTATTGTCGAATGAAAGGCCACACCCTTGCCTCTGTACTTCTCTAGTGCATGATGGTGTGAGTAGGTTGTTTCCTCTGATATGTTACACCTGAAAGTGTCAGGACATTGTTTTTCTTAATGTTCCACCCTGCAAATGCAGAAATACAAAAACTTTTTTCATGCATCACAAACTTCACATTGCAAACAACAGCCTTTCCCATGACTTAAGAGCATATTGCACTGGATCCTCTGTGTGCATATGTGGCTCTCTCCACTTCCCGTTGATGCTCACATTTTATTGTCGAATGAAAGGCCACACCCTTGCCTCTGTACTTCTCTTATTCAGTGAAGTGTGCCGCTGAAATGTTCACACCGATCACACCATTACCTCTCTAAGTTGGAGAACCAACTTTAACCTTCAATCAAATCTCAAAGTTGATAAACTCTGTTCATGTCAGATCTGATCTGTCCCGCCTGCCCTCATGTCAAGGCCATTGTGGCCCCTTTTTTCACTGCAGCGGAAGTAGACTCTTAAAGCCTTGAACATACAGACTCCTGCTGACATTCAAACTCGCTCCCCACCCTCTTCATCCTCCTGACACCTGCCATCGCTCTGCTTCTGTCCATCATCCCTCACTATCTGTCCACCTTTAGAAAAGAGTTTCAGTGTAGAACGATGAGAAAATAAAAACAAGTTAAAAAGTGAATATGAGTGTTCCTACCTTCAATCGGCAACGGCACACAAGTAGCAGCATAAAACGATGACGCAAGAAACCACCAAACTTCCCCTGTTCACTTCCTGCATGTCTCTCCATGTCGTGTGCTTTCTCTGCGTACGTTGCCTTGCAGTTTCTGCCTGTGCTGCTAGAGTAGGGAAATCAGTTGAGTGTATCAGTACAGTGCATCTATCTAACTTGTATGCAGCGTGTTTGCATCTGTGATTGAGCTCTGGGTGCATGCAGGCATGAAATAAAGAAATGGCCAGTAAATGTACCGATTGGACCAATTTGCCTAGTTTTCTTTGACTGTGTTGGATGTTTATCAATGCTGCACACCTTTAAATATTACTACAAAACCAAAGCACCACACATGTGTTAAGTAAGAGCTGCAGAAGGAGCAAACTGCACTAAAAGCTTAGAAAGTACTGTATACTCCACAAAATGTCACAAAGACCCAGATATCATTCCACAACAGGAACTAAAACTCTCACAAAGGAGCACAGATTACCAAACATAGTCCAAATATTTGTCACATAACCACAGAGATAACAACCAGGGTAGCTCAAAGTACAGAGAGTTTCCACATTGATGCTGAGGAACACATAAAATATGAAATATCATAAAATCCTTTAAAATTAATCGAATGTAAAGTTCAAACTCCAACTAATGATTTCAAGTTATCACAGAATACTTGAACTGAAAGTATAGTAGGCTACCTTCAAACAAGCAATAGTATAAAGGCTTTTTAATGCCCCCTGGTAGTTTATTGTTACTACCGGTATGTAGGCTATGTTTGGAATATCAATACTAATGCAGAGCTTCAAAATGCTAAAATGCTCATATGTTCAGGGGTCGCAAGTAAATGAAAAAACAAATGCCAGTCAAATCTGGTGGAGTAGAAAAGTGGTTTCTAAAATGTAGATACAGTAGGCCTACATCATTGATTCAATGCTGTTCTTTTTATTTGCATACACTCCCTATTTGATTCCGTAGGCCTACTTTGAATTATATTATTCTGTCTAACAAAGTTAGGGTTTTGGTCCAAATACTCCAGAGGGTAAGTTTACCTTTAGTGTCTTTTGTCACAACAGATTTTCACTGATGCATACATTATTTTAAACGAGTCAGTGAGAATTCCTTGCAACATATAATCCCTAATAAGGGTCAGGCTACTACAAAGAGACAACATGAGATGCACTGGGTGTCTATTTTTTCTCTTACACACAAAACCATATCTTATGATTGTCATTATGATTAGGATTGCAATCCGGAATATGCTATGCGAACACAAGAACGATAAAGAAACATTGGTATTGTTGAATTTTTGGCTATTTTGAATTGATATATAGAATTGAATAGAATAGAATTACTTTATTGATCCCAAACTGGAGAAATTGTGGCGTTACAGCAGCAGGTTATCCAAACACACAATGAGTAAAAAAACACAATGTCAGCAAATCTAAACATAATATAAGATTAAATACAAAGTAAATAAGTACTAAAAAATATCAAAACTGAGAATGGGAATATATACAACCAGGATTTAATTTAGCATTACTAGTCTTAATATATGAAAGATTAAATGTAAATGTGCAAAAACAGAGTTGTAAATGGACAGTATTGACATAGGGAGCTGTGCAATCAGTGATACTATAAGTTAAAGTGCAGGACTGTAGACATGTTATCAGCAGAAACTATTCAATATAACAGCGAGTAGACAACAGATGAAGTGAACATGAGTGAATATGAGCTTTAAGGCCATGTGTGTATGGAGCAGAGTTTAACCTACTGATTGAGCGGTCTTCACATTTCTTAATTAAACTTCCCCCCCTAAAAAAATATAATAAATAGGCTACACATTCTAGCCTGCAGGGGGCAGCATTGCACTTTCAAGTGTACAGCCTGCCGGCATTCCATTAAAAGAAGAAGAAAAAAACACATTTAGGAACAGTTTTAACTCATTGTTGTTGAATGATTACAAGAAAAACCAAACATGTTGTTCTTGAAGCAACTTTCGACATATTTTAAGTCATCTGGTTTCATCTTGCCGCCGGGATAACAGTGCGCATGTAATCGCGTGTTTACGGTAAAACAGTAGCCGAAGAGTGACGCTACCATGGTAACCTCGTTTTGTATTCAAGTACACTCCAATGGGGCGGGAATAGCGGTACTGTTACAACAGAATGGGCGTTAAAAAAATAGTTCACATTAGTATTACAAAGTGTATATACTTGATATAGAAGAAGACGTTATAATGGTTTGTATTTTTAATAAAGTGGCCAAAGCTGAGACAAAGTGACACCGCCCGTGTGGACCGCGATGTGATGATAAGCAAGCGACCCTCAAAAACAAGCGTTCACGGAAGAACCCTTCGGCTCAACAGAAATGGTGACAACAACACTTTGATCAGCAATTTGTAATCATTCCCCTTTTTTAGAGTTAGCAAAGCCAGCACAGGAGAATATATTGATCTGTGTTTGAATCAGAAAGTGTAAAGAGATGGAGAACAGCAGCTTCCACAGCCAGCTCCTGTCCGTCATGGACGTCGTGGCTCGGGCGGCCGTGGCTGAGATAAACCGGCGTGTGGATGATAGCTGCGCGGTGCTCCGGCTGGAGGTGAGCCAGAGCCGCAGGGACATCGAGCTGCTGCGGAGGAAGTGTGAGGGGATGGAGGCCGAGCTGAGGAGGACCAGGATCAGAGCCAGGAGGAGAGGTGAGGAAGAGGAGGGGGAGGGGGGGTGATGATGATGATGAGTAAAAATTCATATACTGCAAGACAATCAATTAAAGGTACATCACATTATCTAGTGAGCTGAAGAGTACAAAATGCCCCTAATAAAGACAGAGTACAATAATTATTCATCTGTTCACAATGATTTTATGTCACCTCCTATGTTTCATCTGTTAACTTCTTTTCAAAACTGTAATAATAATAATAATAATAATATATATATATTTTTTTTTTGGGACCTAGGCATTAGGATTTTCATTTCTGGGATTGGGGCTGTCTGTCAATGGTTAATGTTGTGCCACGTGTTTTTTTTTTTCTCTTCCTTTTCAGTGTTTTATCCTCCAGCAGCAGACAGATTCTCTCCTTTAGTCAGAGTAGATCTGACCAAAGAGACACAGACGGCAGCTTGGGAGAGACAGATGGAGGCTGAGGTTCAAACTCAACCGAAGCAGGTATGAAAATGACTAAATATTACATTTGGTGTATGTTGTTTGCCTTTAATGCTTCGATTGATCATCTAAGTCCATCAAAGTCCCGGGAAAAAAAACACTAATGGCCAAATTTAATTCCTTTAAGTTGCTTGTTTTGCAACAAATTCCACTGGAATCAACATAAGTTTTATATTTAACTTGGTAAACATCTTCTCTGATCTTAGGAATCAAAAGTGTGCAAAATATGAGGGGAATTTATTAGGTTAAACAAATGTCTACTTCAAAAGTAAAGGGCATTATATGCATGCTTTTTCATCATACTGTGGGTTCTTGTGATTGGCTTTCAATCATTCAAATGATTATTTGGTCCATACATTGCCTGTAAAATCAGTAAAAGGGCCAAAAGGCGTGTCTTTAAGTTGCTTTTTTTTCTGACCAACAAACCAAAAACCCCTATTCAGTTCACAATGATATTCAACAGAGAAAACATATTCTAAATGGCATCATATTTATGCTTATTATACCTCTGTTAATTTTACTTCATTCTTATTATGTGAACATTTTACTTCCATAAATACTATATCTGGCTGTTGTGCTTAAACCAAACATGAGCATGTATTTGTTTTTGACTCCATACTGTGGGAGTAATGTAGTAACGTTGATCATGCTGTTGCAGTGTGCAGACGTGGAGCTTGGTTCTGAAGCAGAGCACATACTGATCAAAGTGGAGTGTGCAGAGGAGGAGATGTGGAAGAACCACTCAGAGGACAAAATCAGTGAGTTCATTCAGAAAACACAGGCTGTATCCCCCGTAAAAATCCCCCCCATTACACCCTTTTATAGTTTGACATTTTGTTGTGTTTTCTGAATGTGGAAAGTATTATTTCATTTTAGAGATCCTGTGGGGAGGCTTATCTGGTTAAGAAACACACTGAAGTAAATACTGTTGCCTCTCTATGACTTGCCAAAGAAAGCCAGACCATTATTATTAGTGTCTTATTTTTAATGTCATGTCAATGTAGCCAGGAACTGTAGGTGTCAGACAAAGCTGAAAGAGCCTTTGTTTACGTTTTCCACAGCACAGTTTTGCAGTGATTGATTGGTTTGGTGTGTTTGATTGTTAAAAGACATAATGATGAAAAACACTTAACACACATGTACAGGAAAAGATCAGCCAAGGAAGAAGAGGTTAAAGAAAGGATACAAGATGAAAGTTCGTCAGTTACTTCAAAATTATTATTTAAAAAAATAATTATGTGAGAAGAAACAGCCTGATTAAAATTAGGTTAATAACATACCATTATTTTAGTGAGCTAACAAGTCCCTTATAGTTGTGGTTTGACAGGGTTTTCCTTTTTTTCTAATTTACCACAAGAAATCTTGGTATTATCTAAAAATATAACCAGAAGATTATATTCAAATCTTGTGCTGCTGTGCTACTTAAACATCTGTTAGCTACATTGCTCTTTGGTAACAACATCATATATTGAAATATGTGAGAGAAGAGATTTGTTAGAATGCAGAATGAAAACTTTGACTTGAAGATGATGTGTGGTTCCTCCCCTTGTATTAGAATCTGAAGCAGAGCAGCCTCAATGTTTAGAAGCCTCCCAACCTGCCGAAACGGACCACTTTGTGGAGTCTCACAACTCTGCAGAGAACTCAGCCGACCCTGGATCTCTGATGTCCCCGACAGGTGGCTACAACACCTTCCGAGATCAGCAGCTAAATTTGAATCAAAGTGAGGCAGAGCTCCTGGTGAAACCCGAGAGAGAGGAAGAGCTGAATGAGAACGCAGGAAACGCGGGAAATTTTGCGACAGGTGACGGTAACGGAGAGCTGTGGACTTCAGATCAGTGGACTGATGCTGCTGGTCCAAGCACTCTGTATGCTGGGCAACAGTTTCCCTCTGTTTTCCCGTCTCAAAGTGGGTTACATTTGGAGGACATGGAGTCTCAAATTCAATTAGAGAAATCACATTCAGTTGTTGAGAGCGCAGCAAGAGGTAAAAGAGGGGCCAGAACGTTTGGATTTAAGAGACCCCTACAGCATGAGGGAAATAATACTTCATCTCAGTTCAACACAATGGATCATTCCTTAATCTCTCAACAGTCACAGCATCCATACAGACACTCTTTGCCTCACACGGGGCACCAACGAGTGGATATGACATCGCAAATCCAAGCTTCCACCTCTTCTTATGGGCAAGGTCGTACAAGTTTGGTCCTGACCAGGAGGATAAGGAAGCCCTGGAGGCCCGTCGTCAAGGAGAAGAAATTCAGCTGCACGTTCTGTGCCAAATCGTTCCATAAATGCTGTCAGCTCAAAGAGCATCTGAGGAGTCACACAGGGGAGAGACCGTTCAGCTGTGAGCTCTGCGGCAGGAGTTTCGCCAAACAGTGCAACCTCATCAGACACGCAGTGGTCCACAGTGGGGAGAGACCACACGAGTGCTCAGTGTGCGGGAAGTGCTTCACCCAGCGCTCCACCCTCAAGTCCCATCAGAAAACAGCACACTGAGACCACAGGGTTTTATTTTATATATCAGATTCCTGAAGTAATCAATGTGGCCTTTTGTTTTATTTATATAAAAGAATATTGTGCATTTCCCACAGAATTAAGCTGTACAGTGGATGTACAGTATGGCCTCACCCTATTTATATCAGGTTATGTTACAAATTAATATTAGGTTCCTATTCATATTAATGGGGCTTTTAGGGGTGCCGGTGGCCTAGTAGTTAGATTAAGTGCCCCATGCACGGAGGCTTTACATGGACGGCCCGAAGCAGGCGACCCGGTTCAAATCTGACTTGTGGCTCCTTTCCATCATGTTATGTAAAACTTTAACATCGGTATCATTGCCAGACATTTCAAGACATCAATCAGACATTCAATTTTCAGGTCATAACTTGAGTTGTACATTCAGGGGGTCTTGATATAGTGTTTCATAATTTGTATGTTAGTCAGAGACAGTGCAAGGGAGGTAAAAGTAATTTAAAGCTGTTAGAATGAGAGGCGCAATCCACCAGGCAACTTATTTATCTTGTCAAAATTTTTTTTCCATTTTGACCATTTTGCATTTTACAAGTCCTTAATCAGTCGCAATAAGAAAGTCAATCTTTCCATCTTGTGATTCTCTATAATGATTTTGAGTCAGTTATCTACTGTGGGTGGATGAGTCTGTAACCATTTACGGGCGATGGCTTCTTTTGCTGCTACTTTAACTATTTTCAGAAGGTATCTGTCACTTCCTGTTATTTGGTCAGGCAGATCACACAAATAAAGTGATATGAAAGTTAATGGGAACCTTTGTCCAAAAATCTTCTTCATGATTTTCCCAAAACAGTCATACTGTATCTTTGGGCAAGTCCAGAATATGTGGTGGTGATTTGCCTCATCACTCCTGCAGTCAAAGTATCTTTGCCATTTAGCAGTAATAAAATGAGAACATGATTTTTCCAGCCAGAGTCAAGGCAATACATAGAACAGGATGTAGAAAAGATGGTTTCACACGTTTTCCCACTGTTGACAGTTTATTTTATCATTTAGTTTTAGCATCTTTCCTTGTTATAAACTGCGGAGGTTCCTCTACCCTTTATAAACCCTTTGTAAAGTTTTAAAATTATCGATTTAGTACTACCACTATATGCCTTGATGAATTATTGTATTATATAATTAAGTTCCATATTTGCCTCATTTTGGAAACTTCTTTAAGAGATGTTGTCGTATCTAAAATCTGACTTTTCATCTCAAGTTATATTTTTCTCTTACAGTTTGGAAGCTTTGTAACTTGTTTTTCTCCATGATTTTGCAGTAAGCAGTGATACCTCTATTTGTCCAATACTTAAATCTAAAATAAATACAACTAGTTTAAATTCTATCATGTCACCCATGTCAGTTGTTTTAGTTGGATCCACAGGTCTAATTGTTTATGTAATATGACGAATGCAGAGTCTTTTTTTGTTTGTTTGCTTAGTACTGTTGTACTCAACAGTACATAATTTTTCCACCTTTAAAACAGTAGTTTCAAGGGTCAATCTAACAGGAAAATGACTTTCAACAGTGAGAATAGCGTATCCCTACAGTGCATCCCGGTTGCCTGCTATTGGCACATTGTAACTTTGGCAGCAGTCATCTCATGAGAAGTCCGTACAGCTTTACGGCACTAGTTCCCAGCAGCCTTCAGCCATCTCTCTGTCCTGTGTAATGCAATGGCTGAGGCTAAGAGAGGGAAAAGGACGGTGACAGATGAAACTAAGAAGAGAAAAAGTGACAGAGCAAGAAGCCAGACTACAGGAAATATTGGACAGGCTTACGTGTTGGCTTGAGCTAACAGAACGTTTTAAGGTTGCATGGGTGCAAACACGTTATGCTACTGCTCAGGCAGTTGGTATTATGGTTAGGCTGTGTCGTTATCTGTGTCATCTTACTCTTATTACTGGATGCAGAAAGTCATCTAATCCAAGTTATGTCTCAGACTTGAATACAAATAAATAAATCCATCTTACATAAGAAAGTTGTCTTTTTTCTTGTTGATCTTCAAACTAGCAGCAATATGGGGTTAATAACTCTCAACTAGCTAAATAAATGACCCTCTCCAATGTAGCCATTTAGCTACATCACAAGCATCCTGGCAACAGATGAACTCACGTCCTGCATATAACAAACAGTTAGCAAACAACGGGTTGAAGACGCTAGCAGGGTCATATTCGTACAGAATCTGGTAATATTACTGTACCTTATCAGTAGACATGGTTCTTTGGCTTATCACATCTTTTCCCCCTGCTTGTCAACAAATCACGAGGGGTAGGCAACGGCACTGTGTGTGTTTCACAGCAGTGCAGTTGTATTTAAAGTCCTTTATTTGGCACCAAAATGAATTCCTATATAATGTTGCTTTAAATATTGTTTCTAAATACATTTTGAAAAGAAACAACAGTGTAATATTAGGTTCTACTTGAACCAGGGCCCGGCTGGTATGGGATTTTTGGGGCCGATAACGATATTAGAATGAGAAAAAATCAGATACCGATATATCAGCCAATAACTTTCTTAGATCTATCTTCGATCTGTAGAGAATGGTAGATAAAAATATACATATTTAATGCGTTGGTCCCTCAAATGCAGTTATCAATCACTTGTAGAAAATAAATATAATGAAGACAAGATGGTCAGAGTGATGATGCTCGTTGTAATCCATATAGCGCACTCTGCTGGTGACAGCCAGAAAGTGAATACATCTAGTAATATCGACACATATATGCAATAAAATCTAGATTTATCTTAAAGCCCAGGCTGTATGAGATTTTCTGAATTTTAAGAAAAAAAAGACAAACACGGAGTAAGTTTTTCACAAGACAGCTTTGTTATGCAATCGGAAAGAAATCATTTAAACACGTTTTCATCAGGAAAGGTAAAACACAAACGTTAAACACAAATATACAAATGTAAGACATTAAAAATGTTTTCTCATAAATATCAAATTAGATCCTTTTTACTGTAAAACAGTGTCTGCATTGGTTGCATAGAAAAGTAGTGGAAAGAAATCTAAAGGAGATCCATGAAAAAGTGCATTTTAGTTCCATTTGAAGACGTCAGCAGAACGTAACAAGAGCAAGTGCTGAGGCGGAGGCAAACATGGTTCATCATACCAGAAAATATCAATCTTAATGTCATAACAGTCATTATGTGTGACAGAACATGTACAGGAAGTCTGAAACATCTGATGTTAGAAATCTTTCAATGACACTCAATGATGAAAGAAAGAGAAACACCATTACCCCCCATTAGGTACACATCTAACCTCTTCCATGTGAAACGTGACAGAAACATTACATTGGGACAGAAAGTCTAATTCAGATGTTCACTGGAGTGTGTTTGTAAAAGCCTGGGGTGGTTAAAAAATCTCAGAACGTCACTTTAAAGTTGCAATCTTAAGACATCGGTTTCTTTATCTTTTGCGCCCCCTGTGGCGATAATTTGCAATTACAATTGATTTTGGACGTAGACTACTGTAGCTGCTTACTCAATAAAACTTGGACAAAAATAGTTTGCTGCTTATCGGACAAGAACATTTAGCAATTCTGTCTCTGGCCCGATCACTGCAGGGTGATAAAAACGAAAGTCACTAAACTTTGACCAGCTTGTGATTTTTTTTTCATAGAAATGTCGCCACCAACCACCGGTCTACAAAACTGCAAATAACACGTAAGCTTCCGACAGGAGGGAAAATAATATCTACGACTATCTTATAAAGGGAAATTAAAGAACATTTTACTCCACAGTTATATTTTGTTAGATCGTTGGTTGACGGCCTGCCAGAACAACCCCACCCCCCCCTCCCCACCGGATTGTTGATGGACGGTCTGCCTCCCCTCACCCCCTTGCTCCCTATCCCTCTTCCTGCATCTTATCCCATCTCTCCCCCTATCCCTTTCCAAGCCCGGCGCAGTCTAGTCCTGTGAAGGCTGTTTCGTCATGAGCCGGGATCCGAGTTTTTTCTTACCACTGTAACTTTTGCTGCTTTGCTAAAGTGTTCATGATGGATAGGCCGGATCTTTGTAATATAGCAATAAGTAAGGTCTTTTACCTGCTCTTTTGTAATGTTAACAGACAAAGAGTAAGGTCTTTTACCTGCTTTTTGTAACATAACAATGAGTAAGGTCTTTTTACCTGCTCTTTTGTAATGTTAACAGAAAAAGAGTAAGGTATTTTACCTGCTTTTTGTAAAGTGTCTTGAGATAACACTTGTTATGAGTTGACGCTATACAAAATAAATTTAAATTGAATTGAAAAATTATATTTATTTTTTGCTGGTAACTTCTGATTGACATCAGGCATGACGAGCTTGGGCTCATTCAAGATTAATCATCCAACTCTTTCCTTTTAGCTTGTGAAGGTCACCAGTTTACTGTTTATCTAACTTGACTGAAAGTATTGCTCATGAAAATAGAAAATGAGGGGGTTTTGTCTTCCGTTCACACATGAAAGCTAGACTGCAGCTTTCAAACAACAGTCCCAGTGTTACAAAGTGTCATGTGGAATATAAAATATGAATTTATTTCAGGAGATTTTCTTGAGAGAATTGGTTCGATACATTCTGGAGGCTTTAAAGGCTTTCTTACCCTTCTTGTGATGATAAACAATAGCAAAACGTTTTGCTAACATGCGACAAATCACATCCAGTTCCAAGGGTTAAGGGCTGAATCCTTGAGTGTACAGAAGAGAGACATAGATACCGAATTTCCCCCTGGGATTTATGAAGTATTTCTGATTCTGCTACTTGATTGATCCTGAGGAAAGTTCAAATGTGTAGTGTCACGGGGGGAGGTTTATGAAACAGAACTGGTGTTATTCTGTTGTTCAAAGGTGGCATAGTCCTGCTATAAATTGTTATAAAGCTGTACCTCATCAAAGGGAAAGAAACGAGTGTTGCTTCAATTTGGAAAGAGTCCGTGAGAAGAGACCGTTGTAGAAACATGATGCGTTCAAGGAAATTCAGACTTCTGACGTTTGAAGGTCAGTATGAAATGCAAAAATGACATCCCAAGACAAATGCAATGCAACCTTCAGGAGAGAAGGAGATTAAATGTAACGGACTCAAGGCAACCCTATATTAAAGTCATCATCAGGTAGATTTCCCTTGACATATATATAAAACTGCAGCTCTAATTCAGGGTTGCGGGGATTGGTTTGTCTTCTGATTTGTCTCATTAACGTTTTCCAGGCACTCAGTTATTATTATTAAACACCTCTCATTTTCTCATATGGACGTCTCAGCACTGTCTTATTCATCCCAAAAATATTAGATGCTTTTGATTTAGTATAAACACTTTTTTTTCCTAAGAAAGACCACAAGGAGGAAGTATGAAAACACAAGGGTTGATTTTAAACACTCACATACACAACACAAGGGATCCTCGATACCCCTCATCGTAGACAAGCGGCCTAATGTAAGAAACGTTTCCAGAAAAATAATCTACATCATCACAATATTAAATATAAACATCCTTTTCAAAATATAATCTCTATGCAGAGTGTCCTGTGTGTGGATAGAAGCTCTGTTCTGTGTGCTTGAACCTGTGTGATCATATCTCGTTGGTGTGCTTGATTTATTCATCCACATGTGATGCACTCACTTGAAAGGTAAAAATCAAGTGTCCTTTTTGACATTTTTGAAACGCATCCAGTCTGTCAGTCTACTTTTTAAAAACTAGATCCCGTTGCCTCTATCTTCATCCTTTAAGGGGTTAAAACGTCCTCGTCTCCTGTGTCAAAATCCACCACCTCCTCCCTGTCACCAGAGAGTGTGCGCGTGTGTGGGGATTTACATTTGTGTTACACCGAGCCGGTCTCTGTTCCCCCTCGCTCGTGCCTCCTCCTCCTCCAGGCTGTAGGAGCAGTCCATGGCCTCCCCACCCTCTCTCTCACCGCTGGGGACCATCGGAGACCAGCTCTCCCCAAACTCGTCCTCCCCGTTTCCCACCTTCCTCCCCTCCGCCTCTCCGTCCTCCTCCCCTCCTCTCTGCCTGCAGTAAGGTGGGATCTCGACTACGACGTATTTCTTTACCCAGCTGCTCAGGGCCGCCTTCAGACGGTCATTTCCCATCAGGCTTGTGTCGGACCGAGAGTTAAAAGCTGAGGGGGAGAAAAGAGGAAACGGATATTTAGAAGGGAGGGAAGCAAAAACATACAGTTCACAATAGATACTTTTACTATCAGTGAGCAGACAAGTACAGACTCTCTGTCTGCAGAATCAGAAGGCGTTCATCTTCCACAAGAATGCTCTTAAACCCCATGTCATCCACATATCAAGGATGAACACAAGACACATGATCCTCACCTCCAACCTTTAACTTAACTCACAGTTTTTTGTTAACGAGTAGCAGAGCTGTTTTTAACCCAATCTGCTCCTTTCGTTGAAGGTGTTTACAGAAAGGTCACTGTCACACATCTGCAAATGCAAGCTGTGAAAGAAGGCAGCGCACACACTGATCAGTTTGGCTGTTTTTCAAAGGTAAGTCAGAGGTCTTCTTCAGGTGATGATTGTTCTTCACCTGAAGAAGTCCTCTGGTCGAAACGTTGTGATTAATAAAAACATATTTTGTGAGGTTTTTGAGCAGGCCTATCTTCTTCTTCAGTTTACTGTTTTTTGCACTGCTCTGCACCTACGGGATGTGCGTATAACTACCTCCTTTTTCTGTTTTCCAAAGGTAACCATCAGAGCTGGGCACATAGCCCGTTAATCCGGTAATCATCTATTATCGTCTTTTTTTTTTTAAATGGTCTTATTACAGTAATTTTTTAAGTGAACTTTAATTTGACAAACGATTATTGATTATTACTTTAACTTCTGGTAAATTTGGTTTCCATTGATTTTTCCATTTTTCACCACTATGTGGCGACGGTGCGACAATGCATGGCAGGAGCTGGTGAAACAATGAACGCGTACTGGAATTACCCAGTCGATTTGTTTACCAGAGAAAGAAGAAGGATCCAAACCTCGCTCTTACATGGTCATATGGATCACAGACAACATGAGCAAGAGCAAACCACCTCCTGATCTTCAGAGAGCTTATTGAACAAAGATCCATGATGCCCGTCTTCACCCCAGGCACTTTTATAATTTTTATATTCATGTCTATCAAAAAAAAATTCAAAAATTATAATGGACTAATGTGAAAAATGTTAACCTCTCTACAAGTGTTACTTTTTAAAGAAATCATCTTTTATAAATAATCCATGCTTTAACCCTCCTATGAAGATGACCAAAGGCATCGTTCTCCTCTGAAAGCTCACCTGGCAGCGTCGTGGAGAGCTGGCTGGAGTTACAGGTCGCAGAACCGTTGTTATTGTAGGTGACGGCAGCAGCCTGGTTGAAAACCTCAGAGCGGGGCAGCTGAGGGGACACCGGTAAGGAGTGACATTGTCTTCCGGGCAGCTGCTGCCAGTAGTAAGACGCCCCCTGCTGTGGTCCTCCGGGTACCCCGTGAGAAGACGGCTGGTTACTGAAGACGCTCCCTGGAGGAGAGTGGAGGTCGAACACCAGCGAGAAGACCGACTTGCTTGGAACATCGAAGAACTTGATCTTCCCCCCGCACAGGTCCTCTCGGGCGGTGAACGGGTTGATCTTGTGGGCTTTGGAGGCTCGCTGAGCGATGGGAGGGTTGTAGTACGGGTCCTGGACGTTGACTTTTCTTCCTGGTTTGCAGGAGAAGATGTCTGATTGGCTGCGGCTGAGCCAGATGTTTCGTCGTGGGCGGGGGGATTTCTGAGGGATTTTATCATCCTGGAAACCGAGAGGGTTCAGCCGTTTGAAGCCCTTCTCACCTTCAACAAAGAGACACAGACAACTTAATGCACAATACTTACATCAAAGTGAATCTGAAGTCTACAAATAATATATCACATTTTTTTATTATACTGTCATAACTTGTTATAAGTGCCCTGATGGAAAAAAAAACACAATTTAATGTCCCCACTAGGTGGCACTAGAGGCTCAATCCTGTTTACTTCAAACTTCACCAATGGCACTGGATGAGTTTTATGATATGAAAATGTTCTCCAAGGTGTGACTGTATCTTAATATTCTCCTTAACTTTCATCAGTGCAGCAGTAAAAGGCGATACATGTAAACAAACTACACTTCCCAACCTCTCAAATGTCAAAAGGACTTTTCTCACGTATCTCACGTATGCCAAGAAATGTCTGACCGACGTGCTTGTGTTACTCACAAGGACCAAAAAAAGCAACTCTATTCAAATACTTGGATTCAAACTTGTTGTGCAACAGAAATATTTCTGGTTCGCAGGAAGGGTTGATATTATCAGGTTAAGAAGAGAGAGAGACAGCTGGAGGAGGGGGGGGGGAGGAGGAGAGGGAGGGGGCCGTTTTCTAACAGCTGACAGAAAAGGTGAAGTTTTCCAAAAAATAGAGATAAATCTACTATCAACACACGTGGACTGTGTTTTAAAAAAAACCTTGCAATCATTTATCTAGCTCTACATTACAACACTAAGATGTAAGCAGCTTCATTTGTCTCTCCTGCCTCTTGTTTCATGATGCGCTCACTTTCTTTTTTATCCATATTCTGCAGGGTTGAGAGGAAGAAACCTTTTGCCTCCTCTAAACTAAATCATTACCGCCTCCTGACTCCATGCCGGTGACCCAGCAGGCAGCTGGACGCTCGACCAAATTAGAAGCGAGACCCGGGCCCTGCATGGATCAAGTGTCTCATAAACCGCCTTCTTTTCCTCTTAAGTCACGGTGAAGTTTATACAATTACGCACAACAAAGAGCTCTTTGAAGTGTGGCACTGATAACTCAGATAATTGTTTGATCATATTTTTTTACTCTTCTTCTCCAGATATGATCCTTTAGTGAAGTTACTGACGTGCATGAAAAGGGCCGCCGCAGATCAGACGTCAGAGCGGAGATAGGGATGTTACTCTCCTGACAAACTAATTGATTTAAGCCGTTTTCACATATGAACTCCTGAAAATATCTAGATCAGTTCAGGAGGACTTCTCTGGAGATTCTCCTGACCTGGCTGTTCACATTATGCTCCTCACAGCGGGAGACTAACCCTGTCAGACAGGAGGAGGGGCGTGATGTAAAAAGAACGACGCAGAAGTAACAGAGGAAGCAACAGAGTATGCTATATCATGCTATAATGAGAATATTTGCCTTTATATCAATGCTACTTGTAGTTCAACAGAATGACAACATCAACAAAAGAGCAGAAAACAACAAATTGATGAACAGGAAACATATTGCAGCCGTTTAACTAAGTGCACGGAGGTCGTAGTGATTGCGTGTAGACACTCTATGCAACGTGCAGCAGTCACAGAATATAAATGTAATTCCCCCCTCCCTCTCGCTCGAGGTGAATTCTCCGGAGAACATCCTGCTGCGTTCTCACATCAGCTCCCTGGAAATAATAGTAGGGGTCTGGCAGGAGAAACTCTGGTGAGGTCCGAGTGAAAAATGTGTCTGTTTGCGTTCACACACTCAGCTCCTCCTCGAGTTTTCCAGGAGTTTTCTGCAAGTGTGAAAGCCCTATAATAAAGGAACTGAAGTAATAATCTGGCTAAGACACACATGTTTGTGTGTTTACGAGAGGACAGTGAAAACATACAGTGGACAAACATGAAATCTGAACTGTGCTTTGTAAGAAGAACTTGTGTCAGGAGAAGAGGGAAGTTTCAGTCAGGCTCGACAAAGCTAATGAGGATCCAAAGAGAGACATTTACAGACTGACTGGTTTGCAGATCAGAGTACAAAGAACCTGTTTTCATTTTTAAACAGGTAGTTAATATGTTTCTGCATTTATTGGAGCACAGTTTCCTTATCAGGGTAATAAATAAGCTGCACAGTGAAAAAAAATAAAACAACAGTGGTGTTACCTTTAGGGATGCTTTTCTTGTCGTTGTCCACGGTGAGCGGGACACACTCGTGCACAAGCTCTTCAACTTTAAGACGAGCAAGAATCTCCTCGAGGTGTCTGACGATGTCGGGGCAGGATGGACGGAGTTTAGGGTCCATCTAGGGAGAAATGCAGAAGAAAGGTGAGATTTGTGTACAGTACATGTGAAGAGGCAGGGATGGACCGCACTCGTCTGATTGTTACAAGGAAAAAAAGAAAACATGAGCCAAAATGGTTACTCATTTAAACAGCTGCACCACTTTATCAGAAGTAAACGTTTACGTGTAAATGATAAAAATGTACACAAAGAAATATGAGCAGAGCCGATAGCTCAAAAGGCTTTTACATTTTATTAGACTTGTTTCAGTTCTGGGAAATCTGTTAAGTGGTTTATGGAACAAAATGTGATCTGTTTAATCTCTTTATGAGAAGTTAACCTGGATGAAGGATGAAGAAGCCAGCAGCCTCTTTGTAACTGGGAGCAATGGGCGAATCATGGACTCAAATTAAGAAAATTAAATTGAGGTTGTTGGCAAAGATTTCAATTTGGGAATTAAAGAAGAAAGTAGAAAGTAAAGTAGAAAGAAAGTATGGGAATTAAAGAAAAATGAAGGACTAAAGTTGAACAAAACAAATTAGATATTGTTTTTAAGGGGGAAAAGTTTGTAAGAGAGACTTCTGCTGGATCAGAAAAAGACCAGATGGATAAACAAGAGGAGGAGTATGACGGTAGAAAGAAACTGTAAACAAGACTATAAAAAAAAAAAAAACTTTGGGAATCTCTTGACCTGGAAACTGGAGACAACATAAATCAGAAAGAAGATGAAAAGAGCAAGACAACAGACGAGGGGATGAGAGGGGATGGAGGAGTGAATATGGGATCTATCAGCAGGGTGCTCAGAAAGCTTTAATGCCCTCCTCCTCTCTCCCCCTCCTCCTCCTCCCCCCTCCTCCTCCTCCTCCTCCTCGGTTTGTGATCATGTTGGAGGAAAAATAAATCACAAATCTAACACAGCGATTAGAGGAGAATGTGCGCAAACTAGAGCACAAAATCTCATTCAAAAGGCATTTTTGATCAGATATGATACTTAATGTTCAGCCTCACTGCCCAACAAAGAAATGTTTTATTTTCAAAAGTCCAGCAAGTAACTGATCCAGCTTTGATTAAAGACAAGACCCCCCCCCAACTCCCACCACCGACCCCCCACACCCAAAGAGCTAAATCAGATTATAAAGGTAATCAAGTTTCCTCTCACATATAACTGAACATGTGACTAACAGTCACTTAAGATATTAAAAATATAAACAAAACTGTGGAAAATCAGAGAAATAACCAACAGAAGAGGAAACACAAAAGTCATATTTATAAATCTTGTCTTGTTGAAGATTCACCTCAATGTTACAAAAGCACGACCACTGTGCAGTCCTTTTTATTCTTCTTAAGTTCTATCAGGAGTGCACCGAGGTTATGATGTTAGAATTTTGATTTGAATGGAGTGAAATACAAAGATTTGACCTTGGTGGACTCACATTGCAGCAGTTGAAAGCCAGCTGGAGGAAGTCAGGCGGACAGTCTCCGACCATGTGCTGGAACGTGTGGTAGTCCAGGCCGAAATTCTGAACCGCAGTGGAGTGAGGGAGGAAGAGAGGACAGAGGTACAAAGACATTTAGATGCATTAAGGATAAACAGGAAATACCTATTTACTTATTTAGTGGAATCAAGACAGAGAGAGGCAGAGCTTCATCGGACATTTGACATCGTGTAACTGTCCTGCAAAACACTTCATGACAAATGAACCTTCTGACACGCTTCAGCTGTTCGTACATCCCATGGACGACCTCAGAGATGCAGACCTTCCTAGGAATCATTCATCTTTGTCTGCTGTGTCGCGTTCTTCTTCTGTGTTGAATTTATTGACGGTGTGCTCTATGTCGTGCAGCTGTGATGTAGTGATACTGATGTGTAAGGGCATGTTGGCTGATAATCAGGGTTTACCACACCAAACTGTATCAAACTGTACTGAACCAAACTGGACCGCTGACGGAAATAGAACTTAAGAGTGTTAAAATTGAGACTTAAATATGTTACTGTTAAAAATGTCTAAACTCTCGGGCTCTTCTTTGCATGTTAAATAATAACCTCACTCAAACAATGACGATAAACAAATGAGAGTCAATATAATATGTGTGTATAACACAGAATAATTAGTAAATATTTCTATATATTTAATCATTGTGCATAAATGATTGTGAGCAAATTTAACACAACACAAAACTCTTTTTTTTCTGTGACAGTTATTTAAAATCCTCCTGTCTTATGAGACGATCTAAAGCAGACTTCAGCGCTCACTTTGAGTCGTGTGATGCTTAAATAAACAGCTGCACTGAAAAGTTCTGACTGACGTGACAACAACAGATCAACCTGTGTGCAAAGCAAAAGTAGCCAGCTCACCTCAGTGCGGGGGAGGAAGTCGGGGTCAGCCTGAATCCTTGCAATGACCTCACACAGGATTATACCGTAGGAGAACACATCGGCCTGAAGAGACACAGAAACACATTAACACATGCAAACACCAGACAGCTTTATACTTGTTTTACAAACACGATCAACTGATTTAGAAACGCCTCAAAAAATTTTTGGTCATTTATTTCGCTCCCTTTAATAATACTAATTGGTGTTGTATTATATATTGTTGGAAAGCCTCATTAGTCACCTTTACAACGTAAGGATCGTGCATTCGTGGAATAAGCAACACAGCTAAGCGTGTGGGTAGCGCCACAAAAGAAATGTGCCAAAATCCCCTGCAGGCGATTTACCTTCTCGTTGTAGGATTCGTCTCTCAGCACCTCCGGAGCCATCCAGAAAGGAGAACCAACCACGGAGAGCTTCTCTCGTTCAGCACTACACAAACACACAAGCACACACACACACGGGTGTTTGACAAAGATGAGAAACATGTTTGATGATCGTGCTCGATGATAATGAGGAACTCTTCTGTGCAGATTATTCAGGACACTTCAAGAATCTTTGAGGTGACTTCTGTTTGAACAGTGAAATAAGATCAAGTGTAAAATAGTGAAGACTAAACGTTGTATTCTGGTCAATAAATTAAGCTTAGATCAACCACCAGCCAGGCTGCTCCGACCCAGGTCATGTTGAGTGTAAATACAGATTTATAGGAGACAAAAGACAAGATCAGGTGTTCTTTTACCTATCTGATATCATAATAATGTGGAGGTGTTTGGACTGAGTCTTTCTGAATGCCAGATTGAGAGCATTTGTGAGATCAGGTGAGGTCTAACTCTGTTTTGTTAATATGATTGGATTAGGAGATATGGAAAATCATCTTGCTGTTTCTCAGCTTCCCCCCCCCCCCCAAAGATTTATTTTTGTGCTTTATGTGCCTTTATCAGACAGACAGGACAGTGGATAGAGTCAGAAATTAGGGAGAGAGAGAGAGTTGGGAAGGACATGCGGGAAAGAAGCCACAGGCTGGATTCAAACCCCTTCCGCCCGCTCGGAGGACTACAGCCTCAAATATATTCCACACATCGAGTTGGAGGTAACAGCTGTTTTACCTTTCACTCAGTAAATCATTTTCTGAGCGTCTTTATAACAATCTCAATCTCTGATCCTTTACGTTCTGTTGCTTGGTGTTTAGTTGATTTAGTTGGGTGGGTGAAATCAGACCGGATTTGGCACCTCAAATCTTTGAGATAAAAAGATGAGTCACCTCCTGGCACATTCCACCATCTACATGTTGGAAAATACCAACATAAGCGAGTCAGGGCACGTCTCATTTATTGAGGCTATAGTCCTCCAAGCGGGCGACCCAGGTCCAAGTCTGACCTGCAGCTTCACTCTCTCAAAAAGTCACTAAAAACGCCCCAAAATACATCTTTGGAAATCCCAAACTCCATGCTGATGATATTCTTCTTTTATAAAGCATTACAATGAGAATGTGAAATGTACAGTCTGCTACTAATCGATGTCAGACACGTTTGAACAACAACACTGTGACTGATTCAGAGAGGTAGAGGAGGAGATTTGAACAGAAACTATGACGTGAAAAAAAGAGCAGAACAGACGTGTTGTAGTGGGAAGCGGATATGGAAAACATGATGACAATTACTGATCAGATATTTCCTCTCTTTATGGAAACTATAGGTATGTTACACTGACATTAAACACCAACATACTGAATCTGTCAAGTTGCTTTCAGAGCCCATTCAAGTACCTAGTGTATCTGGTGCTAGACTAGGCTCTACAGCTGCACTAGTTGTCACTGCATATTCTGCCACTAGGGGGCAGATGAAACATCGAAACAAGGTGATAAGTGCACCGCTTCCACAAAGTGAATGGATTCTTTGATTGTTTACTTGTAACACACAAACACATGGCTTGTTACACACCAAGCAGACAACATAAGGAGTCTTTTTTTTTAGGTCTGATATCCACTCGTCTTTCATTAGGGCCTTATACATGGTCATCAGCAACTCACTAATTGTCTGTTTACTGTTGGTGATTGGCCAGTAGTACACATAGAGTTGGTTTGTTTACATCCAATGAGTGTACAGGGGTTGATGACGACAGCTGAGACTCGACCACAGAGTAATTACAGAGGCATTCAAATCCAGAAGAGTGAGCTAAAAGTGTCCTCAAAGCCTCCGCCAGGGTAGAGTTCAGTGACAAACCACACATTCATTAGACTCTAAGTCACTTTTAAAAAGTACCTAATGAGTGTATGAATAAGTTTGACATAGGGATGAGAATAAATACTTATTTAATTTCATGTAAAAACAGATTGGGTGATGTTTATGCAGAGAAGAAGAGGGGGGGGGGTCCTTACAGATTAGTGGGGATCTTCTCTGCCAGGCCGAAGTCTCCCACCACCGCCGTGTAGCTGTTGTCTTCACATTTAATCAGACAGTTCTGTGAAAAGAGAGGGGAGGGGGGGAGACACGTTAGCATTATCATTTTTAGCTGAGGAAGTCATGACACAGTTTAGCATTATCAGCCAAACCTCGACTTCCTGATTTCAACTGAAGCCTTCTATGTTATTTGACAGCGCTGTGATCTCGTTCTCTGTTTACACAGAAAAATAGGAAGCAAGACATCTTTAAATTACACAAGCAGTTCTGTGCAACCAAGTACAAGAATTCTGACATTATGCACATAACTGTTTACTGTTTCACCAGGAAAGAAACCCGTTGAGATTTGTGTCCTGGCCGAGACGGGCAGCAGATCAATTTACAGAGTTTCACACAAACAACGAGCAGGCTCACAAACAAATACAACAAAAACACATTATTAGACTTTAAAAGACACAAATAATGAATAAGATCCTCCACACACACACACATCAGGGTGAACATCTTCAGCCAGATGTGTCCGCCTCCAAGTCATTAAACATCCTCTTAAAAGCGTCCAATGAGAGCAGCTCGCTGAGTTTCAGCTCTTTTTGTTACTCGTTCTAAATAAAGGGAGCAGCAGATTCAGATTTAAAACCTTAGTGTGTGTGCCCCATGTACAGAGGCTGTAGTCCTCCAGGCGGGCGGCCGTGGTTCAATCCCACCTGTGGCTCATTTCCTGCATGTCATTCCCCACTCTCTCTCTCTCTCTCTCTCTCTCTCTCTCTCTCTCTCTCTCTCTCTCTCTGCCCAATTTTTGACCCTGTTCACTGTTCCATCTCAAAATAAACCTTTCAAAAGTATTTTTCTCCTTGCTCTTTATTTTTCTTCTGCAGATAAATAACAACAAGCTGGGGCACTGGATAGTGTAGCGGTTATGTCGCACGCCCCATGCACAGAGGCTGCAGTTCTCGTTGCAGAGTCGAGGGTTTGAATCCGACTTCAACCTTTTGCTGCATGTCCTCTCCCTATCTCTCCCCCATATTTCCTGTCTCTCTCTATAGCTGTCATATCTAATAAAGGCAAACATGTCCCAAAAAAATAAAAGGATAAACAGTAACTGCAGGCACAGATACGTAATTTTATCAGTCAAAAGCAGAGTGCAAACTGTTCTTGTTCTCCTCTCTGCCAGATCGGTGCCAGCATGGCCCCCGGTGAAGTTGGAAAACTAGAGGCTGCCTGGCACCCATTATCACATCTGACTGCGACACTGTGTTCTTTCAAGAGAGCTTAAAAAGGTTTTTGAATAAAAGAGCAAATGATCGTGTCAAAATGCTAGATATCTTTAACATTTGCATTTTACAATGTTTCATGATGAGCTGTCAAAACAAACTAAAACATAGTCTGAGCGAAGTCAGAAGTATAGAAAATGTAATGACATCCTTCTCTGTCATATACTGTTTTCATAACCGGTGAATGACAAAGACCTAAAACAGAAACATATTAAAGTTAAGCCAAAGTTCTTTAAACATTTATAAAAAAAAGAAAACAGTAAATGCCATTGTTTTTCTGGAGCAACAAGGAGGTCATCACTTCTATTTTTAGCTACAGTTCCTCTCCTCAGTAACCAATTAGTCTGTCAGGCTAACCTTGGAGGTGAGGTCCCGGTGGAATATGCCTTTGGTGTGCAAGTACGCCAGACCGCTGGCGATGTCACAGGCCATTTTCACCCGCGTTGGCCAGCTCAGGTGTTTGTTGCTGTCTAGAAGCTGCTCCAGGTTTCCACCGTTAATGTACTGCAGAGAGACAAAACAGAGAAATTACATGAGTATGTTAAAGGAGCAAGAGCTACAACCGGACCACCATAGGGTTTATTATTAAAAAATGTTTTGGATTAGATACATTTTTGGTCTTTTTGCGCCTTTAATGCAGAGATAGGACAGTGGATAGAGTCCGAAATCAGAGAGAAAGTGGGGAACGACGCCCACAGGCGGGACCGGAACCCGGGCCGCCCGCCCCAAAAGACCACAGCCTCCACACATGGGGCGCGCGCACCAACCACTGCAGCACCAGCGCCCCCACCAAAGAGGTTTTTTAAGGCACATCTCATCACCAGCTTAAAAATGATGCATGTCATGGCTGGAAATAGACCTTTCCTATCTTGGCTGTGCATCATCTTTGCACCACAATGACGATGCAAAGGACGAGTGGAGTGCAGAACAACAACGTCTGCTCTGATGGTATGCTCTGCTTAATGGGCATCAGGAAGAGCACAGAGTGGAAGCTTGCGCGCTTGTTCTGCGACGAGGACACAGACTGTGTCCATGAGGCGCTTGTCGGCGGCCCTTCCCCACTGTTTTTAAAAAAGCCTCTTGATGTGAAAACAGAGAGAGAGAGATATCATTGAAGGCAGTATTTTTTTAACGCCGTGCACCCTCTTAAGTAGGAGAGGACTCTGGCTTCAAGTGTGCATTAAAAGTGCTCCAGCCTCTTTAATGTCCCGTCCGTCTCCGCCCTTTACACAAGTAGTGATTAAGCACAAGTGGTCCGCTGCACCCACTGTTCACTTACAATACATAAAAGGACCTCCAGTGCAGAGCTATCTCAAAGTGATCACACCCTTCATGAACTCGGAGTGACCGCACCTTTAAGAGGTGAACAATAACCTCCTAGACTCAAACGTTGATCAAGGTAAATATGACGCATTCCTCCCAAAGGTGTTTATAATTTACATTCAAATCAGGAGATGGAGTTGCGTTTTATTTTGCATCATTTTGTTTTGTTTCATGTTTAAAAAACAGACCGTACCAACTCTGGCACCTTCGCACCCCTAATATGTAAGCTCGAGATGTCAAACCACATTTCACAGGAACTGGATGTGAGATGTTTTAACTCAGTGAATATTCTTATGAGTGACAAAACCATAAAAATCATCAGTTAACTGGTGTGCTCACTGTCTATATATCGGGGAAATATTCAGAAGTTAACGGCATTAAAGTAGAGACTACATAACACAAAGCAACTGTCCATCCAGCTGGCTCACAGCGAGAACGATTGGTGGGTTGTTTGGCTCACAGACGGCCTGCCTGGTGGCCTGGGGGGCTGGCCCATGTATCGACCAACTGTCTGAATCAAATCTGGCTGACAGAGCTGCTAGTTCTCTGCGTGTATGAATGCTCGTCTGACCATCGTGTGGGAAGCCAAGAGGACAGATCAGCTCAGCGGGTTTTAAGAGTATCGGGGTGGGGGTGGGGGGTTTGATGTGTCTTTCAGTCCTCACTGCTCGCATGCAAACACACAGACACACGAAACCAAACACCAGTGGTTAACTAGATAGCGCTGACATAGGATGATAAGATGATCTAGTTTAGTTGTGGTTACTGATTTGACAGACGGGAACATAAGAAGGATGTAGCGAGGCTGCTGATGTGGGGAGGTCTTTATTTCTTCACCCAATTGTATGAACTTTGCCTAGTTCACCTACAATATGAGAATTGTACTATTACATTACATTACAAGCAAGAGGTATGCATAATTAGGGGAGAGGCCAAACTTACTGACAGGCGAACATGTTTTAGCAGTTTGCTAGGAGTCTAAAAGCCCGCCTCAGTTCAACCTTTGCCTTATTGTAGGTCGAAAGTAAGTTAGATGGAGTCAGAATTTCCAATATGGCGACCACAAAGGACGGGCTTCAAAACTCTCTCTGACGTCACTGATACTACATCCATTTTTCATACAAGGGATGTTCCAAAGCAACTAAATCTTAAACACAAGTCTTAACGTGAGAAAACATAAACAATCATTGAGCACGGATACATTTAAATTGTCTGCTGTGAACTATGTAATTTAGTTTGCAGAGTTGAAAAAACTTTAGCAGTAATAGAACGGCCAGCCTTCAGGCTTCCCTGATGGTTAACATCCACATGCTGTGCTAAATGTGGTTGCATGGTTACTTCTCTGGTCTATTGGTCGGTTCAACCTGAAACAGACTCCGTGCATTTTTATCACAATTTCTGAGATGTTAATACTGACAAACCTTGCTGCTATCCGTTCACTTTGCTTGTTTGCATCCAGGTAGTAGAGCAGCGAGAGAAGGCCAATTAAGCATAGCTATATCCAGTGTATGGCTATAGCCCCCTCTAGTGGTGGGAGGCTGCACTGCAGTTTGAACATAACATTTGACCGGCATCAAGGGCCGAAATATTAATAATTTGTTTAACAGACTAGTAATTCTGGTGCCACTAGTGAGGGTGATGACATTTAATCGATTTGTCGACTAAACGGGCACGTCCTTATTTCATACCGTCTATGCCTCATATCCAACAAGGTCTGCAACAGTTTCGCTGGACTCTGTCTTAAGTCTGGATCTCTTTTGTCATGGGCTTGGTCATTGGATTACATCAGAGGAAACATTGATGAATAAATATTCCACAAAAACTTCAGAAAATCTTCTTGACCTAGCATCTCTTTTTGTGTATTTTAGATCCTATCCAGTAGTTAAAGGCAACATTCAATTAATTAATTACCGGTAAGTGTCAGAAGTTACTGGTATAGTGAACTAGTGCTCTAATTCTTTAATTCCTAAAAGGTCTCCCTAGATTTGTTAATTACAAGATAAAGCAAAGTGATACTGCCCCCACCACCACACCAAAAAAAGGTTGAGCTCCTTATACCATCTAATGTTGTGACACGCACATACACACACACACACATCACACACACACACACACACATCACATACACACACATACACCCCGTTTCAAGACATCAGAGGATTAAAGTATTTATACAACAAATTCCTCAGTAGCCACAGAGTTCAACATCTGTTGTCTGCTGAGGGGGAACAAGAGGGGAAACCTCTCCTGGAGGAGGTAAGTAAAACTCAAAGCTTCCTATATTCATCATTTCATGTACGATCAAGACAGCGGCCATGCATCTGCATCACACTGACACAATATGCAGCGAGTGCAAGTATGGCTGCTCAAAAATGCAAATCACATTCTTGAGCGGAGGAGTGCACCTGCTGTGTCAACTAAAACTAACCGAGTAGAAGTAAAGTCGCCCTCAATAAAGCCTCTTACCACGGCAGGATATATTCCCCTGGAATTTGCTTAATCCTATTTGCGGAGTTAGTGATATACTGCAGTAATTACTTGACATAGCACATGTTTGAGCCATATATGTGCCTCTCTGTGATCATGTATTACCTGGAGTGCTAAGGAAATGAGAACCATACGCCTGGTAACAACTACGGTGGAAAATTCCTCCGCTCCACTGTCTGTGCTTCAGGTAAAAAAAAAAAAAACGATGGAAAGACTCAAACAAAAGAATCCTTGTGAGCTGCAGGAAGCAGCTTCAAACAGCGATATAATCCTCCCATGGGTCATGACTTAAAATAAGTACAGATTATAATGCACTTCCTATAATGTGCATTAGATTAAGATTCAGTTTGGCATGCTACACCAGAGGATGCGGTGGGGGAACAAACTCATCGTGTCATTGTTTATTTCATTGTGCATTGCTGTGCATTTGATTAACGTTTCCCTAAATTGCAGCTACTGACATTTACTACACTCCGTGCTGCATTTTCAACAATATAAAAACTAAAAAAAAAAATCAAAATCAGATCATAAAAAATAACGATAATGGGGCACTGGTAGCCGAGTGGTTAGTGAGCGCGCTTCATGTGAGAAAATAGGGCGGCCAGGGTTCAGTCATTCCCTACTCTCTCTCTCCCTGATTTCTGAGTCTATCCACTGTCCTGTCTCTAAAAAAAGGCATAAAAAAGCCCCAAAATAACCTAAAAAAATGTAAATAAATTACCATAATAATGCCATGACAATTACTGGGATAAGCCAGTCTGTCTTGTGGGATAAAAAGAAGAACTAGTGCTCAACACAGTGAGCAGCAAATACTGAAGATAATGAAATAATCATATTTCAGAGCTTTTTGTCTTGTGTTTTTCGGTTTCGTTCCAGTAATAGCGTTCTTGCATTCTTCCTTCTGATATCGAATATTGAGAATGTTGTAAATGCAGGAAATACAATGCTAGCCAGTGGATCGATCACAGGGGAGAGGTGAACGCCACTTGATGTGTATGCTAAGGCCTAGATTCGAGGCAGAAGAATAAATCAGGCTAAAGTCGAGCTGGGCAACTCAAAAATGTACTACCACTTTGTTTGCCCTACATTGGCTTCCAAACAATTTCAGATGTCATTTTAAGATCCTTGTTTATGTTTATAGAGCCCTGTATGGGAAGGCATCCGGATATATTTCTTACTCTCTCCACCCATACAACCCCAGTAGATCCTTTAGATCTTCTGACCAGGGTCCACGTTTTTGTCTCCCTGTGTGCCGTGCTCTGTGCTATAACTTAATGCTTTCCCACTGAACTTCTGTCTTTGCTGGGACATGATGTTGTTGTGATATTAGTGACGGTAGAAGGAGAGTTGTGTGTATCACTGTCTGGAGCTGGATGCTGCTCTTGGGTGCCATGTTGCTACCTCTAGTTTTAGCTTTATAGTAGCATCATTATGCTAGCACAAATCTTACTTTCTTTGAGGTTTCTAGAGCGTCACATCGGGGGTTTTGTCAGCACAACGTTTGAAAAGTTTTCTGTAGACCTTCTATGCAAAATTTGAACAAACCTTCTGCAAAAGTCCACACCCAGATGTTTGATTCTGTTCTCACTCACAAAAAGCAACACATTCATACACATCTTTCTGATCTGTTTAGCAAAGTAGTGTTTCCTTTTGCCTGTTTGCTCGCCTGTTTTTTTGTTAATGCTGCGGTTGTTTGTGGAGAGACAGCGAGGTTCTGGAGGTAGCCTGGGGCCATGCAGTAACTTAATTCTCCATTTCCTCTGAGCGCGGCCTCATAGGGGGGGGGTCAGGTAACAAAACAGCACGAGTCTGCTCCCAGGGTCAGAGCAGCCAGTTCGGTCCTGACACAACACAACAGGATCTGTTTGCCCTGCAGCAGGAAAAAAAAAGACCTACCGCAGTGTTCTTACATGTTTATTCATACGTTTGTCTTACACAGCATGGACAGCGTAGGAAGTCATTTTGGTATCTAAAACTGGATTCTCTTATGGGACTGCACAAAGTTGATGGGTTTTTTTTGTTAGTAAAGTCTACAATGCAGACATTCAGAGTGCACTGCAGCAGTGTAATCAAGTACGTGTGTGTGTGTGTGTGTGTGTGTGTGTGTGTGTGTGTGTGTGTGTGTGTGTGTGTGTGTGGAAGCATCTTCAACAGTCTATGTTTTCTTCAGAGTGGGATGAATCACGTGTTGTACTATTTGCCCACATTTACATGCATTCCCCCACTGACTGTGTATTCAAATACAGTGACGTGCGTCGGAAGTCTGAGTTCATACTGTTGAAGTGCATGGATGTGTGTGTGTGTGTGTGTGTGTGTGTGTGTGTGTGTGTGTGTGTGTGTGTTTATTTGTGTTTCAGCAGCAGGAAACACGGCAGGACATGAAAAGCTCATTAAGGAAGTTCAAACAAATCATAGGAAACTAACCCTTAGCAGATTCAGAATGGGAGAACAAAGGGTTAACATGGAAATTATGAAAACTGTGAAGTGAACCTTCAATCTATCAACGTGTGTTACCATATATTTAACATTTTGTGGTTACATTTTCGTTGCTTTGCTCGCTATCTGTATTCTTGGTGTTGGATTGAAAGCTTCAGCCTCCACTTAATTGATAAATAGAAATGTTTTTTATTCATCCTTCAACATTTTGGAACAGAGACTAGTTCTAAACGGTCTGTACAGAAAGCATGCTCTACTGATATCTGATTGATCTTCATTATTTTAATGATTGTTTTAAAATACTTTAAAATAAATAAATGAAATGAAAAATGAAAAACAGCAACTTCCTTATGTTCCCTTTATCTTAGAATCATTTTCTCTATACACATATTAATGACCTAAGCTGTTTTCACATATGCACTCCTGAAAATATTTAGACTGCCGTTTGCGTTCACACATACATGTACAGCTCCTCTGGCAAATTTCAGGAGTTTTCTGCCAGTGTGAAAGCCCCATTAGTGACTTTATTTCTCTAGTTTATAAAGGGACAGACGACAACTTTGAGAAATCTTCACAACATGTTTGAATCCTCTCGTCTTGTCAAACAGTTTAACAGTTTATAAATGCTCTTAAGAAGTTGTTTTGTAATTATCGCCAGCGCTCTATGTCCAGATAGATCTGCGTCTTATTAGTTCAGTGTTGTTTAAGCACCAAAAATCTCAGGATAAAGCTAAATTACCTCCATGTAGGGCTCGGCGATAAGACTACAAATATTATCAGTCAATATCGAAATCGAAATGTCAAATCATTATTTCTTTCAAATTTAAAATCAGATTTTTGCACCTGAGTGAAAGTTGTAGAAACCAGATGGTTAATTGTGCTTTAAATATTCTTTATTGTCGGAACATGACAAACTCTACTGGAACATTTCAGTATCATAAGCTCAGTGCACGGTGCTGGAAAACGCTGAGAAAGGTTATACTGCGATAATTATGGATGTTGTTTTATCGCCCAGGCCGACCTCCGAGTGCGTACACAACAACAGGAATAAAAGGGTTTCAGGTTTTATTTACCCCTTTAACACCACACAATGTTCATTCATGAGGCCTGACATCCTTTATGACGCGCCTTTTTATTAAGAGGGCGATAATAATAACTGCTTATCGACCATTTTCCATGACAAATTAATGATTACCACTAATGCAATCTTATCTGTCTCCCTCGCTCCAGTGCACGCACGCATGCGAGCAAAAGAACACACTCAGGATAAATATAGGCTTCGTGCAGCCAGAAAATATGGCTCACTGTAACCCTAATGGTGTCGCTCCTAACATTAAGCATCTCTGGAGGGTTTTATTAGCCGCCCGTATCAAATTCTCCCTCCCTCTCTCTCTTTCTCTCTCTCTCTCACATACACAAACACACACACACAGTCATAGTGTGAGGACATTCAGTTCTCTTGGTTTGTCCAAAATTACAGACTAGTGAGGCTTCTGTGTTGTGTTCATGGATGACGTGATGTTCACCTGAGGGACACATTAAGAACACACGGTCTATACAGACTCATGGGCTCTCCCTCTCACATGTAGACAGGTGAGCTAGATTTAAGGTAAACAAGTTTTGCGTCTGAAAGTAGTAAAAATGCCAAGAATGTCTGAATGGTTTATGTTAATTTTTTGTTTGAGTGATTTTGACATTTTCTATTTGAATGTTCCTTTTTTGCTCTGTCATGATGCTTTTGATGTCGTGAGAGATGAGGAACAAGTTGGTCACGGATCAGGACACCTTCACTTTCTAAAGTCTGTTTTAATCAGTCAACCAATCATCCTGCTTTATCAAACTTAAAAATCTGTTCTCCTCTCTGCTGCTGTGTTTGTCATTTCAGCCTGCACCAAGTCTACTCCAATACATTTGATCAGTTCTGTTGCAGCTCTTTGGAGATTTACTCCTCATCACCACCACCAATGTCTCTACTATTAATGCAGCGATGCATCGGTTAAACATATCTGCAGAAATTGGCCCTGTTGAAAGACATCGGCACATCTGTGAATAATGTGGCATGAACCGATGTCAGTAGCCGATGTTTATTTGTTGTGCCAAGTCAATTAAAAGCTGACTTCTAGTACACCTAACGACTGATTCAGAGAAGTTTTTTATTGGGCAGATGAAGTCGCCTGTTGAACAAACTCTGACTTGTTTTCATTGTCAAACGTGAGAGAAAATGTCACCATTGTGGGAGACTTACACCAAAAGAAGTCATTAAACAAACATCTTGGCATTGGCAATCGGCTATATCGTTATTTCAGACATCAGTATCAGCATCAGCCCTAAATTTCCCAATCAGTGCATCCCTAGTCTCGACTCCAATCCTGCTCTCACTGGCCTCACTACCCCTTTGAATTCATGAAGACGTCATGATTGAGTCTAATCGCCAAAGACTTGGCAGGTTTCTCCGTTTTTTCCAACTTTTTAAAACAAATAATATTCCCCCCATAATGAAGTCTCTCCGGATTTAAGTATTTTTCATAGTCTTTCCATTTCAGGCAGTCTCTTGAAAATGTGATTTCTTCAGCAGCTCTGATATTTTTCACAGAGTTTGTCAGTGTTTTCTTACCTCTGTCAAAGCGTGAAGCTGACCCTCGTGGACACACACTCCTTTGAACCTGCAAAAAAATAAAAAAACAACACATGAAGAGTCTTTATTTAAAAAAACGATATTTCTTCACAACTGATTGGGAAGCCTTAAACCAGAGTATTGAGGTTGACATGGAGCTAGAGCAAAAGGGTGAATGCACATAGAGCCTTCAGGTAAAGCATGTGCACTACAGGTTCATATAACACATGTCATGACCTTCTCTGCGGTGAGTAAACAGAGAAAGCAGGAATAGTTAGGAAAAGGTTAAAATTCCAGCAGGCAAGACCAGACAAGTGATAACTGTGGGAGCATCTGTCTGTTAACAGGGAGATAATAAGCGCTCAGTTGCTTCACCTGCATTCCATCCATTTCTTCCTCTACCTGGCCTTTTAATTAATACATTCTTGATAACATAAACAGATTCTTTGATGAAGCTCATTCACTTATGTGTGTCGCCATATTAAAAAACTTCAGCAGCATAGGAAAACGGCCTCATCTCAGCTCGATGATAAACCTTTGCATTTAGCTTTTTTTGAAAGGTTGGCAGCAAGAACTTACAAACACAAAGGAAGTCTGAAAATGTCCTTAACCCAGAGAGCACCATGCACCCCTTCACCTTAAGCAAAACAATGTGTGTGTGTGCAGAGCAACATATGAACCAACTTTGTTCACCAGCGGCGCTGAAGGCCTCGTAATTCCGAGAGCAATGAAAAGGTCAAACTTTGTGGGTTCTTGTTGGATTTTGGCGAACAATGACCCTCTCAGTGTCTGCTTGTTAACACACACAATCCTCCAGACGTGCTCAACAAAGATGGCATTGTAAAAGATGTGTGTGTGTGTGTGTGTGTGTGTGTGTGTGTGTGTGTGTGTGTGTGCAAATACACAGATGCACACACACACACAAAGTTACTGAGAAATGTATGCATGTATGTGCATGTCCGTGAGAACTCCACTCTCCAACCCAGGAGCCAAGAAGAAGAAAATAACAAAAACAAAATGAACAAAAATACTTTTGTGGGGAATATTGTGCGGATGGTATTGCATGGAGCAGAATTGTCATTCCTATAAAGTTTTATTTTGTTGACATGCTTTTCCCTTTTCCTGTCATAAAACATGACACAAGACTGGTTTTGTTTTTATAGCAGCTCTAAAATACTTAAGCCATTCAAAGTGCTTTACATACAGTAGGTGAGTGTGTGCATTTGAACATTGTAGAGGCATTAACATTCATTAAGGGTAAAAATAAAAACTGCTGTGCGATCACACAAATGTCAAACTTTAAATAGTAACAAAAGTAGTAGAGAATGTGCCACAGTTAAGTGCAAAAAGAGCTACTATTAGCCTTAATCCTCAACAATGGTGGTTAAACATCGAGTTCAAAAACAGACGTTTACAGCCAATGTTTGTTTGTATCACTGCTGCCAACATGCTTGTTTGTACTTCAACACACTCTTAAAAAAATCCCCCTAATTGTATTTAAAGCTTAATGTCAAAGCTTAATGACCTTATGCAGATGATGACAACAAGCTCTGTTTTGTTTGCTTCATGTAACAGCCAAACGCCCCGGCTCGCTGAAAACAAACTGATGACACATTATTAGATCTTTCACGGGTTTAGGTTCGGGGAAATTTGATGTTGTTTGACCATCATTGGACATCACTTTTCAAAGATTTTTACAGCCTCGTCACCTTTTACAAGAACATCCCTCTTCACTTGTCTTTTTTTCGCCTCAGCTGCAGCGGCTCTAACAGTCTAGCAGTTGAGAAAACGCTTTGTTAATAGTCTCTCCGTTTGACACAGTTTCTAACATTATATTTGTTGATTAACCATACGAGGCAGATGTTAAAAGAAATGACTCACATAATGCAAAACGCCATTTGGGCGGAAAAAGTTTAGTCTGTATTTAAAACCAGCAGTTAATCAGTGACATAATAAAATGTACTATGACCACTTGCAATCTGGATCTTTTCAAGTAATCCATGAAGTTACTGTTGTATTCCACCTTTAAACGTGCTTAAACGAAACCAACACTGATAATCTATTGCAAACACTAAGACAGGATTTACAAGAAGTTTATGTGACAGAAGAATAAAGTGGAAAATAATCATGTTATAGAGCATTCTGTGTTTAATAAACTACAATGCCACATTAAGTTAAGACTGGACATTTCTTAAACCATTTAGTAGTGCTGTAGTCGAGACCACACTAACCGAAACCAAGACAAGACCAAGACATTTAGGATCAGGACCGAGTCAAGACCTAGACCGAGGCAGGGCAAGACCGAGACCAAAATATCACTCTTCTGGACCACAGCAGCGGGAAGGTTGTGGCCGTAACCGAGGGATACAAATCAAAACGAATGAATTGAAGTTATTTGTTGTTTTAGAAAGAGGTGTTTTCCTTCTAACCACATGTGGGAAAATAAACTGTCAGTGGTGGTCTTGACTGGTCTTGATTTAAAATCCGGAGTCCACCCAGTCTGAGACTGAGACAAGACGAGTTAATATGCTTGTGATCTCCAGACCGGTCTTGAGACCAAGACCGATTTCACTACCCCTTAGTGTAATTTGAAAAAGTTAAGAGTTTCATTACCAACCTGAGTATGTTTGGATGACAAAGCCGGTTCATTAGTTGGACCTCTCTCAACATGTTGGCTCTGTTGCTGCTCAGTTTGTTCATCTTCAGAGCCATGACCTGATCTGAAGCTCGATGACGAACCTGGAAAAACAGTTAAATGATACCACATTTTAGAAATTTACAAGTACAAGTGAAGACGTGTAAGAACCCAATGTCTGCCCTCATAAATATATTCTAGTGGCTGCAACAAACCAGGATTGTGTATAACTTTGGATAAACAGTTCACTGAAGCTTGGGTCATTGTGTCCTCACACGACTTCAAAACAAAACAGCTCTTCTTTATTGGATACTTGTAAAAAAAAAAAAAAAACAATCTGCCTCATGCAGCAAGAAAAACAGAGGAAACAGAAAAGGAAGGCAGCACAGAAAAGAGAACTGAAATGAGGTCAATCTCAGCTGACAAGCGATGACTAAATACATTTGTCAATCCAGAGCTGCACAATCAATTTTGTATTATTGGGATTTTAGTTTCCATCTAGTTGTCAGACAGAGGCGGCATCAACATCAATCCGTCCATCCATAAGTGGCTGGAGCCTTTCCCAGCATGCCTTAGGTGGAGGGCAAACAAACACTTTAGTCAGGTCACAGCATGAAGACAACAAAGGAGCCCCCTTTAGCTAAAGTTAAACCAGTGCACATGTTGCTGCAACAAAAGTAGTAAAACAGACTGATGTTTCGAACCTGAAGGACTTTGATGAGCTGTTTTTAAGAAAGGTGATGTTTAAACACAGTCTGGTTCCTAGAGTCTGACCAATAAATAGTTCTACCAATAATATCGGCAAGTAACATATTAACATTGGTTTGTATAGCCCCGTTTCCACCAAGTGGTCCGGTTTGGTTCAGTAAAATTTGGTAAGGTTTGGTATGCTAAACCTGATATGTTTGCGTTTCCACAGCCAACTGGACCCTAACTTAGTAGGCGGGGTCTAAGCTGGATGGCAATGGTCGCGTCAGCTACGTAATAGTGTGAACACAGTAAACAAAGGGAAACAATGAGGGATGTCCAGCAGAGGTCTGCACCTCTGAGGTCATCCACAGGGTGGTGCTATGCACCGACATTATTCACAAAAAACTAAAACAATTGTTGTGTTGAAATTACTCGAAATCTGCAGGATATTTAAACATGGTGCATTTTGCGTTTGTGCTTCATTATTTATCAATCAACGGACTGCAGTGTGTCCACCTTTTAGGATCCGATGGATACGATTGGCACCCCAACAGAAGGGTAGCGAAAAAGTAGGACGGTATGGATCAGTTCTTTTTATGCCATTCTCAACTTTTGACAGTGGAAACGCCAATACATATATACAGAACCAAACCTTACTGAACCTGACCGCTTGGTTGAAATGGGGCTTGTGTTTTCCAATAGACGCTGATATGAAAACAGTTTTTACAGAACATAAATTGTAGAAAACAATGCAATACTTTCAGCACTGTCTGCGAGCACATTAAGGCAGAGTATCACAGCGAAGCAATGACACACATTTGACAACAAATAATCATGAAAAGAAAAAAACCTACAAGTTATTTCCTAATGAAAACACACTTCTGAGTTCTTTCACATATTCTTATCAGTGCACAAACCTCAATGGAATTACTATTCAGAGTCATGCGTAAAATGTTTACAAAGTGGCGGCCATATCTCAATCAATCAATCAATCAATTAGTCAATTTTTATTTGTATAGCATCAACTCCTAACAAGTGTTATCTCGAGACACTTTACAAAAAGCAGGTAAAAGACCTTACTTATTGCTATATTACAAAGACCCGCCCTACCCATCATGAGCACTTCAGCAAAGCAGCAAAAGTTACAGTGGTAAGAAAAAAAATCTGTGATTCTCAGTAGTTTTTCCCCCTCTTACAAAACCAAATCAGCATCAAATATCTCATATCAGTCAGGCTGGTTTCAGCAAACAAATCTGTTAATTCATGAGTTTCTAGGTGAGGCCTAAAAGATCATAAGTTAACAAACAAAAATGTCAAGAATGTTGAGTCATTCAACAGCCTCTGAAGGAGCGCTGAACACCTTTCATGTCATTACTGGAGCAAATGCTTATTACTTTTAAACACAAGAAACCCTTAAGCTGCTTCACAGCCTTTGAAATCAGCAGTGACCTGAGTTATTTACAGAACAGAATACCATCACCCAGTGCATTAATTACCAAGAATGTGAGCTCCTCTGACTGTACTGCTCTGCACATAGGAAGTATCAAGCAGCAAACCACAGAAGCCAGCACATCAGATGACTGAGCTTCAGCAGAAATACCTAGCAACACTTGCTCACACTTCCTGACAACAGAAATATAATTAAACTATGATGTAGGTTTTTAATCTGGAGGCTAAATTGATACTTGCATGTTTATAGATAGACAGCCTTCAGCTACAAAGGGCCTGTTGAACTTTTATCAAAGGTTCCACACAAGCAATGAAGTGCAGGAAATCATCAGGAACTTTCAAACAAACATGCAAAACAGAGCTGCAGACTTTCAAATTAGAGCTACATGATCACACCTATGCTTCCCTACTTCTCACACAAATCAACACCTCAACTATTTTAAACCACAGTTTAGAATTACAGCTGCTAACTTGTGTGATATACTTGGTAGTGAAACACAAAAATGATAATAAATGACTCAACTTGGGTTATGGGTTTTCATTTAAAAGTAATATTTAAAAAAAAAAGATTTGCTGCTATTCTTTGTGTTTTTGTTGGTAAATAAAGAGTCCTGAGTATTCAACAACCTAATCAAATGACCGAAGTGAAGGTGGACTCCTGCTCACTTCCTAAATTGCACAAATATTTGGCACTGGAAAGTATCTGTGGAATCTAGACAGTGCCCACTCTTTCTCTTGTGGCAGCTTTTGGTTAAAAATATGACTGACGATATGTAGCTTTATAAAGGTGATTGATTTAAAACATACATCGAAAAAATATCGACATAAAATGTTGACATCCTAAGCTCCTATCCTAAAACAAGCAATTTCAAGACAACACCTTAGAGGTTTCAGAAAAACAGTGATGGGCTTTTTTTGACTGTTAATTTGTTTTTTATACATTTTGATCATTATGGTGAAAGCTATTGACGGATTAATCTGTATTGAAAATAATCATGAGTTGCAGCCCTAATCCTTTACATTCATTCAGCAACACAGCCACGGTGCACTGATCGCACGTCTATGGGCAGTTCTTCCTAAAGCAGGATAATTCATTTAAAAATGGGTCAATATAGATTATATATGAAGGATTAACAAGGGAAGGCAATGGACAAACTGCAAATTAAAGATATGGACAAAATCTATATGAAGAGCAAGTTAAGGCCAAGCGGCAAACTCCGGTGTTGAAAAATGAAGCAAATGCGGAAGTGCAAGATTCTGCAGTTTGTCAAGTGTCCATTTGAGGCACATTGAAAAAAGACAGTTTTTAAAGTGGAAATTGACATGTTTACAGCCTGGTTCAAAAAACAAAATAGGTCTGATTAGTTTTTGCCCTTATGGCACACTGTACAGAGCAGTATGGGGGCACTGTAAGGAAACCGTTTTGATTTAATGAACCATACCTGATATCCATAGTTAGGCTCGTAGCTGACCTGATTGACAGTTTGGTGCGATGTACAATTTGCCCGAAGCCCTAAAAACCCGAATCCAGCTCTCAGCCTGTCGCTCGGTTGACTAAAAGTTAGGCTGAGACAGGATTTCCAACATAACGGCTGCTCACAATAAATCCCAACTTCATCAGTATGTAACTTCGCAATATGACCAGCTGCAATGGACGGATCACAAAAGTCTGAATGTATCGCAAATGATTAAGAAAAATATTTTATGTAAACAAGCAATGCTTTCTCACCATGCATGCCTTACATATGATATATGGATGGAGGCGTGGGCATGATGGCAATGCTTCCACACAGTTTAGATGCAGTCAGATGAAGCTCTAGATATTTTTCAGCTTCTCTTAGATCATTAGTGCCGAGTTAGCAGTATGGCAAAGTTACCAATAAGCAGTATGTATAGCATGGTAAGTAGAAACACATGAAGAAGGGTCTTCTTGAGTTAGACTCAGGGATTTTCTGGTTTTCTGTGCATGCTCCTCTCTCTCTCTCTCTCTCTCTCTCTCTCTCCATCTCATTCATACAGACACAAAAATGGCTCTGTTCAAGTTCAAAGGAAAGGGGCCTGGCTAGAAGAGCCGACAGTCTCCACCGCAGGACAGCAGAAACAACAGATGGCCACTCCTCTGAGGGCCTCCTCCCCCACATCCGTCTATCCTCCTCCGACCCCCCCTAGTCCTCACTCTTCACATCCCCCCATCTGCATTGAGTCCTGATCCCCCTCTTTCTCCTCCTGGCTGTGGCCTCCGACGAACCGTCATCCCTAATCCTCATCTTCCCCAGAAAGCGACCCCAGGTTCTTCTTTTTTCTGTCCTTCCACGCTGCCTTACTTTTCTTGATGATCTTGAACGCCTCCCTCTTTAATCATTTTTCATTTTTTAAAACTATATGTTTCTGGAAACCATACCCCCCTGTGTTTTTATTTTCCTACAACCCTTTACTCATCCACCCTCTTAGCAGACACAGCCCCTAAATCAACGTCTTCTCAAACACTCCTCGTCCATTCATGAACTTCTAAAACCTCCTCTTACCCCCCATTTTTCATCCCCTTCAAAAGTCTTGCCAACCCAGCTCTATACCATCAAACCCCCCCCCCCAAGTCTGGTCCCTCCTCCTCGTAGCCTCAACCTCTATCACCATTAATTTCACCACCTTTTTGTTCCTATCCCTCTCTGTCAGTGTCTTTGCCTTCAGGCGTTTCATCATTCTGCTCCATTTCCTCTTCTCTGTGTTTACCTATGCATTCCTCACTCTCACAGCCACACAAAGTATTAACAGATATTTCCATTACTCCAAGAGAGGCTGAGGTGGTTATTGGTATGTACACAGGAAGCATGGTCTATTGAAAGGTGTCGTTTACCTGAATGATGTGTGTTGGAATCTTCGCTCATTAAAGCTTCATTTGGCGGTGGTCAAAATGAGTACTAACAAGATTTAGATTACAGAGACAAAACAGCAGCAGTGTAAGAGCTGCTTCTACTGTTTTTACCTTTTTCATCACTTTTTATACACTTTTTATCAATGAAGAATAAGCTATTTGGCATTGGCAGAGAAGATTTGGCAAGTTTTTCATGGGTGCAACCCACATACTCAGCTCTGCTGCTCATCCCACAAATGCATGTTCCTTACAAATGTGGCACCATTTAAAAGGGAAATAAACAGGCTTTCCAACAGCATAAGATTTATTACCAAGAGGCATTGTTACAACAAAGAAATAATCTACCAAACACAAGTTTCTTTACTTTTTGTGCGAGTCTTATTTAATAAATAAAGTATTTGTTCAACAGTGTTTAAAATGGTATGGCGTCTCATATCTACAAATAAAGGAGAGTCAGATTACAATTGGTATGGCACAAACTTGTTGACACCTTCTGGTGGTTATTCTTCACGACAGCATGAATAACATGATAAAGCTAAGCTGCAGTTTTCAAACAGAAGCGTGATAACAAAGTGGCAACAGTTGTTAAACTCACTTACACACATGCTTTCAGTGTGTGGATATCCTTCACTGAAACTGCTGGTGGATGTTTATTTTTCACCACAGTGGTTGACACACTTTCAGGTATTTAAGTTATTATGAATAACCTCAAGTGTTTACACAGCTCACAATAAAGGTCTGGAGGTTTTTAAATATTTTGTGATACTGTATCGATTACCGGAAAAATATATATATATAAAAATAAATAATCTACATGCAGAGATTTTACTTTATACTGATTTAGACCAATTATTTTTACACTGCACCAAATTCACAAACAAAGCATTTTGTTTTATGAACTGTTAAAAATAAATATCCCCTGGGGTTTTTGCATTATCTATTTATTATCATAAATACCTTTTTTTATTGCATTTCTTCACTCAAATTGTATGCATATGTTCTTCTTCTTTATACTGTGTTAGTTTTCTCAAAATTTGATTCAAAATTGCTCGGTTTCACCTGCATGACAGCATCCCCGTATATCACAATATACTACACTGAACCCATGTAACAAATTTTTGCAGAAGTGTTGCCATTGGACGAAACCTGTCAAGCCCAAACAAAGTGGTTTTCGACAGCTTGCACACCTGGAGCACAATGGGTTCCTTTATGGTTACATTTGATATGGCTTTTTATTAATATGAAATAAAAACGTCCATCGTTTGCAATGGTTGAATAATTGTCAGACCAGCCTTTCATGAACACATGATGCACAACCCTGAAACATCACGATCAGCTGGCAGACAACATCCAGTTTAATCAATGAGCCGGACACAGAGCTAAAGCACGAGAGGGACACGATGGAAAGTGAACATCAAATCACTTCAAGTCCAATACAAATCCACTGGTTACATGGATTTGCAGTAGAGGGCTAGTTGCTGTGAGCTGAGACAGTAGTGACATCATAGTACACAGAGTGTTAGGAAAAATACATTTAAATTGAACATGATGCAACAACTGATGTGATATGGAGCTGCACATGGCTGAATGTGGTTTAAAATCTTTTATATAATCATGATGTAAGAGATATCACAATCCTTCCTGCACTTGATTTTGCGTGTTAACCAGTGTTGTAGTCAAGACCCCACTAACCGAGACCAAGACATACCCGAGTCCAGAGTGCTCCGAGATCAAGACCAAGACCAAGACCAAGGCAGGACGAGACAGAGAAAAGACCAAGACCATATGTATCACTTAAAAAATCATCAACTTGTGTTTAGGGGGCGTGTCACTAATTTAGACCGTAACACCAGGAAGGTTGCATTCCTCACTGGGGAGGCCAACCAAACTACAAAAGAATTATAAGTAATTTTTTTGTTTTAGAAAAGGGCGTTTTTTCCTTCTAATCACAGTTATGAAATGAGAACCAGGCGATCAGTGGTGGTCTTGATTTTAAATCCGGAGTCTGTCCAGTCTGAGACCGAGACAAGATTCCAAGTCGAGACCGAGACCTTTAAAAACTGGTCTCGAGACCAAGACTCATCTTGAGTACAACAACACTAGTGTTAACGTTTACCAAATCCAAAGGTCAGTCTAACATGTAAACAGATATGTGATCACTCTCGCACAACAAGCGCACAAAAGCGAGACAAAGTGTGTTTTCACATCCAGAACAGTCACAGCAAACCAAACTCAGAATCAGTTGCTATCAGTCCGTCAAGGCCATGATTATTTACTTCTCACCAGAACAACTCAACTCCTTTCCTGGAGGAGTTGTTTTCTCACACCGTTTATCTAAGCCAAGCTGAGCCATGCCATCATTTCACACAGTCATGGTGGCCTTATTAATACAGTCAACAAGGAGGGATAAAGGGAAATAAATGTCTCAGCTGAAAGTTATTCAGAGAGAGGATTCACTGATAATTATAAAGCCGGATGTGCATGTGTGACATGTATGCCTGGAGGAGGAAGAGGGGATGAAGTATCAGGGTTAACGATCCTGTTTAAGTGACATCTCTGAGGGTGATTGCATCTAATTTGACCTAAAAATGTCCAGAGAAGACGAGCGAGTAGAGAACAAGATAGATCAAGTGTTTAACCCAGCAACAGATCAACATGACAAGATTAGATGAAATGGATAATTTCAGTTTCACACCACTTACTTGTAAAGGCCGTGCACTTCAAGTTCCCTCTTTATATCTTAACCTGACAATTTCACAAGAGACCCCAGCATGATTTTTGTCACGTAGCAGGGGAAAAAAAAAACTTCTCCTAAATGAGCATGTGTGATCTGAAACTCTGTGTGACCTAATATGAACCACACAGGATGGATGGAAGGGAAGGAGGGAGGCATGAACAGAAGATGATGTGTTACGACTAAAACGAGATTGAAAGGTGGGGGGAAAAAAAGTCAAGTAAGGAAGAAGAAAAATCCAAAAGATTCTTAAGACGTCCTGGAAGGATAAGCACAGAGACTGTAAAAGCTGATCTCGACCGACCTTGAAGACATCAGAGAAGAAACCAGAGCCGATCCACTCGCAGGTGAAGTCATCGAGGCGTGTGAGGCAAGAGAAGGCACTGATGAGGGCTCTGTACGACGACGGCCACACCCTGCCCACCTGGGGAGGACAGGAACACACCGGTATCAGCAGATGAAGATGAAAACCTTATTCATACGGACACTAATATAGTGGGAGCACTGCTTCAGCTCACTTAATGTGCAAGAGATAGCTGTTGATAGGTAACTTCACCTTTAACTGGGACATGAATGTGTTATGACATAGAAAGACTGACAGCACAAACATACACAGATTCTCTCAGAACATGAGCGAGAACATGAATCATTTTTGCTTATTCATTCCAAAACCATAATGAATGAGCTCAACCAATCAGAGGCCTGATCATTTATTGAACATTTACTTTGTTTTCTAATATTTTAAGTGCAGTACCAACAACTCACCTGTGGTGGTGGACCCATGCCCATCTCGCCGCCTCCTACCCCTCCGCCACCGTCTCTGTCCTCATTACTTCGCTCTGTTCGTGTAGGAAACCCAGCGATGGAGTTGCGTTTATTCCGGTCCATGGCGAAGTGGAAGCTCGGGACACCAGTGAGGGTAATGTGGGCCTGTTTCGGTAATGTCCCCACATGACAAGAGGACGGGATTGTTTAAGTGACGCCGGGTGCTCCACGGCAGCACGGTGTTGACTCAGTGTGTGTCCTGGGAGAAAATGTGTCACACACATATACTGCAGATTAAAAACGGTGCCTAGGGCGGCCCTGGTGATGCACCCCGGCTGGCTCCAAGGTGTTTCCTACTCATCCAGATCTTACTGCTTGTAAGGAGGAAGTCAGCCAGGATGAGAGAGTTTTCACATGTTTGAACGTTGTATGCTGAGACCTCGGAGCCCTGCAGAGAGTAAAGAGAAACAAAGACATCAGGTGATTTCTGTTGTTTCATATTAGGAAGGGGAGGAAATCATCAGTCTGGTTCTTGTTCAAACACAACAATAAATTCATTTTTATGTGAATTATGTCAAAGAGAAGAACAGAGTCGGGGCATAACACATCCATCACATTCCCTTCCACAGGATAGAAACAAAAGCTGCCTTGCTATTCTTCACTGAAAGTTTTGGCTGGTTTAATAATAGCAGCTGGAGATGTGGACTGTGTTTTGCCTTTGGATGAATCAGACAAGCTACTAATGCTCAACAGGACCGAATGTAATGGCTGTAATAGGGGCCGATTGTCCAATTATGGGAGATTAGCCAAGGAATAGCTCAGGTCCTGGTCCTTTCTGCCATCCAAAACAAAATCAGCAGGGTACAAAGGGTAAGAGGAAGGGAGGTCTGTTACTAAAGGTCTTTCATACACTCACAAACAATGTGGCTTTCATATCTAACCTCTAAGAATAGTTTATTCCGGAAAAACATCTCTTTGGTTGATGTTATATTTTTGGTTATGAAGATATTTATCTGACACTACTTGAGAAAAATGGAGTTAAACACCTTTTCTTTCACAGAGATTGGGGGAGAGAAAAATGTCCCTTAGGTTATTTTTGTATGTTTTTATTCACATTATTACACAACAGATGCACCAATGTTTCCTTTGAACATACATCGGCAAATAATGAGGCATGCACCGATGTAAGAAGCCGATATTTATCCGATGCATCGAATCTATTTAAAGCTGGCAAGCCTGTAGGCCATACCTTACTGCTGACTCAGAGAAGAGGTTTAAATATTTGGGCAGAAGAAGTCACCTTATCAAAACAAGCTGATTTGTTTTCATGGTCAAACGCGAAAGAAAGTGTGCGAGGCTTACAACGTCTCTGAGAAAGATCGGCGACATGCTGTTTGTAAGACGTGATCCAGTGACATTTGAAGAGGAGGGACAACTAACAGCGAATCAAATACTTACAATCTCACACCTACAATTATGAAGAAGTAAAGATTAAAAGATTTTTTTATCTGCAATCATCTACATAGTATCAGTCCTGATTTTCACAATTGGTGAATCTATAAATTGCATCCAAATATTGAGCTTCTTATCTTCAATTGCTTAATTAAAGGTGATCTATTCTCACTTTCCAAATTTATTATATCAGTCTGGGACGTCTATTGAGTAGCGTTGCAACATGTGCAGCTCAAAAACCTCGTTGTATAATGACTTCAATAAAAACCCTAATTTCAGCCTCTGCCTGAAACAGCTGATTTCAGCTGCTGTCTCTTTAAGGTCGCGCGCCCCTCGTGCTCACTTTCCTCTGATTGGCCAACTCTGCTTGCAGTCGCAGGGAAAATGTGCTTCCGGGTGGGCGTGTTCTTGAAATAGCTGCCGGGACGGGAATGTCCTACAACTTTGCCTACCATGCTTTGCTCTAACACGGCGGCAGAACTTGTCTCTGTCTTTTAGTATGGACAAGATCGTAACATTATACTGTAGGTATTTAAATATGGATCAGCAAATAGATCTCCTTTAAAGTATGAGTGAAGCAGTCTTTATTGAAGACTGTCTGATGGGAAAAGTTGAACTGACCTTTAGTTGTGCTTAAGTGCATCCATGATTTGTTTCTGGATTAAACGATACACAGTTCTGCCTGTTTTTTAAAATCGTTTTCTGATCATTCAAAGCTGGTTGAGGTCATACGCTGTAACATTTCCAGCAGCTCACTGAACAAAACAGGAAAGAAAAAGTCCCTAAATTACTTAATTCAATGAATTCCAATAATCCTCCTGGATATCAAGTGCTCAAAATCTGTTTCAACAAAAAGAGGAAAAGCTTTAAACACACTCGTTAGAGCTCAATGAAACACATGCGTAACTCACACATTCACACTTCTGTTTATTTACAACAAAACGAGGGGAGCACATTGAAAGAATTAGCAGATTAACAGAGGATTTAGTAGCTACTATTTCGATTAAAGAATATTTCTTAGGCCCAGTCCTTTAGTTGTGAGGATTTTTCTATCAATCAACCTTAACTGAATATTTGTTGGGCAAAGCAAGAAGTTTATTGATCTGACTTAAGGAAATGTAGGGGACACTTTATTATTTGAATGCTGTTAGAGTTGTAGAAGTGTGAAACTGTTTTTTTGAATCTAATCACAGAAGGTAAACAATGACTAACTTCTCTTTTCTAGTCGGACTAGTCCTTTAAGTCCTCGTGTCCCAAAATGACTCCATGCATGTAAAAAGTGCACACAGCCTTCACACACTTTTACTACCACAAGGCCGGTCATTGTTTGTTTGTTTCAAAGTCCTATAAGTGGGAGGAAGAAAAGTAAGAAGAATGTGGATGAAAAAGATAAACACTTAGCTGACCTACATTATGCAGAATCACAAAAGTCAATCTAAGGCAGAGGAGGTCTCATAAGATCACATCCTAAAAACAGCACTGGGATGACACAGATAGATTCCTCCGTGGTCCGTTAGCATTACATCACAGACATGAGAATCCTTCAGAGTTGCTGTGTTGGTCACTGGTCTACTTCTGACATCATTCTCTGTCTCAGCCACATCCTTAAAAGGCTTTTTATCCTCTGCTTTCCTTTTTTTTTTCTCCCCCTCCGATGACACCTAATATTTTGCCTTGTTAAAAATGGTACCGCAGAAATAAAAGTGCACATGCCAGGAGAAATGCAAACCCACATGTGCGAGGCCTACTGTGTGTTAAGTTTTCATTTCAGTAGATGGAGCGAGAACAAAGACACATATTTATTTATGTTGTGGTAATAGAAAGGGCAAGAATAGGTTTGCATGAAGATATAAATTCCCCGTTGGTTTTTTGAAACTTGAAACAACAGGTTAGCCACATACCCACAGCGGTGTCCAAAGCAGCCAATCCTGACAAACAACAATCTTTGTTCATTTTTTCTTTATTTCCCTTAAGCTCTGTCATGGAAATTAACAAAAAACGCAGAATCAGCGGTGCTTTAGAGGACACTGTAGCGGAATAAGAAGGTCCATCTCCAGCCAGGATGATCTTTAAAGTCTCGATCAATAACAAAAAACAACTCTGAATGTTCTCTAGAGCTCTAAATAAAAACAAGACATCAGCTACAATTAATATATTGACTGACAGCCCAACAGGGGAGTGAACACTGGCTATATACTCAAAAGATAAACCTCATCCAGGAGGAGTATACACGTTCAATGATCAACTATCTCACATCATTTTAAAGGGAAAACCTACAACTTTATCTGAAGGTTCCCATGGCACGTGTGTGTCCATCAAAGCACCAGGTGGGTAATGGCAAACAGCCAAGATAAGATAAACCTGATAATTAACCCTGCTTGGGAATAAATTGGCAGAGTGGAAATATTTTGGATTTCTGAGGAAGGTGGGTCAACAGACAAAGCACGAGTCTGAGATAACAAAAATATTCAGGAAACTAATTCGACCTGGCGCCTCAAAAGACTCTTGCTAGCCTTCTTTTGGCACTTAAACATGAGAAATGTGACACTTAGGAAACAAATACGGTTGAATTGTTCTTTGAACAAAATGGCATAATTGTTTCTCCTTTAAATATCCGGAAGAGGCCAGTAAAAAGACTGTCAAGTGATATGTATGGGGGGGGGGGTCTTTTTTTCTGTCATTTTAAAAGTGACAGATTGTTTTAAATGGGCATTTGAAATGGCCTCGTATCCATCACTGGTCCCTGGATTGAAATAAAATAAAATCACAACGTGGCAGCCTTTGTGATATCAGCAAATGTATTTTTTTATTCTTCAAAAGTATGCTCTCGCGATCAACCCTCGCCAACCTAAGCTGCTAGGTTTCTTCAAGAGGCGAGTGATAGAAAGAAAAAAATAGGCAAGCCGCAGTGTTCACTTCTATATTTGTTTCCAAACTACTCCCTGTTGCCTACATATCCAAAGGGCACGCATTTAAAAAAAAAAAAAAACACCACAGCAAAGGGACTACGCTTGAAAAGGGGTGAATTTTAAAACAGCCGGCCTTATTTTGGGTCTGTAAAATGTGGCCGTATACTTCAAAACAGATGGGTCATCTCCAACTCAGCCTCAGGCCACATGTTTTAACAGTAGTCTTGGGGCCTGAACCGTATCCAGCTGCGCCTCAGTCGATTACAGGCTAATAGAAAATGTCAACAATAAATCAGAAGTTAAGTGATGTTATAATGATAGGTTGCAGCGAGGCTCAGGCGGGTGTCTCTAAGGGACAAGAGGTATTAAATGGGTGTGTGTGAATGCCTGTGAGAGACAATTATCTTTTCACAGAGAAGGAATGCATCAAGAGGAACAACTTTGATTTAATCCTCCTGATTTAAACATTAGGTGTATTAAAGATACACATGTCAAAACAATCATCTGCCCCTTCAGTAATCTGCTGCCCTTTCTCCTGATGAGATGGTTGAGAGATCTCCATTCACTTTAAGAGCAATCTCTGTCAAGCATTTGAGCAAGGTCACATTCAACAAAAGTGCAAAAGAAGCCTCTTATCTGGTCAGGATCTGTCGTGTTAAACTATGATATCTGAGCTGCTGCATTGCCTGTCATTCTTCAGGGTTTTAAAAGTAATGAAAAGAGCACTTAAGACAAGCTGAGTGAAGGAACAAATCTGCATATGATGTGGATGGAGTCAAAGCAGCCAAAAGAGCTGCTCCTACAGAAATGTAAAAGTACAAGGGGGTTAGATTCAGAACAAATGGCTGGCTCAACATGTCGGTGAAGTGTGAACGCCACCCCACAAAATGTAAACAAACCAAGCCAAGCAACAGTCGGTGTTAGCTGTTGCGCCTTGTTAATGTAAAGATAACTCACCGGTTTTTATTACGTAGAGACGTTTGCAATAATCATCCAAGCTGGGTCCCATTGCCTTTTTCCCTTTGGCATGTATAGAAAAGCGACAAGCGTGTCCCCAGAAGCAGCTGAAGTTGAAAACACGTAGCTAGCTCAAGGGACTAGCTGACTGGCTAGTTTGTCAACAAAACTAGAGCCAATATCCAGCAACACACGTTTAAAAAAATAAAAAAACAGGGAAGTTTCTCGTCCAAACGGTATTAAAGTTTCTCAAAATGAGCTCCAAGTTTTCTGTCGTGGTTCTTGAACACACACACACACAAAAAAGGGGGCAAAGTACGATGTTTTCTGTACCGCCCGGGATAATATTTCAAGCGATTGTTGGTGTTTGACAGCTCCGTCGCCACTCGGCTCTCACCCGAGTACCTCCCACTAAGCCCCGCCCATTGTTTGATAGGCAGGAGAATGGACCAATCAACGGCCAGATATCAATGGGGCGGTGGTGCGTGCCACTCGTAGTATTTACAGTCTGTGGTGCCACCGTGTTACCTAAACGCAGCATAAACAATAATAATAATAATAATAAAAGTAATAATAATAAGACACCTCAAAAGAAAATTTGAATGTATATATTTAATAGGCACGATGTAATTTGACATAGTTTCAATACAGAGTATGAAACTGATGTGCTGCACAAAGACTAAATTGCTATTTTAATTTTTAAATCTTGTCTGCAGTTGAGCCTTTAAAGATGCTATAATACAGCATTCACACTATTGTTATCCAAATCTTTATTAGTGGGAATGCACACTACAGCATTCACACTATTGTAATTCAAATATTTATTAGTGGAAATGTTGTAAACAGCATTCACACTATTGTTATCCAAATCTTTATTAGTGGGAATGCTGTAAGACAGTAATACAGCATTCCCAAAAACTTCCCTGACCAAACCTCTTGGGACTAACTTTTTCGATCGCTGTGGTTTCTACATTTCTTGGATATCACATCAACGCGTTCATTTGTCCTCTTGCTCTTAAAATCATCATTTAGCCACCAACGCTTAATTTAAGCCTTTGAAATGAGCACTCAATAGGGAGACGTTTTCCCCTTTTTCTCATTGTCTGACTGCATTCAAGCAGTCTTTATAAGATAAGATAATCCTTTATTTATACCACAAAGGGGAAATTTACAAAATGCAGTATCTTCTACTTTTTCTATCACTTCTACTACTGTTTCTTCATCTTCTACTAATAAGCTTTTTTCTTGTACTGTTTCCTCATCTTCTACCAACACTTCTTCTTCAACTACTCCTTTTACTTCTTCTACTTCTTGTTCTTCTGCTTTTACTACTTTTACTTCTTCTACTTTTTCTTCATCTTCTACTAATCCTTCAGCTGTTTCTGCTGATTCTTCTTCATTCAGCAGTGTTTTGAAAAACATTTCAGCGGTCAGCATTCCCACGCATTTTCCGCAGGTAAATGCAAATTGTCTATTTATATTCAAAGTCCCCTTTCGTCAGAATAAGCTTTATTGTCCAGGTATGCTCACCAATACAAGGAATTTAACTTTGATAGACTGTACAAACGTATGATGTTTAATTATTAAACAATAAACTAAAACTATGAACAAGACTACATGAGACAATAGTGCAAAGCTGAGTAACAAAAGATGTAGAAACAAACGTGATAGTAAAGTATGTAATCATACAAATGCAGAAAAAGCACAAGCCTTAAAAAGCCATTCAGCAAAATATCAAATTAAAAACAACACAAGGAGATCGAAAAACAATAATGATAAGTAACTTTATACTTATTTTATTCAGGACAAAACAAATGCAGAGTGCAATCATAAATACTTAACATCTGGTCACTTTAACAACATGTCTGCTTGAATATATGCAATAATTTTATTTTAGTTCAGAGTCACAACCTCCCCCTGTTTCCATCGTTATTTCTTTATGAGCTATGATGTGCATCAACTTGAGGGCATGTCAACTTATTTAACTTGAATTTGTTTGCTATATTTTTTTCAGAGAGAGAATAGATAGATGGCCACCTGTCAGGAGTGTAAGAATCTCTCAGAACATTTAAAATACTTTTCAATATATGATAATTTTTTATCATATTATCAGGATTTTAGATAATAACATTAGAAATCAGATCAAAACATCGGTTAAATATTACTCCCAAGGGCAGAGGCTTTGACCTCAGTCTTTATGACACTGTAGATATAGAGCACCATCTAGTGGACAAATTAAGGCAGCAATAATATGCACATCATTCTACAGCTAGACATGCCCACCCCCCAGTGGTTGCTTCAAGTATCCTGTGTGATTGTTGAACAACTTTTCTGAAAACTTTGTGGCAAAAATGTAATTAATGTTTAAAACATGATGGCAGATTAAAAAAGATGATCATGTTTGAGCATCAATTATGATTTTCCTAAGTCACTCATTCTTCCTGTAAGAAACAGGAACAGACTAGTAAACTCTGCAAGACAATATCAACAACAATAGAGGTCAAGTCACTTTTGTTTTCATGTGTTCTTTTCTGTCTCTTCCTTATTGTTAAAGCCCATTTAGACCACTTAATGAACAGCAATGTAATTGAGATCAGAATCAGAAATACTTTATTAATCCCAGAGGGAAATTTAGTCGTTACGGTTGCTCTAAACACAATATAGCAGTAGAACTATCATTATATACAAATCAAATATTAATAAAATAGAATAGGAATGTAAGTAAGATATCAAGCAATAAGTTCAATAAATATTTACACGAATAAGAGTAAAGTAAATGTTAGAAAACAGCTTCGTACTGAGCACATAAGCAGATAATTTACTGCTGACGACAGATAAAGTAGGTCTAAGCTTTATGTAACCTATTAGACAGGCGGCATGCACAACACAACTTTACCTTTACCAACAGAGTTAACTTTATAGCTTCCAGACCTTCCAGCATTAAAACATTAGAATAGAATAGAATAGAATAGAATAGAATTACTTTATTGATCCCAAACTGGGACATTGTGGCGTTACAGCAGCAGGTTGTCAAAACACACAATTTGAGTAAAAAACACAATGTTAGCAAATTTAAACACAACATATTATTAAATACAAAGTAAATAAGCACTAAAAATATCAAAACTAAGAATGTGAATATATACAACCAGGATTTAATTTAGCATTACTAGTCTTAAAAATGAAAGATTAAATGTAAATGTGCAAAAACAGAGTTGTAAATGGACAGTATTGACATAGGGAGCTGTGCAATCAGTGATACTATAAGTTAAAGTGCAGGAGTGTAGACATGTTATTATATATGTATTATATTATATCAGACATATTATTAGGTGGTGTCATTGTTGGTAAAATCTTAATTCCACAATAATGCATGATGTTATTATAATTTGATAACATTAAATGTGGAAGTTACAGTCACAGGTGACATTTTATGGTTTTGAATACTTTGTGGATTTTATGGAAGCCCATTTCCACCAGTCGAAAAAGTCGAAATAATGAGATAAAAAGTTGAAATAATGAGATAAAAGTCATTCATATTTCATTATCTCATTATTATGACTTTATTATGTCATAATTTTAACTTTTCAACTAACACCCTACTACACTATTCATTTTTTAAGTTAAAAAAATAAAAATGAAATTATGAGTAAAGTCATAATAATGAGATAATGAAATATGAATATGACTTTTTATCTCATTATTTCAACTTTTTATCTCATTATGACTTTTGTCATAATTATGACTTTATAATTTGTTATTTTTTTTAACTGGTGGAAATGGGCTTACATAAAATCCACTTAAAGTATTCAAAACCATAAAATGTCACCTGTGACTGTAACTTCCACATTTAATGTTATCAAATTATAATAACATCATGCATTATTGTGGAATTAAGATTTTACCAACAATGACACCACCTAATAATATGTCTGATATAATATAATATATATATATAATAACATGTCTACACTCCTGCACTTTAACTTATAGTATCACTGATTGCACAGCTCCCTATGTCAATACTGTCCATTACAACTCTGTTTTTGCACATTTACATTTAATCTTTCATTTTTAAGACTAGTAATGCTAAATTAAATCCTGGTTGTATATATTCATTCTTAGTTTTATATTTTAGTGCTTACTTACTTTGATTTAATATATATTGTGTTTAGATTTGCTTAAATTGTGTTTTTATCTCATCATTTTGACTTTATTATTTTATTGTGTTAACTTTTAAAATGTATAGTGTAGCAGGGTGTTAGTTACAGTAGCCTACTTCTTACATTGAACAGCGTTTAGAAAGTTATTCAGGAGCTCAAATAAATTAAGTCTTAGATCCTTGCTTTCTAAAAACATGAGATTATCATGATCTGGTTGTTGCACTGCCTTCTTCTTCGGTTTGTTTTGTTTGAGAAATTTTGTCCTCTCGTAGGTACCGTCCGTCACGTGATACACAGTGTTTCCGGTTACTATTGTATTACACTTCCATGTTTTTCACCTCAAACTGTGCCTGTAATGTAACCTACACAGGGCAGCGTTGTCACTGTTAGGTGAGTCCTCCCAGGTAGGTGAAGTTGGATTATCGGCCGTCACGTCGCTCAGGTTGCGTCCAGTGGGAGAGGTGTTGTGACCCCGGGGGGGAAACATGGCGAACTGTTTGGCTTTCCAGAGCAAGCTCACCTCGATCATGGAGATGTTAGCTAAAGCCGCCGTGCTGGAAATCAGCAAGCTGTGGGAGGACGGCTTCACCCTCGTCCAGGTGGAGCTCCGCCGGAGAGAAAACGAAATAGAAGCGCTGAACAGGAAGTTGAAGGTGATGGAAAACGAGCGTTTGACGGTTCTGTCTCAGGTTCAGACTACAAATCTGTCTTCATCATCTTCCTCCATAAGAGAGCCGCAGAGCAAGCTGCTGCCGCCTACCGGTGACGGTAAGAACTACCACTGAAAAGACTATATTTTTATTATTATTATTTTTTTATTTGTAAATTTTATTTAATTCGAACAAACAATAAAGTTAAGAAAAACAAACATAAAATCTCAAATTTTGAATGAAAAGGAGCAGAAAGAAGACTAATCTTCTTTCACAAAACATCAGTTAAAACAAAACAGAACACTTAATTAAAAAATAATTAAATTAAATTAAACTGGCAGCCCCATTGTAGGTCCTCCTTACCAATTCATTATCAAAGCATATCACTATAATATATTATTACTATGTCATGTGTTATATTCAGGGTTCACAAACGTCATGGAAACCATAGAAAACAGCTTTTTTAACCCAGAAAAAATTACTTGATCAAGAGCACAAAACCTGGAGATTAAAGTTATCATTACATAATACAAGGAATGCAGAAGATCCCAATATTTTAGTGATTAAAAAAAAACATTCTGTACAATTGTATGTTTATTGAAGCAAATTTCAAATTGTACCCTTTTTCAATGACTCACCTGTGTACCAGACGATGTTATTTATTGTGGATACCTCAGTCTCAAAACAGAATTATCTTTTTTATGACTCCAAACGCTGTCTGGTTAAACTTTTCAAAATGCACCTGCTCTGTTGTTTCAGGGCCGATAATAGATTCAGTCCAGACTTTGTCGTCCGAGCAGACTGTCAGAGAGACGTCGGACCCCTCGGCCAATCAAAGAACACCACCACCTTCGCAGACGCAGGAGAGAGAGACTGAGCCGCTCAGGTCTGACCAATGCGAGGACGACGGTCAGGACGATGACGACTTAATCGTCAAGCTAGAAGACGAGGACGACGTGCAGATCGTGGAGCAGGTGGTGGACTCCGATCAGAGTATTAACGATGGAGCAGTTCACCATGAGATGGATCTGGACCTCCAACCCGCCGAGGTGGTGGAGGAACAGGAGAACCAGCATTGGTCGTTGGTGTCAGTGGGAGATAGCGACACGGCTGAGGACTCAGACTGCTTTTTAGAACCGAAGCAGCTTTCACAAAACCTGGACTCTGAAATCCTGCTCATTCAGAACGCGTTGGACATTTTTGATAACTCAGCAGAGACGGCATACTCTGACATGTTGGATAACCAACAAGGTGCATCGAGTAAATCAAGGACTCCTTTGTCTTTTAACCAAGCTCAGCCGAGTCAGCCGTTAGAGAGTCAGCCGTTAGAGAGAGGAGTTTCTATCAGATTCAACAAACCACACACTAAAAACTTTGCAGCCTTTAACCCCGACCACAGGTTCTTACTCTTAAACGACCCCGAGCTGCACAAAAGTATAGCGAGTCGCCCGATAAGGGAGAAATGGTTCATCTGCCCGTTCTGCGGGAAAAGCTTCGACCGCATCAGCCATCTGCAGATTCACCAGCGAATTCACACGGGAGAGAAACCGTACACATGCGACACGTGTGGGAAGAATTTTTCACAGAGGAGCAACCTTCGCACTCACCAGCGGACTCACAAAGACGCTCTAGCCCAAAACGCTGTTTGATTGAACAGAAGTGGAAGACTGGGAGAGCTAGAAATATCTCTGTGACATTTACGTCGAGTTCATCTAACATATTAAGTTTGTTTTCTGATACTGAAAAGTAATGTAGCCGAGTGGTTTTACTGTTATTTTTAGGATAAATCAAAACTTTGACAAAGCTTTGTTTTTTAAAAAAGAAACTAACTTTGGTACGTATGTATTGATTTTAAATCTGACCAGTAAAGAGTTTTAAACACTTCCAGTCCTGGAGACACAAAAAGACAATAATCAGTCTTTAATATTTTGCAGATTGATGTGATGCAGTGTGGATTTGATTGTCTTTGAGGGGCTGTAGCTGAACTGTAACAGTAGAACCTCTGATGTCCTGTTTCATCTCTTCTTTTCTATACAGCGTCCATATTCTGGGTTGGTAGTGACTATCAACAAGCAGGTTAAACAATCTAAACAAGCAAATAAAAAAAATACTTACAAATATTCCTCGACCAGATGGAAAGACAAAAGAAATCTTGACGCTTCGTAATGCTGCTGAAACAGGAAACTTTGGCACCCGGTTTCTTTTTTTTCTTCTTTTTTTAAAGGAAGGTAATATTTCTGGAAAAGACAAGAAAGTGATAATTTTATCAATTAAAATTTTTAGCTTTGCATCTTAATGTTTTAGCTTCCCATGGATATTTACAAGTCTACAGACGATGAATAGGGCCAGGCATGAGAAAAAAATAATGAGAGCAGGAAGATTTGTTTTCAGTATGCACTTGAACAAGAAAAAAATCAAAAAGTCGAGAGAAACATTTGAAGAATAAAGACAAAATTTCACAATATTGTATTTCAACGTAATTCTCGACATTTGGCCTTTTCTTATCAACATTTTGACTTTATTCTCAAAGTGCATAATGGAAAATTAATCTCCCTCCTATCATTATTAATTTCTCGTCCTCTTCTGTACAAGTCAGTGAAGTTAAATCATTAGTCAGAAAAGACTTCAACACTCGTATGCATCAGTAAACGTTGTGTAGAGCGATCTCAAGGGGGAGGGGGGGTCTCTGGGGGCTTCATGGACTTATCTGTGAAGGTCGTTCTCCTGTCATCCAGTACAGAACGTTCTGAATGGAAGAGCTGCATTTGAAAGAAATTGTTGAACGTTTTCAGAAGTCTGCCTCTGATTTCACTTTCTTTAAGTTATGCATTCGATGTTACCACAGGTGTCCAGTTAGCTTAGCTTTCGCACAAGAACTGAAAAGAGGAAGCAGCTCACCTGGCTCTCGTCAAAGGTCACCAGGACTCCTAACACTCAACAGTTCACAAGTTTTCTGTGAAACTCATTAGTTGAAAATATACCGAGCTGTATATGAACAAATGTAAACAAGTTGAATGCACACTTAGCTTGTGTGCAAATCGAACAACATAGCAGGTTAAGGTGAGTATTTCAGACTCTAGGGCTCTGGTAGGCGGATATCGTTACTACTGGACGGAGCCGGGCGAGGCTGTTTTCCGCCCGTTTCCAGTCTTTGTGCTAAGCTTGACTAAACTGCTGCTGTCCAAGCCTTCATAGTTTTCCTTACAGGAATGAGAGATTATTCTTTTTTTTTTTTTTTTGAATTTAGCTCTGAAAGAAATCAAACACTTGTATTCATATTCTCAGTTATTTTTTGGTCATTACTGTAAGCGCCAGGAAATCACTACAGTCTAATACAAATGTTACATAACTTCTACAGCTGTGATCAATGATATCCCTTTAACCTCATGTCTGAGCTGTAACAAGTTTAATTGTCGCAGGTTATAATGATTAAAAAAAAAACTGACTTTGTTTTTATGCTGCACTTTTATGAATAAACATTGAAGCAGTTACATGTCAGTTTCTCAGTTTCATACAAAAAAAACAAAACACTGAATGATATAAAACAATGTACACAAAGACATATACACGTAACTGACAGAATGGTTCATCTTCTGCAGGTTTCTTCTGGTTCGTTTCGTCGATGTGTTCTGACAAAGTAATGTAGACGACCTGCTCAGTGAGGTCAGGTTAGCTGTGTCTGTCCATTAACATCTATCAGTGTTCATATTGTGTCTGTGCCTTAGCTCAAGGGTTACAGCTTTGTTGTTGTTATATGTAGCTGTTAAACACACAACCACAAACATACAGCAGTTCCTAAAATGTTTTTTTACATATATAATACATACATACATACATACAACAGCTTCTTATCACTTTGTTTTCAGCATCGAAGCTAATAATATCAAAATCGTGAGTGCACTTATAGGTCACATGATGCAAAATACACTTAAACATGTTTTTCAAATACTAATATGTTTCCCTAGTCTGTCTACAAATCACTCAACTATGAGAAAAGACAATCCTCTCTGTGTGCTCAAACAGGCCGTTTGGAGATTTTCCCTTCATGACATCACAAAGGGCAGTAACCCATCCCCCAGGTGGGTGACACTCCCACAGCTAGGTGTTTGTTCTGCCCTCTGAGTCTGCCTTCTCACTGTGAACAATAAGGGGCGGTGAAAGAAAGCCCAAGCCACCCACCGTTCCAGAAAGGGGGCGTGGTCAGACACAGCTCATTTACATTTAAAGCTACAGACGCAGAAACAGCCTGTTATGAGCAGGGCTGAAATAGAGGGGTTTATAGACATGATCAAATACAGGATCTGAGTGGATTTAGAACAAGAAACTTCACAGACATGTTTTTGGGGAGCTCTGAGACTTATTTAAACATTTTGTAAATTAGTATAGTATGTGACCTTTAACCCTTAACTTGTCAACACATTGGATATGTCTTTGATGTAAACAAGGAACTCTTAAGTTGGCAGGATTTTTGAACACCTCTTTTGTAAAAAAAAAAAAATGTCCATATGTAAGATAGCAAAAGCAGTGGATACAACGTTTTATGGTACACACATTGTAACAGGGCCCTTTATCCTTACAGTAAGTGGAAGGAAGAGGTTGCTTGGCATCTAATTCTCCATCAGTGGATTTTAGAAAAAAAATGAAATTAGAAGATATCTAATCATAGGGCTGATTGATGACCATGAGCAACAACCTTGATCCTATCTGCGGTGTGGCATCATCGTCATATCTCTTTCCTCCTCATTCCCCGATTTTTCTTGCTTTCAGAAATCTCAACTGTTTGTGAGCTTCCAAAGGTACAACATGCCTCAATAATATTAAACTTCACAATTTTAAATGATTGGATAGTGTTTGTGAACTCAAAAAACTGAGGTGAAAAATAATCAAAGTTCGGCTAGTTTTTGGGTAAGTTACCCACTGCGGTCGCTGTGCACACAACACAACGGCTGTACATTGAGGTCTCTGTGCAGGAATGCAGACCGACTTCTCTCTCCCTCTCTCATGTTTTGGATAAGAGTCTGTGCTCTAGATGATCTGTCCTCTGGGGTGCAGCAGGATGGCATTGGAGTGTGGTCTGGGCCTCAGGACCCCGTTACTGTAGTAGAAGTGATTTGTCAGCGCCTCAGAGATCTGATAGGAGCTGCTGTCTTCATCATCGCCATCATCTCGTTCCTCCTCTGGAGGCTGGATGTTTACCCACTCCTCCTCAGGCGGGGACTCTCCCTCCCTGGGGTGCGCCAGCTCTGGTTCTCTGGGCTCGATGCCGTCTTCCTGCTGGGCCTTCAGAGGAACCAGGGAAGAGGGCAGACCTGAGTCCTGGTATAAAAGGAATATAGATACATTTGATGCCTGTGTTTGGTTTTCTAAATTAAAATGGGACATGATCCCAAATTCCTTTATGGACTTAAAAAAAAAGCTGTTGTAGAGGTTATATAATCAGCTTAAAATACAAAAATCTTAAAGGAGTTATAAGTTACTCTGACACCTAGTGTTTAAAATTGTACTGCAGTCCAAATTCAAAACATTGGAGAGAGCTGTCTCCCCCCCCGCCCCCTCCTCCTGTCTAGAGTTGAAGCTCACACAGGTTGCCATGTTGCAGACACTGAAGCTTCAGTGTTTAGCCAGCTCTGCATCGGTCTGTAAACCATTCTGCGTTCTAACTCTCTCTCCTTTTTTTCCCAAAGCATCTTCAGTATTTATCCTAGTTTTGCCTCGCTTCTGCTTGTGGAGCTTTCTAGAAAAATGCCGAGGCTTTTTAGGTCGCATTCCCTTCCCCGCCTCCATCGCTGCAATACATTCATTTTCACTTTCACCAAACTGAAGCACACACACAGTCTCTAACATTTTTGCAAAATGTTGCACAAAGGGTGGAGTTAGATTGTTTTGCACACTGCTGATTTCTTAAAGGAGCAATATGTAAGATATCTACTGAATTAAATCATAAAATGATCTTACTATATCATCGGACATTATGGAAACATGTTCTGGTGAAGCATGTCCTCCTCCAAAGTTAAGATTATGGTCTGGAATGGTCAGTATTTGTTTTGACCATTAAAAGGTAGGCAACTTCAAGGCACCCCCTTGTGGCTGTTTGGACGCCCCTTGGTTTGCCAGGTAAATGTCAAACCAACATATATGTACAAGGCACTTCATCAGAACTCCATTCACTCAATTTGCTGCATGGTATTGCAAAGATTTGTCAGCATTGTATGACTGTGGAAAACTAAAATCTCTTCAAACACTTGATTCTATTTTTAAATAATTGTAAGATAATGTTATAATTTCTACAGGACAAAGCTGATCAGACGATATTTTAATCTTGAAACGAATCACAGAGACTTCTTTGTTCTGTTCTGTTTGTAGCCCTTTGATTTGTCTCCATGACAGTGTCTCACCTTGATGATGCAAACACATCAGTGAACACATGAAACATGACAAACGAAACTCTGTGCATTTCAACCTAATCTCTGAGAGGCTGACACATACCAGTGACATGTTGCTGCTCTTCAGGTACGACTCCACCCTCCTCCTGCGCTCCTCCTTCTCTCCGTCCATCTCCGCTACTCGCAGGCTCTCTCTGCCGTCGTGCCAGACGACGGGGCGCCCCAGTTCATCCACCTCCACCCCTCCTGCAGGCCCCCACTTCCCACCCAGAGTGGACTGGCTGCCTTTGTACATGGGCCGCTCCTGAAGGCAGGGAGGAGAGCAAAAACAATCACAACTCTGATAACAACAGCTATAGAAGATAACTATGCAAATGAAGCAGCTGTAACTCTTTTATTATTCTCTTATTGATGTTTAGTGTTTGACAAGGGTCATGAGAAGCTGTTAAATGATGCAAATCTTTATGTTCGGGGTTTAAATTGGACCCTTTTTTTGCACTTCAAATGTCTATATTAGGCATTTACCCTACAGGTTTATTTATGTCCACATTGTTAAGGTCCTGAAACATAAATTCTGACTTAAATGAGATTCAATGTCATGCTTCATAAATGACTTTAATCATTACTTTGAATTTAGCAAAAATTTTAATTATTGTCATTTTTTCTGCATTTCATTGTATCTCCTGGTACCTAAACTAACCTAAACTCCTTTAAAATAAATTAAAAGCATCGAGATCATACACCCCGCCCCCCCATTATTGATGAAAACTGTCAATTATTGAACTATTTAATCTCCTTATGAAATGATTTTTAAAAACTTATGACTTATTTTTTTAGTTGGGGCAAGGAAGACATTAGGCTCTCTTCCGCCTTTCTTTAAAAATTTTTAGCTTAATTGTATTATTTATTTTTTAGCTGAGGTGACTTTTTTTTTTACTTCACATAGCTGACCTGAATCATAAAAGAGTCACTAGCAGGGCGCAGGTGGCCTAGTGGTTAGGTTATGCCCCATGTTTAGAGGTTACTGTCCTTCAAGCAGGTGTTCCAGGTTCACGTCCGACCTGTGGCTCCCTGCTCTCTCCTGATTTCCTACTCAACTGTCCAATCAAAGAAAAAGTGCTGCTAGCATCGGAGCGCTCATTTTCTTTTACTGTGACAACAAAAATCTAACTCTTTTGACCTTAATCCCACTCTACATTACCCCTGTGGACATGTATGACTCCACCCCCCCCAAACCGCCCTGTAAAAAAAAAAAAAAACACAGGTAAAAAAAAAACTCACCAGAGACATTTCACTGTTTTTCATTCGGCTATCTACTCTGAGCATGGCGTAATCTTCCGCCTGCACAGAACAGAGACAGCGAGAGAAAGTTACAGAGAATAAACACAAAGGATCAATAAAATGAATCACATACAAAAGAATATTAACAACAACTGTCTTTGAACTCTGCATGTTGTATGTTTGAAGCTGCAGCAGCCTGTAATCATCGGCCTCTACAGCAGACTCGGCTGCTGACATGCCTGCGGCTCCACCCTGGCTAAGCCCGGCTTGGGGGCGGGTGTGTCAACCTTGTTGTGTAAACCCTGCAGGGTATCGGTGTGTGTGCAGGTGTGTGTGTGTGTGTGTGTGTGTGTGTGTACCGGCACTCTGGGGTCTGTGCTCACAGAATTGATTCTTCTGAGGGATGCTTGTCTGGAGAAGCTGTTCATTTCCTCCCTGGGAAAAAAATAAGACAATAGATCAAAATGTAGACAGTTTAAACAGCACGCAAACGGTCATCATGATCAAAGCGATAGTTAAAGTGGTTTCAGGTTCTTCAGTTATCCAGAAAATGTGTGTGTGTGAGCTCACGTTTTTTCACTGAGCTGCCTCTCGAGCTTCTCGTTACGGAGTCGGTGGTATCGGTTGACCAGCAGGACTACAATGATCAGCACCATGACCAAAGCTCCAGCTGAGGCTCCAATTATGATCAGCAGCTGGTTGTCCAAGAGTGACTTTTGTTGAGATTTCTCTGGAAGAAGGTAAAGAGGAACCACATCACATCAACACATTCAAAAACCAAGAAAACAAAGTTGCATGCAGCAGCTTTGATCCTAATTAGGTATTAGAAGATCTGTTTATGTCCTCAATCCACCACAAGGGGGCAGCAAATTTGCTCAGTTTCTTGAAATGAAGAGAATAAAATGTCCATCATTTAATTTCTTCTTTCTAAATTACCAACAAGAAGCATCACTGTTTCTCATTTTACTCCTGTGCGATCTTAACCACCTACAAAGCTGAGATTCTTGGATTCCTAACACTTACCTGTTACTGTCAATGGTACTCTGTTTTTCCTTTTCCCACGTTGTTCCTGGCCACACACTCATAGACCCCACTGTCATTCAGGAGGAGGGCCCGCCCAAACACAAGTCTCCCGCCAATCACAGACACCCCGTCCGGCAAAGCTCCTCCTCTCCTGTGGATGACGGGAAGTTAATGTCAACATTCATTTTAAAAGGATGTGTCACTCACAAGAGGTGAACCCGAGGATAAAAAAAAATACAGAATCGACGAGTCACTGCTTGAAGCAAAAAAAGAGAGGTGACTCATTTTGGGTGATTGAGAAAGGAAATAAAAAGAAAGCGCAAAGTTTAAAGGCTGAAGGAAGAAATGCGCAAATATGTAATGACATCTGATATAAAACAGAAGTATGAAATTACAAACGGGTTTTGGTTGAGTAAACACAACACAGGATCAGGTTCAGTGCAGAGTGTAACCATCAATTCACTCACACCTAAACCAAAACCTGCTGAGCTTACAGACGGCACCCATTGATCTGAAAAGACTCAATAAATAGCAGGTTTAAGGGATTTAGAGCTGGTCCTGCTACTGAGTCCCACACTGTGCAGCTGAAGACATTGCAGGCCGCATAATGGAGCCAGTTTCTGATCAGGTCCACAGAGAGGGCTCATGTTGCCCCAGGTTTCACTTTGCTGCAGCAGCTTTTTAAATGCTGCTTCACCACCACCACCACATCCACCCCCCACCCTAAAACTGGAGCCAGCTCAGATTTCTCCTCTCCAAAACCCCACCTAGCTCCTCTAACCCGCCTTTTATCTCAGAGTCACAAGTGGAGATTGAATCTGACACAGAGAAGATTGTGAAAAATGATAGAGATAAGGTGTGTAATCCACCTTTAGCAGCCAGAAAGATTCTAGACAATGAAAGAAGTTGTAAATCGGCATATTCTGTTACCATTGGAGCTTTAAATGCTAAGCAGATTTAAGCTACGTAGCCCATTAACACTTTAAAAAGTGGCAAACAGTTGATGTCTGTGTGCTTACTAATTTTCCCCAAGGCGCTCACCGCTGCAAAAAATAAATAAAGAAAGAAAAACAACCCTAATATAATGTGGAAAGAACATCAGAAAGTTTCCAGAAAACAATATTTGGGAATATTTGTTTTTTGTCCAAGAGGTTTAATTCTCTTTTCATCTGTTAATAGATGTGGATCCTTTCCAGCTGCTACTACAGAACTGTTATTTTATCTTTGAAGAGAATAACATGAGATGTACATTTAAAAAGTCCCACCAGGACAGGCAGAACTACTTTCCCATGTACCGGTACATGTGCTGCATTCATGTGGTGTCAGAAACATCAGAAAAACAAGTTTCTGTGAACGCCTCCTTAAGTCAGCAACTCAGAAATTCAGGAAAGAATTTAGTGCCCAACTTGCCGACATGTCGTCAAATTCTTCACCAATATGGCGGGCAAAAGATGATTTTTTTTAAGTGGTGAGAAACTTTTAATTGATTCACGTATCTCACATCAATTTTTTGAGTTAAAACTCTCTTATCAATGAGATTCATTCCACACTTCTTCTCAGCATCAATGTTGTTTGTTGCTGTTGTTACAACATTGTGATTTTCCGAATTGAAAGCACATTGAAACAAACTGAAGTCAGAGGAATGACTTCCCAACTCAGGAAACTGGGACCATCCGAGGAGCACCTGAAAGCAGCAATATAGCTGACTAAAGACTAGAATTGTTGTACTTCACTTTGATCGAGTGTAAAGAAAATGGTAGTTTGCAAAGCTTTGTTATCAAAGTAGATTTCCCATCACTGCACAGCTGATGAAATATTTAAGCTTTTGTTGTTTTTTTTTTAAACGAGCCTCCCTGGGAATAGAAAACTCTGCCCCGGTGCTACATGTAAGAGCCAAACGGTCTGAACTGATGAAAAGTTTTAATCCAAAATAATCTTAATATTCCAAGATGGTCTCATGTGTGAAATATGTTTCCCTCAGCCCACAGAATTTGATCATTGTGTATTCAGTCGCAGCTGTAATGGCTGCTGCAGTGTCTCTAATTAAAGTGCAGACCCTGTGTTTTAGCAGGCATTACAGTGATATTTAAAGCATGGCTCTATGATTAAGTGCTTAGTAAGTGTCTCCTGCTCTTCCTCGTGTCGCGTACTCCCTCCCTGTGTGAAAATATATCTCCCTCGCTCTTTTTCTGACTTCAAATTGGGCAACACGACACCATATCTTTTATTCTGCTGTGAACTGAGCTCGTGGAGAAAAGCGCCCTCCTTTACATTCAAGCGCCCTTCTTTGTTGTCCACAGGCGTGTAGTCTGTGTGTGTGTATGTGTTAGCGGCGGCTTATGTAGGTTTGGAGACACATTCCAGGACCATGTAAAAAGAGATTTAGCAGCACATATAGCGTTACAGGGGTCTGAATTAATATGTAATTGTCAGGTTCTCGCTGGCAGGCAGACAGATTTAAACCACAGACGTGTACGAGAAGCAGACAGGCTGATGATAGTAGCCTTACCGTGTCCAGGTGATGTTGTCAGGTTTTGGGTTTCCTCCGCTGCCGCACATCAGCTCGGCTCGCTCCAAACCTGCAAACCAGTCATCTGTACCAGCAGAGATAGTGACATCTGGAGGGTCTGAAACAAAAAACAGAGACATAAGAGTACAATAACAAAAAAATGTGACGCATGCAAGAGCTAAGATGAAACCTTCATGTTTTATATGTTGTTGTACATATGCAGAGATGGTCATTTGAAAAATGTTCTGCATCCAATAAGAACACAAAACGAGGAAATATTTAAACTCTTTTTATACATTTTATATTTATTGCCTTAAAACAACATTACTATTCAAACACAACCTTTGAATTCTGACTTTCATAGGGTCTGCAACATTTATGTTTTGAAATTCTCCAGGCTTTGCAAAAGAAACTCGGGTAGCAATTAAAGAAAGATGCTTTGTTGTTTGCGTCTTAATAAAAAATAATTTTGCACAAAATTTGAGACAATTTTAACAGCCTCAGTGTAGGCTGCGGCCCCCCAGTTAGACCTAGGGGTACTGCAGGTGGGCTGGGAGAAGTCATTTCATGAAACAAAGGATTTCATTCCTCACTTATTTTTAATTTCTCATTTTCAGATCATTCTTGCGATATATTGATTTTTTGTTTGCACTGCAGTGCCATTGGTCAACATTTACATGGCATTGGCCCACTTGTGAGATTTCAAAACATCTTGGAAATACTTGATCTTCGCCTCAGGTGTTGGTAAGAGTTGTGTGAGTAGAGGTATGATGGGACTTTATAGTATTTATTTTTATGATTTCTAAAATGACCTCAGATTTTTTAGGTTTGGGAAAAGTACATTTCTTTACTTGCATTAATGGCTCAAAAAAATGTGGAATAATTAACAGCACACTCTAAAGATTGACACTCTTGTCTTGTTCTAGTTAAGACAGTGCTCTGAAACCAATACCCACAGAGTGTGACTGTTTGGACTGAGAATCTCTGCCTTGTTGTTTTATTTGGGCTCTTTTTTTTAAACTTGACTTCATTGCAAGAGCTTAAATTAAGGTTTGAAACCGAATCAAATTAAATGAGATGGTTGCGAGACAGCTCAGGGAAGTATCATATATTTCTGTTCACTTTCCTTTCACTTTTGCTTCGGTCAAGTCATATTAACTTGTCTAATCCAAAGTCACAGTTTCATGTCCGTCTGCTTGTGCACAACTAACAAAGAGCAAGCAGGCACACTTCCTGTCACAAAGATATTTAATCATCACCATGTTTCTACACTTTATGGGCGTCAGGAAATATTCTGTGTCATCTGTGGATGTAAAAGATTTTTCCTTTACGCACAAAGTGTCTTTGTTAATTCAAGTTTCCAGATAATTTAGTGCACTCTGACAAGGCTTGGTCTTTGTTTCTCCTTACTGTTATTCATTTCATCATCATAATCTTCATCATCATCGACCTTTATTTAACCCTTAAAAATCATTAAGGTTTCCATTAAAACCTCAACCTTGAATTGTGAGAATATTTATTGATTTATTGATTTGTTTTAATTAGGGCAGTACATGAGTCAACACATGAGTAAATGTAAATATGAATGAATTAGCACAACAGCTAAATTGCAAGTTCTTGCTATTATGATAAGTTTTGACTAGAAGAAATTTAAGATTTTAAAAATGTATCCAATTTGCACTCCATCTGCTCCGCTGTTGTTTTATTTGGGCCTTAATATAAGGCAGCATCATCAGTTGTACTCACATTGAACCACCAGGCTGTTGGAGAGCCTGCGTGGCTGCTCCAGTCCGGGGTGCCACACCAAACAGTCCAGCTTCTTCCCGTTCATGCTGCGCAGAGGGTGCAGCGAGTAGTAGCTGGACACGGAGCCGCCCGCAGTGGTGCGGTTCGAAGACTGTCCCGGCAGGTCGGTGTCCCAGGAGAGGCGGGGAGGCGGGCGGCCTACAGCTCGACAGGAAGCGGCCAAACGGAACGACTGGCCCTCCACCAGGAGAACCGGCTCCAGGGACGAGATGGGTAAAACTAAAGAAGACGAGGAAGTGGTGAGCATAGGATTAGAAGTGCTTACACTTCACTCAAAAATGTGTGAAACTTAACGGTCAGAAAAGATGCACTTTGACACTTCAAAGCTGATTTCACATTCTTCTGCTGAACTTAGAAAGTTTCTCAGCTTAAGTCTGAGTTTAGTCTGAGAACATACAGTACAGGACGATGTTATCAGAACTGGTTTTGACTGTTATAATGTTGAGCAGAGCGCAATTATTTGGTGCAGTTCACAGACTATTTAATACTCTTGATTTATCACTGTTGCAGTGTCTAAATGCAGTTTTGTTTTTAACTTATTTAGTGTTTATTTATTTTATTTAACCCTCTTCAACTGAGAGGAGAAACACTGACATTTTGTTTTATATTTGTGTAATTACAAAAAAGTACACAGCTTAAAAAACATAAAAGGAACATTTAATCATCACAGTCTCATACCAAGTAAGTGAAACTTCAGGGATATCAATCTGTCCATATCGGAAGCACAAGTGATTGTGAATCAATTTCCCCTGCTTTGGTGCAAATGAAAGTGGGTACAATGGCGAGGCAAAAGCAAAATACGCCCCCAAAAAAAGAGGCGGTGGCTACAGACAATTTCTCTCTCCTTATCCTTCTATGACTGATATTTACTTCTCTAGCCTGAGGTGGACCTGCAACCCAATCAGGTCGCACAGGTAGTCCAGCTCCTTCAGCATGGCACAACAAACGTGCAGCCTGAAGTAGTTTTAATGATGCTGATCCAAAACGCTTATGTTGTGAAACTTTCCTACAGTTGGGCATTGTTACTGCATTAAGATTTAATTAATACTTGCTAGTATTAATTTAATCTAGTAATTATTACTTTCTAGATACTTTAAGCATGCTTCACTTTGACTCTACCTAAAATGATCCAAGGTGAGAGTTATTATTCCTACTTAACCCATGAGTGTGGTGATTGTCATCGTACAACAGGGGCAAGTTTGAGCAAGAAGCAATGTTGCAAATGGATTCAGACAAAACAAAAAAAGAGTCGAGACACCGCTGATCCGTCACAACAAAAACGTAGAGAGACTTCCGTCATTTTCAGATGCAGGGTGCAAATTAAAAACTTCATCAAGTCAAGTCACAAATATGCAAGAAGAAAATCCTGCAAAACTCTCACGTTGATCCTGATCCTGATTCACACCCTGGTCATCAAATCAATCACTGTTGCAAATATTCTCAGTGCCTATAAGTCTTTCCACTGGTGTTTGGATTATTAACACAGACGACGTAACAGGTAGTTAGCATTAGCAGAAATAGCCATTATGGATTAGTAGACAAAGAAACTGGTAACACCTGTTAAAGCCTTATAAACAGAAACTCTACAAAGACATGACCTCATAGTAGCCTACAGCCCACTGAGTTTGAGTGACAGGTGATATCTGGGAAGAGATTTCCTGCAGGGATAATATCGTGTACACTGCAAAAAAAAATGTTCCAATGTGGTTTTTCCTTCCTGATACCGACTTAACTGTTGGGTGAAGTAGCCCTCTAATAGGAGCGGTGTAACATAATATATCATCATTTTGATTTTACAGCTCGAGGCTTTACTCCTAACCCTGTGTGGATGTGAAATGACTGCTATCATTTTTGTATGGCCTGGCTCAGAAGCAGAATCACCCCAAAACAAGCTGAGCACTTAGAAACTGTGATCCTCAGTTAAAAAACAGAATATCCCAATCAACATGTACTGCTTCATTTAGTGTTTGTATAGCATTTAAATAGCTTCACCTTTAGTTAAATAAAAAACAAAGTTGTGAAAAATGAGTGGCTGGAGAACTCTAGTGTTGATATTTAGCTAGCTATGGCACTTTTGGGGGGTTTTGCTCATTTTAGCTGGCACATGATTCATCTTAAAGTAGTTTTCTCTGCTGCTCTATAACAGTAGAACATCTGCTTGTGACATGAATTATATTTAATATAACTCTTGCTACTGTTGCAGAAGAAGGACAAATATTTTTAGTACTGTATTTGTAGATTTGAGGTCATATCCAAGTATTTCAAAAACTGCTGGAACAAGCACATTTTTATCAAGAGATTAAAACGACTCAGATAATCCCAAATTCTTATCGAATTTAAAAGAAAACGATAAAAACTGTAAATATAAATCATCTGAATATGACAAGTGAAGACAATCTAGATTTATTAGTATTTTATGGATTCCCTTGTAGGCAAATTTACTATTGTATGGTTGAATGTTTGTTGTTTAAGGAGTGGAGAAAATTCAGTGCTGGAGGTTTTCAGTTGCTGGCCTGCGTATTTCTGTTGATCTGATCTGTGGCGTGTAAGGACACGCCGAGCTGTCACCATGACTGATACGCTAACCGATAAAGTTATTAAGAACAGCGAGTATGATTGCAGGTTTACTGCAGAACGGATCCCATAAAAAAAGACTTTCTCACAGTTGCTTATGTGGTTTCAGTGAAATCATGACATAAACAACCAAGAATGAAGATACAACATATTTTCTTTGTTTTGGAAACAGGTGTGACAAAGTTTTGGACATTTTCCACATAGTGAAGGCTCATTAGAAACTCCAGAGCTAACAGGCGCTTGGTAAAAGTCGCCTGACTTCATGTCAAACACTTTGTGTTATTGCACCAAAGATGATGGATGATGAAAAGATCTTTCACTAAAAGAAATCCAATCGTGATAAGCTTGTTGTGATCTGCACCAAACAACACGTTTCATAACATCTGGACAACAATATTTTGGCATCTCTGCAGCGATACAGAGGTTTTTTTATGCCTGTTTTTCACACATTATGTCTTTATCAAAAATTGTAGCCTCTGGGATTTGTTTTTGGGGAATTATTTATGTAACTTTACGTTTATTTTGCAAACATTTTTGTAGTTCATTTAGCTATAAGACACATCTGGTGACATCTGATGTTGTCTTTGTCTGCATCTCTTCATGTAGTCACTTATATGTCTATATAATCTTTGAAAGGCTTTTATGTGAAGACCATGAATGAATTGAGGAGTCTTAGGGTAGACTTTTAAAGCTTTTAAGGTGTAAATAAGAGATGTCTGTGTGTTAGAGGCATAAAATGTACTTGAAATAACTTAAAACATATCGGCACTAACTCGAATTCTGTGGTTTGAACCAGTTTATTTTCATACTAGAGCACAAGCTGCACCTTTCTTTGACACATCTGAGAAACTATCAATCTGCCTTATCATCCGCAAACGCTACACATGACAGGAAATTATATTTTTTTGGCATGATATCGGGCATCACTTCTTTTTTTTTTCCTATCATTACAAACTTGTATTTCTCATATTTTTAACCTGGTATTAAGCAGAGAATAATGTGAGAAAATAATCCACTTTTTGCTTTTCACCCGCTGAATATTCAGTCAGAGTTGAACGCAGTGGCCATGTTGGCAAACGTGCAGATTTTTTCCCCTGGTTCTCTTTTTCCTCTATGAGGATGATTACAGTTTAAACATCATTACTGCAGCTCTAAAAGGATCAAGAAGGTGAGGGGGGGAGAGAAAGAAGAAAGAGAGAGAAGAGGGTAACTCTTACTCCAGACGGTGAGTGAGATTTGCCGCTCAAAGTTCCCGTTGGGGAAGGTGGAGATGTGGCAGGTGTAGCTGCCCTCGTCCGACTCCTCTGTGCTGGGGATGAGCAGAGCCGAGTTCTCCGTGGGAGTCCCTCCCTCAAACCTCACTAGGCCGGCGTAACGCCCGAACTCTGACAAACAAAACAAAGGCAGTCATCATCACAAATAAAAGCTACGCCAATAAATGAAACTTAAACATGGAAACAAAGACAAAACCATAATCTCTAATCAAAGGAATCATACTATTAGACATCACTAGAATAAAACAGCATTTATCCAACAACGTCATGACTCCACCCTTCACACAAATATTCCAGGTGTAAAGCTTTACAGGCTCCTGGTGTGACGTCATTACAAATCAACACTGTAGAGATGAGTTGCTAGGTTTCTGAATATTTGCACATTTATAATCAGAGCACAGTGATGCAACGGTCGAGATTTAGAGAATAAAAAGTGTAACCTATGACGTCCGACTGTGACAGACATGGCCTGCACTGATTTATTGTATCATAGTTTTACTTTCGGTGAACTGAAACTGCCAAAAGCAAACAATTTATCCCTTTACAATAAAATCAAACGTAGCCCAGTCTCATATGGCTCTTTTCCTTTCTCATTTATGCTAGCCTCCTTTTCCCTTTGGAATATGTAAGCCTGGATAAAGAGTGAAGCTTGTTGTCTAGATTATTAACTCTAAGATTATTTTGTTTAATTGCAAATAACACTTTAATTAATGTACCAGGAGGTCCAGGAATAAAACAACCCACCAACGTAATCCTCATCCAGAGAGTTATTTCTAAGTGATGTTTATTTGTTTGTAGTTAGCAGTTTGGAATGTCGGCACTAATAATTGTAGGATATTGATCCAAAAGACTGTAAGTATTAAGGTTAAATACAACCTAACCACTATAGTATTAATGCTGAATGAAGGAGTGGCAGTAGCTGAGTCCATAGGGCCTCGAGTTGGGATCTGGAAGCTAACTGATAAATCATTGAACTTGTTTATGAAGCTGGAGAGATGCCAGCTCTGTTCCCGCTCACTGTTGATGTGCACTTGAGAAAGTCACCGAACCTCAATGAGGTTCTCCTAGTTAAATACATTTTAAATTAAAAATCTAACTGCAAAACATTTGTAACATTTTGGGTCCATATTAAAAAATTAGCCACATATTGGTTGCCTGGCTTTTGTTTAAAGAGAGTAAACTTGAATCTACTTTCATTAAAGTTTGCTGGTATCCCTCCTCACTCTTAACCCCTCGCTGCAGCCTACCTTTCCGCCCGTCTGTGAAGTGAGCGGTAATGATCATGTCCTTGCTGCCGTCCGGGAGGTCCTTGTACCAGGTGACCTGCACCACCTTCTCCCCTGCCTCCACCTGGTATCGACAGGGCAGTCTGGTCTGACTCTCGGCCATAGAGAGCAGAGAGGTGGCGGGCTGAGGAGGCTCCACGAACACACTCTGAACACACACCACTGAGGAGAGAGAGGGGAAAACATCCATCAATAAATTACTATCATTTTGACAATTTATTATCTGTGCAGGGGTATGACCATAAAACACAGTTGTTGGTGTTGTATGGTAGGATGCTAACTAGCTCAAAAGAAGTAGATTATTATGCAGATTTTAATAATCTCAAGGCTGCTAACATTTGCTAATAAGTACAAAAGTACACATGGGATTATTTTTTCCAGTATTTTGCCACTTAGAAAATATTGTTAAAACTGACATTTGTACCTCATGATGGTGAAAAATGAAAGTCAGAGCTGCACCTGTTTATCAGCAGTGGACCGATTCATGCTGCTAGCATTGCTAACAAGTTGTACAAAGTAAAAAACAGTAAAAGTATCCCTCTACAAAGATCAGCTATTTTTATATACTTGTCAGACTGGATTATAATGTCTGATGATAGCTCCTCTTCTTTCAATTTGTTTCACAGTGTTCATGACTCACGGTCTGTTAGCTGACTCAATGTTGTCTGTTCTGTTAAAGGTCACATAAGATCCTCCTTTTCAACAAGTTTAAATACGTCTCAGAGATCCCCAAAAAAACATGTCTGTGAAGCTTAGTGATGATCCTGTATTTCATTATAAACCCCTCTGCTCAAACAGGCTGTTTCTGTGTCTGTAGCTTTAAGAAATCTCATGTGTACATTTATTTGCTGACTTGACACCTCTGAAAATGAAATCAACTTCATGATTAAATATATCAGCTACGGTACTGTTCTTTAACAGTCCCAGTTTTGGAGACACAGGTTCAGATGCCTCTTCTCATGATTAGAGTTATTTATATCTTCATCAACGTTTATTTAAGTTCTTGGAGAGATCATTGAGGGCGACCCCTCATTTACAATGATGCCATGAATGAGTTAAAGCTACTACAGGAAATAAAAACAATACAAGAGCAATAAGAACAATACAATATGTAAGCTAAAAAAAGCTTAAAATTACTACAATGATAAGTCAGTAATTAAAATCAAATAAAACAGTTCAAGTCAGGTATTGGGCGGTTAAGAAGAATATTTCTAAAGTGTCCTAAAGGGATAAAAGTGCTCAATTTCAGGTCCTGTTGTAAAATATTCCAAGAGTTTGCAGCACTAACGCTTAAAGCAGTTTTCCCCAGTAAGTCCTGGCATGAGGAACCTGGAGAACCGGCCTCTGACTCGAGCGAGTTAAAAATGCACCGGGGTTCAGATGTAAACAAGGAGGTGATATATGAAGGTAGCTTTCCAGTAAGGGCTTTATTGATGAATAGATGATATAAAGTAGGTGTGTGTATGTATGTATGTATATACAGTATGTGCATTCATGTCTGTATATGTGTATATAAACTTAACCCTTATTGTGCTTTTGTAAATCATTTGATCTACAGTTCTGTCTTTTAATGAGCTGTGTTTGTTTAGCTTTAACTGGACTTTGAGTCTGTAATAAAGTTTGAATTTGACTCTTGTTTTTTTTATTGTTGATCAGATTAAAGAAGTAATCAGAAGACAACACCTCAGTCTCTGGAAAGATCACACGACCATTTTCATTTTTATCCCTTTAAATGTACCACATATTCATCAATGAATCTGTGATATAAAAACAGTTGTTGTTCCAGTCGAAGTAGTTTGTCTGGAGTATCCGTCCAGTCCACAACACAGATATCATGAATGTACACATGACAACATATTTCATTCATTCTTTTGCTTTAATCCCATTTTAACAGCTTGTGCCATTTCAGATCACAGGGGGGCTTAACCTTATCCCATAATGCATCGTGCTAAAGTTTTTGGTAAACTCCAGACTGGTTTGTATGTAGACAAAAACATTCTCTCCTACGGGCAGACAGCACTTTAACAATCCTGTTGACACACCAACACACAGAAATCATTCAGAGGAGCTTCATGCTGCAGGGCGACATTGCTAACAGCTTTAACAATAGAGCGCCTCTGTTCTGTAATTCTTTCTTTGAAAGCAGAAATCATTCTCGTATTGTCAAGAAAACGTGCTCAGAGAGCTACTGTGACACAGAGGAGAGATTCAATATTTGGGGGTGGCTTTAGTTTCTGCTTCAGGGGTTTTTCTCTTGTACTTTTAAGTCGAGGTAATTTAGGTCTTTACATGAGAGCAAAATGAATTAGCTGTCGTTTTTTGAGAAGTTTACTTGAAAAGTTTGCGCGTGATTAGTTTATAGAAGATTGAAGAGTTAAAGTTTTTATCTATTATTCACCCGTCCCCTATTTCATTGTTTCCAGTAGTTTAGGTAAAAATCAGTTTTGTAGGACAGCTGGAGAGAGAGGAAATGTTTGGAGGAGACAGCGTGGGGGATGACATGCAGCAAAGGGCTGAGGTCGGATTCAAACCTTCGACGGCTGCAATGAGATTTTTTTTATAACATGGTATGATAGATCAGTACAAATCTTATAATTATCGTTATTCTCACTTTAAGAATCGTAAATGTGCTAATTGAAACAGTGTTTTAAATATCTGAAAATATCCGAAAAATTTGATTTTTTGGTGGTTTCGTAAACAAATTTTGCAAAATGGCATCCCCATAAAGGGTTTTTTTCACGTACACTCACAAAAATTGGTACGCGTATTAAGCTTGTCAGGACGGACTAAAAATCCTCTTGCAGCATTTCAAAAAACCCGACAGGAAGTCCGCCAATTAAAGTTGAATTTCACAAAAATGGCCCAAAATTGCCAATTTCATTTTTTTCATTTGGACAAATTGCTGTATTATTGTTATATGGTAATAACATGCTTATGTATAGCTAGTTGTAGTCCATTTTTATTTTTCTTATGTCATTTATTTATCTTGCGTATTTTATGTATTGTGTCATTTCAATTTAAATAAACATTTGATCACCAAAAAAAAAAAAATCTGGTACTATTTCTCGTTATGAAAAGCCAAGTGAGATTTTCTGGCACAACTTCACCAACTACCAAGGAACATGAAGAGACTCTTTCTGGTTATTGCAGCTTGAGTATTAAGTATAAAGATGCTGTTTTTATGTTTTAGTTTAATGCAAGACAAATGACTAAAACTTGACTTACATACATGCACACCAAGTGTTTAGGAACATTATTTCTCTGCAAAATAACTCTTTCCGTTCCTCCAGTTTTGGCATTGAAGTTGATGTGATTTTAGAAGCACCAGCGATCCAGTCCAACATCAGTGAGCTACCTCTACTCAGTCTTCAGCGCCAACGTTCATGACTAACACTGACTGTATCTGGATCACACCTGGTTAAAAGTCTACATCGAAGCGTGGGACAGACACACAAACATGAGTGAAAAGGGTTTAAGAGGAAAAACCAAACATTTGCCCTTTGATATCTGGGGTGAACAGAGTTTTTTTTTTCTCTGTGGTTACTGATTCATGAGCCCAATCAATGATTACACGACAGCTAATATGAGACAGGACAAACTCCCACAGCTAGAAAATCCCACACAGTCACAGCAAGGACACATCGACAGAGTGATGACACAGAGCAGGAGGGGACACTGGTCTCTTCTCACACACACAAACACACACACAAACACACACACACACAGAGTTTACATTTGGTCGACAAAGAACCTTCAGTGTGGGCGACCTAATTGTAGAGAAGCGAGAAAGAAAGAGTAGAGGAGTAAAGAAAGCGAGAAGACGGAGGTAGACTGAAAGTTTAAAACAGACTTTAGAGGAGGCCGAAGACAAATAAAGAAAGAGGAGAGAGTCAAGAAAGAGTTAAACACTTCAGACACACACTCAAGACAAACATCGCTTCACAAGGCTGCCATTCAAGCTTTTCCTGTTCACTCAGGATGACAGTAACTTAATCACACTTGTGCTTGCAGGTGGAGAAGAAGAAGAAGAAGAAGAAGAAACAAAAATAACAGTCTAATACGTGCATTTGCTCTTTTAATTGGAGCAGCAGAGTGCTCCACTTTTGTCAGAGTTTAATCTCCACCGAGGAAGGAAACAAAAGCAAGCGAAAGAATTAGTCACAAAGACAGGAAGACGCAGGTTGGGCAATAAGTTGTGATTCACCCTTTTACCAAAAGTAAGAATGTGACGGAGCTGCATTCTGTTATGCTACTTCTTCCTCCACACCTGTAGGGACAAAACAGACACGCTGCAGGGGTCAAAAGGATGTGGACGAGGTCAAAGAACGCCCTTATGTGATTATTGAACATCACAATCGAAAACGTGTGGACGTTAATTAATCTGCAGTCTCCACTCTTCTCTAAAGACTTGATTTGTTCAAACTCAGGCCATTCAGGGTTGCACAGTCGACTATTTGGATCCTTGAAGGTGTTACATTGAGTTAAAGTCTGGACTCAGGGCTTCCACATCAAACTGGGGACATTTCTTTATGGAGCACTGAATGCTCTCTCTCCAAACTCTAGTCACAAACTTGAGACAAATGATAGTATTAAATATGTCGGTACACTGTGGCGTTTATAGTTCCTGTCTTTGATAGAGTTCGACGTATAAGCAGACACAGGTTTCCTGATACATTGTGCCCAAGAGTGTTAAAGGAAGCAGCGAAATATAACATTCAAGGAAAGAAAATGACACCACCTTGCTTCAAAAAGTCACAGACAAATGATCAAAATCAGGGTTGTCCAAAAACGTGTGGCCGAAACAGGCAGCAGGAGTGTTTAGTCTCCCTTTGCTGGATCTGAGAGGCCACATTCACACTGTGAGAAACTGCTTCAGGAAGGTGTTTCAGATCACCCGGCTGTCCTGACAACACCAGAGTGTATACTCTATGAAACATCACTATAACAAAAATAATGGTGGAAAATATTTTACCACACTTCAAAAAATCAACCAGGCGCACAGGATCATCGTTGTCCAAATACCTAAAGGCCACAGAGGTTAGCACTTAGCTTTCCCTTTACTGGAAATAATAGGTCTTGATAAAACAATGAATACTAAACACAGACTAAGCGTAAGTAGGTGTGCGATACTTTCGGCCTGTGAGTGTGTACTGTATGACTGGAACAACACCTGTGGGGATAATTCACTTACACCACATCTAATGTGATATCTCCTTCTTCTTCTTTATTTTATTTTGTTTTAATCTGGAATGTCAAATCTCTTTAAGTGCTCTTAATGTTTTGTTTTTCACTCTGTGAAGCACTTTGAATGCTGCTCAAATAAATAAACTTACCTTGCTTCGGAGACCACAACACATCAAAAAATGTGACACAAATGCACACAGTTAGTACGGTTGTTTATGTGATTTAACAACAACAACATTAAGACAGGAACTATTATTAATGGCAGATTTAGACACAGACAAACACCAGAATGAGGGAGGAAAATAAATGTATCTAACCACGTCAGTATTGGACCCTAAGTTATTTCTGTAGGCTACTCTTCCATACCAGAATAATACACAATAGATATTATATAATTTGTTATTTAAATGTGTCTATAGGTGTTTAGCCTTTTAATGATAACTAGGCCATATGTTGTAAAAGCAACCGGGCAGAATATTAAAGCTACAATAAGCATGAATATTATATTTATGTATGTTTTATAATTTCAAGCTGGCTAGTTTCCTCTGATAATAATATAAAGATATAGTGGACTCATATAAGATAGACACAATGGGAACAGTAACTACTCAGTAGGCCTGTATTTGTAGTAGTCTAATGCCAGACAGATTGCAACTCTGAGTTTAAGAATTAAAAGAGTCACTTCTTTATATTTTCGACCCAGCACATTCTTTAAAAGAAGCAGAAGAAGAGACAGCAGGGGTCTCAAAGTGATAGTACAATAAGAGTTGTGTTAAGACTGTGAATTGTGACGTAACAGATAACTCACCAATTAGCAAAAGCAGCGCGAGACTCCTTAACTCCATCTTTTAACCAAAAAAAAAAAAAAAAAAGGCTTGAATAAAAAGCTTTCTTCTTCTTAAATCTGTTGTTTTTAAGCTTTTCTTCCCGACCTCTGCATTATGTTGAAGCAGGAGCAGAGAAGCGATGCAGCAGCGCGGAGTCCACAGCAGGTATGCAGGCAGGTGTAGTTAGCAGGTGTCTCCTCTTCAAATGTTTCATTAAACAAAAACACAGTCCTCCACTGTTGTCAGCCACTCGTGTGCACTGAATATCGGCTAGTGAAAGTTGTGAGCTGCATATTGAGTTCAAAGAGAAGTCCTCCTCGTCGTCAGCAGAAGAAGAAGAAGACGTAAACAAATAAACGGAAACACCTAAAAGTATGTTCAAGCTAAGACTGAAAAGAGAAAAACAAACCGAGTATTAACCAAACAGAAACCTGTGCCGTTTGTCACGCACAGGCAGAGGCACCCGACCCACAACACAGGTTTGAGCTCTACACCTGTCCTGTCTAAGCCCCGCCCACAGCGGGACTTGTGGATACGCCCACTCCACTGCTGCGTTCACGTGGTTGGGAGAAAGTCGCTTTTTGTTTTTTTCTTCCTACATTTGGCTTTCAAGGAGCATTAGGAGAGCCCAACCAAGTAAAAGATGGAGAAAAGGGATGATAGAGAAAAATACAGATACCTTAAATATAACAAAAACAATGAAGGCAGTTGCGAAAAATGAGGAAGAAAGTTTCAAATTAAAAACGAACCCAGGTAAGACATCCAGCTGTCTAATGAGCTCACATAATCAGCAAATGTGTTAAAACAAATGTAAACAATGATTATAAGCCAACTTGTTAAAACAAAAATAAAGAGAAACACAAAAAAGAAAGGTGAGAAGGATGAGTTAGAGTTAGTCCCTTTTTCTCACAATAAATTAGAGACAACAAACTCCTACAGTGGACTCACCGTTAAAGGCTCATTACGTAAATCTATTTTCAGTGTCCTCTTCTTATAAACACAGAGTCTTGGCTTTTAAAAGTTCTACCAGTGGATACATGTTAAAAAGGTTATTTCAGTTTATAATGTTGAACATTATTGTAAAATGTTCCTTTTTTTTTGCCTTTATTAGATAGGACAGCTGAAGAGAGTCAGGAAATGTTGGGAGGAGAGAGTGCAGCAAAGGGCTGAGGTCGGATTCGCACCCACAGGACCAAAGCCTCTGCACAGGAGGCGAGCTACACAACCGCTAGGCTATACTGCGCCCCTGAACATTATTTTCTATTTAGCTCCTAATTCAGTCATGCTGCTCTGAACCTTCATTCCACTTATGCTGGAGCTGTCATAATTACGATGAACACCCCATTCATGTTGTGTTAATGAGATGTTTACATGAGGTCAACTAAAAAAGCACAGGTATATAAATACAGGACATTAACACTACATCATCACTACATGTGACTACAATACAAAGACACATTTACACCAGTGTTTCCAGAAACACGAGGAATACCTTGAGTCGCTAAGTCTGGGCTGGGTCAGTGACATTATAATGACATTTTCTGAGTTATTTAATCGACACATAACATTTGAACATAACGTTTCTCAGCAGAGCATTAAATGTGGTCACATTATTAAAAACAAACATCGGACTTGCACTCGTCCATCTTGGTAGAAATATTCTGATTGCATCATTATATGCCACCTGCAGCTTTTTCATTTTAGCTTCACTATAATCGCACCACAAGTGGGCAGTATAAAGGGGAGTGCAGCTCAGGTTTAACTTTGTCTGAGCACATTGAAAATTGACATGCCAGCATATTAGCTTGAGCATACAGTTTTAAGTCTTGCTTATAAGACATGAAACAGTTCAGATGTTGTACCAAAGTATTTTCTAGTTATAGAGTAGTCCTATCTAGAAAAGTGTAACTCTATCATATCTAGAAAAAAAAAAAAAAAAGTTCTGCAGATGTTTTGGGCTTCTGTTCTTTTTGCCAGTTTTACAAACAACACTTGATATCAAAGACTTTTAGGTGAGAAAGATTTTATTTTCCAGGAGGGCTCAAACACACGCGGCACACATTTTAATTCATAGTCCTGTACAGTATGATTGTAAAGATATATTTGACATGTCTATTTGTGCCGAACATGTTCAACATATGCTGCATATTTAAAAAAAAAAATTAAATTCTGAGTCCAAAAGAAGTTCCTTCTTAAACAGGGTTTGAAACAGTTTATTCTTAGGTTTTCAGCGTCATGGCGGTGTCCTTTTCCTGATTTAAACACTGAAACTTATTGCTCACATACAAGATCAGTAAGAAAGAAAACACACATGCATGAAAAAGGTTTGAATTAAGTTGATTTGTACCTTGTTTCTAAAAAGAAAGTCAGTGTGTTCAATGGGAATATGTGATAACGGTATGATGATATGATGAGCTTCGGCCTAAACAGAATCAGTTCAGGCTAATGAGGTATATTAAACTGTATGTCACCATCATTTCAGTGTTTCTGGCCTCGTTTTGTTACTCAACTTTGGGAAGTTCTGTTGCGACACACAGCTGGGTGTGTGAGTTTTTCTTGTGTCACTGAACAGCCTCGGGGGAAAACAGATCACAGTCTGAGAGCACGGCGGTTATAAATGTGTTTTGAAGACATTTCCAGAGATGTTTCTGTGTAAGTACAAAGGTGAGACTCTGGGTGAGGAGCAGCTGTCTGTCACACAAGAGGTGAGACAGTGTGATGCCCTCTGGTGCTCTCACCTGGTATAAACAAACATTTCTGACACATTCACTTTTAATTTCATTTATTGTCAGGATGCTAAAACTCTAATTATCAACTCATTTCATTCTGAATTATTGTAACATTTTATAAGGATCATATTTAAAACAAAATGAACAAGTGATGCTTCTTTTTTCTCTTTTCTTTTCTGCTGACAAAACACATTACATGAAAATAGGATTCAAATGTTTTTTAGAGATCCTTTCTTAAAACATGGCTCAGTGATTAAATTCAGTAATCAACATGAAACTTATACAACAAATTCAGCGTGCTTCAAACACTCGAGATGGAAAAACAAGGAAACAATGTCAAGCAAATACAATCAAACATGAATATTTGTAACATTTATTAAACTTTTTATTGACCAATTATCATGGTTAATAACCTCTATAATGTTACTGCTAATACTGCACATTCTTTTACCATTATTAATGACATTGTAGCTCTAAATCTATATCTTAGTCATTGTTGTTGCTGCAACAATCATTATCTCTATCCTTCTCCTTCTTCCTGCTTCTCCCTCTATCTCATCTTTCAAGCCCAGCACAGTTCCTGCAGACGTCTGTTCATCATGAGTCTGGTTCTGCTCGAGGTTTCTGCCTCTTAAAGAAGTTTCTCCTCTCCACTGTAACTTTGCTAAATGTTGCTCAGTGCTCATGATGGATTAAAGTTGGGTCTTTGTAGATAACGTAAGAAAGAGTAAGGTCTTTTATCTGCTCTTTTTGTAAAGCGTCTTGAGATGACATTTGTCATAAATTGGCTCTATAGAATTAAAGATTGATTGATTGATTGATTGATTGATTGATTGATTGATGGGCACATTAAGACCCACATAAATACATCGATTTGGACTTATCACAACAGGTTTGTAAGTACATTTTGTCATTTGATCCTCTAGTTCATCTGAAAAATAATCATGAAACACAAAAGAATGATCAAACCCCTGCAGGTCCAAATGCAGATTTTTGTTTGCTTCATATTGTGATGGATTGAGTTAACTTCAAAACAAAGGAATGATTTTAACCTTTTTTTTTTTCTTCTTTTTTTTTTTAACATTTCAAACCCTAAAAACTTTTGTTCAAAAACATGGATTAAGTCTCACCCCTACGTGGTCGAGCCTTCATACTAGCCGTTTTTCACAGAGCAAACACTTCTTAATTCAACAAAAAGGGAACAAATGAACCGATAAAAACGATAATTTTAGACTTCTGTTTTCTGAGTAAGTTGCGTTACAACGACTTGTGAAACACAAAGCAACGTGGGTCACATAGACGTGGACACAGCCCGTGTCTGTTATATGTTAAATAAAATATGCTTAAGCATTTCTGACATGCAGATTCCTTTTTGTACAAAGAACAGAGAGGAAGAGTTGTGTATATCAACTCTATGCAAACACACACCAAAAGTTAGCAAAAGTATTTTAAAGTATGAAGCTGAAAGAGATTAAATATTCTTTAATTACACGATGGGCTTTTTATCCATTCTGATGGTTTCGTAGAAATCAGAACTCTGAGAGGTCAGGCCCTGCAGGACACGGACACAGAGAGAATAAATAAACACCTCATGTACGGAAAAATTACAAAAAAAATATTTGCAGCATGTATTTGCAGAACTTCTGCTCTGAGGTGTGATTCCTCATCAGGGAGGTGAATAAATACATTTGTTAAGCTGTTACCTTCCCATCATGTGCCTTTTGAAATGTCTTTTTAAGCATCATAAAGAGTCTCACCGCATAGATGCCTTCCTGCACGGGCTTCTTCTGTGGGATGGAAAATGAAATGAAGGTGTTAGTCAGATATAAAATTCACATAGCAGACACTTTTATCCAAAGTGACATTAGAGAGTAGCTTCAAAATAAACAAGGATCTAGAGAGGAGGAAACAACATCAGGAAGTGTAAACAAACACCTCTAAGCTGTTCAGCTGTGACAGCTGTTCTAATCAGCATCAAAACAATCCTGAATATCACCAGTCATTACAAAACAAAAACCATCATCGTCATCATCATCAATATCGTTAAATGCGGAGGTATTCATGAAAGAGCCGGGGGGTCTTTAGCTTTTTCTTAAAGACGCAAAGGGACTCTGCAGATCGAATGGAGTTTTGTAGTTCATTCCACCACCAGGGGACGACAGAGGACCCTGTTGTGAATAATAATAATAATAACTTTATTTATATAGCACCTTTTAAAAACACAGGTTTACAAAGTGCTTTGACAAACAGCAAGAACAAAGCAAACTAAACACAGAAAAACATTAACAACAGTAAGAATATAACAGATGCAAAATACCAAAAATAATTAAAAACAATTCAACAGAAAAGAACCCAAAGTGCACGATACACAACCAGACATATATAACCCAACCATCATAAGAACCATCATAAGAACCCAGGAACACAAGAACCCAACAACATGAGCTGAGACCAAGAGGACCAAAGATTTAAAAAGATGTAAGAAGGTAAGAAGATGTGAAGGTTGGATCAGACGCCTTTCATTGGCAGAGCGTAGAGGGAGTGTAGACCTGGAGGAGAGAACTAACTAACGACCGCTGGGTGTTCTTCTTTCTTCTCAATACAAGTGTATAATATCCTATGACTCTAGTTTTTCACCGAGCTGTTCAGAGTGTTTGTAGAAGGGATTTAATTTGAGTTGTTTTTTTTTACAGGAAGTTGAGTAATACATTTGTTTTTTTCTGTTACACTCCTGAAAGCTGCATTTAGTCTCTTCTATGTTTGCTTAAGAGAAATAACTTAAAAAATGAAATCATGAATCTTAACTATTTACTCCCTTTGACGCTTTATTGTTGAATTGGACGTCACTTTGCATGCATGTTACAGGACAGGATGTGAGACCTGACACATTGCGTGTGAAAATACTCTGTGGAAACTCTTGTGCAGATAAATAATGTAGGTTGGTGGTCAGCTCAAAATTACAGGAAACAGAAGAGTGTTTGGTTTAAGAGAAGTGCTGCTTTTAAGGGTAATGCACCACAAAAATGAAGCCAAAGCAATCAAAAACATTTTAACAAACACATTTTAATTGAATCCTGTAAGTCCTGCTTGGATTTACTACTTAAAAAAACAACTTTAAATTTTTACCTCAGGTTTTTTGACAGCCGCTTTTTGGCATGGACTCATCTGCGTAAAAATAAATCAGGAAAAACTTGAGATTCAAACATGTGTCATGCAGACGTTATTAAAGGAAGGTGATCAGTGATATATCTTAAGCTGGGAAGAATGCAGAAACGTTCAACAGGACATGAAATCAACACGTCACAAAGATTGAAAAATGTCATTTCAAAGTCTAACTAAGGAAATGTTAAAAAAGCATAGAGAGCAAATTTGGTATCACCTTCAACAGAATGATGAATGTTTATTTTACATTTAAGGAAAATTGCCCTGACTCTTTCATGACATTTCCAGCAAAAGTCTTAAAAATATTAAAATCTATTTCTTTGTGTTATAGTCTTTAGGTAAAGTTCATACAACATGTTGGAGTGCGTGTCGTTCCTGTTGGTCTTACCCTCAGTCTGTAGTATAAAACTGTTAAAACGATCCCGTAAAAGATTAGAACCCCATCCAGAATGTAACATACGTTCATGTCGTCAATGGCCTCTGAACACAAATCAAAAAGTCTCCATCATTCACTATGACCATCATCACCTCCAGCAGAACATTTCAAAGTGTTTCTACGATGCATCATCGACCGAAAAAGGTGCGAGAGATTTCAAAGACGTCATCCAACACAACAGCGCACAAAGAAAACATTTGATGCTCCTCACCGACGCAGGTGGGATTGATCAGCAGAAAGGCAGCGATGAGCAGCGCTCGCACCATCTTACCGAGCAGAGATGAGAGGAGGGGGTGCTGGTGGTCTTTTTTCTTGTTCCTTTAGTCAGAGAGATCTCTTCAAAAGAGCATCAGCAGTGAGCTCTGTGATCAAGCAGAGAACAGGAAGTCCGGGACTCTCTGTCCGTTTTTTTTTTTTTAAGCTCTGAAAAACCACATGCCTACCCACAATGCCATTTTCCCCGCACTCAAGTTCCTCTGAAATGCTTCTTCAAAAACTCAACTTTGCTGTGGTGATAAGATCAAGTGAGACGACACTGATAAGAAAAGTAAAAACTGAACACACAGATCACAACATCTTTAAAAAGAGATGAAAACTCTCGACTTCCTCATGTTCTTCCTCATCTCAACAAACACTGCTTTCTTAACTGCCCACACATTTAAAAAAAAAAAAAGGCAACAAAAAGAAGAGCCATAAGGAATAAATGGTTTAATGATGCAAAAATGCCTAGCGCACTATACAAGCTACAGTTACCAAAAAGGAGAAAAAAAAACAAACATACAACACAAATCTACAATTTTTTTTACAAGCCACTTTTGTTTTTAAAAAGTAAAAACATTCGGAAAAATTGCATCATCATAACTTAGGCACGTTCAAAATGATAGAAAACAAGTTATTATAAAAAAGGATCTGAGCCTGAAAGACCTCTAGCATGCACTTTGAAAACAAAACAAACAAACATCTGCTTCCAGATGAAATCATCAGGTCCAGTTTTTGGATATTTCTAGAAATGTAAAGGGATTTTTTTTTTTTTAACTGTAAAGTAAACTCAAACAGTGAGGAGTGTTGTGGCTCAAGTCTCAACGTCAGGCGGGTTTTAGCGGTACAGTAAGTGTTCAGCGAGGAGTCAGCGTGAGGACACTCCGTCGCTGCTCCTCCTCGTGTCGAGAAATAAGGCTGTGTGCGATGGGAGGCAGCGCGGTCTCTTGTGTTTGTTTGAGCTGGTGGCACAAGGCGAGGCGGTGAGACGCTACTGCTGCAGAGGAGCTGCAGTGAGGAGGTACAATCACACGTCTGGTTTGGGATTTGTTTTTTGTTTTTTTTGCAAGAATCCATCAAAATGCAAAAAATAAAACCCATAAAAGTGAGATGATAGTTTGACTAAAGCTGCCAGTTCAAGACTGAAGTTATGAAGGTAGATTGTACAAAGCCGGGGACAGACAAAGACCCTGTTTACACCTGGGATTAACATGTTACCTGGATCATATGATGGCAGACCTCCCCCTTTAACACCTGTGTTTAATACTTCTACATTTCTCTATCCTGATAGCATACAGAAATGTGAGGAGTTTTTAGCTGGTTAAGAAGCAGACTGAAATGACGCCTCGTTATGACCTTTAAAGGCAAACAAGGCCATCAGCACAAAGACCGACCATTTCCTTATTTGTTATTTTAAGCACCTGAAACTGCTGCGTTGGGGTTAGGCGTCAGACACGGCGAGTTACAGAACGCTGCAGAAACATTTTTCACAGAGAATGTTCAAAATGAGGGACACATTTCACTGTTTAAAGAAAGCAGGAGGAGATCTTTTGGGGGTTGGAAAACAATTCTTGTACCTTTATAGGATCAAATACGAAAAAATACAAACAATGTACGGTTATTTCACAAGGGGGCGCCAAAATCAACACAAACCAAAAGCTCCTCACAGGGGCGTTACATTTAAAAAAAAAAAAAGTAATCTTTTGGGCATGAGAATTTTCTAAAAAACATCTTTATCTCAGACATTAAAGGTCGATCCCTGCTGAGAGTTTGAGAACTATGAAAACACAACGGACGCCCGGGACATCGTTTCATCCTTAAAAAATCTGATCAATCTTATATTATTAAAATGTAACATTTGTACGTTTCAACTAATCAAAAGCAAAGATGCATTAGTGGAGAGAGTTGAGCACTGTTTTACACTTCCAAAGGTTGCATGGGTTGGGGAGGGTTAACCCTCATCTCTTAGTCTATTTTCACCTAAATAAGGCCACATGGTCACCACAAAAACATGAGAACCAAATATCTCCTCCCAGATATTATAGATATAGATAAGACCTGAGTTTTGAAACAAACACAAGTTTGACCGCTGGACAGCTCACAATGACAGGAAGTGGTTGTGTTAGGGACACATTTACTCTTAAGATATCTTTTTTCTTTTGAAAAATCCAAACGCAAATCAGTCAAGACCACCTCCAGAGACAATCTAGCCAACCCCAAAGTAGATCTTTCCCGTGTGCATTTACATCTTAGCACATTCTAAGATTCTAAGTTTTCTTATTCTCAAAACCTCTTAAGAAAGGCCAGAAATAAGCCATGAATAGATCTGAGTTTGCTTCTTAAAATCATGCCAGGTAGATGCATTATTTACACCTTAGAATAATAGTATAAATACTGATCACAACTTCAAAAGGAAAGAAAGCATCAAGAGCTGGCCAAGAGACGGTTGGTTTTCTGGTCTTTTCATGTTGTGTGTGTCGCCCTTTAAGAAGATTTCAGAATAACTTAAGTTACACATTTATGTTAACACCAGATGTAAAAGAGGTCTTTGTTTTGTCGTCTTGCTAAAACTGTAAAATGATCGGTAAAAGAGCCAGTGTAGGATAAAACAAAATCTGCATATGTTGACAATCATGAAAGAAAGAAAAAAGACTGGAGTAACAACAACTCAGGAATGTTCTTCCATGTTTCTTTACAGTGAGATAAAAAAAAAAGGTGTTTTTGGCCTTCAGGCCGCAGAAAAGCCTCGTGTTAATGCAACGCACATAATGCTACATTCTGTAAGTAGAAAAACAGTCACACCCTTTAATAGAAAAAGTCCTCAACCTGTCAAAAAAACGTCACACTGACAGGGACCGGAGAGGCAGTGGTACATTAGTGTTGCAGTCTGATCAGGTCTGTTTTTTAAGACACGAGGAAGAGGAAGTGACACGTGTGATGTCACCCCCCCCTCCTCTGGTGTGTGTGTGTGAGTGTGTGTGTTTGTGTGTGTGTGTGTGTTGAGTCAGCACAGTAAAGTAGTCCAGTGGTTACAGCAAAAAGAAAAAAAAAGGCTTAAAGAGAAAAAGTCCCCTTTAGAATTTTTTTTTTTTTTTTTTCTTTTTTTTTTTTACATTGTGTCATAAAGATGTAAAAACACGAAGAGGAAAAAAGTCAAGGCCTCCGTTTGATTCCAGGTTTGGACAATCGTAGAGCTGATCACAGTTTGATATCAGAGCGTCTGTAGAGGAGGACTCACACACTCCTCTCCTTGTATGGGTTTTGTGTCAGAGACATGGTAAAAATGATTCGACTTTAGAGGATCGTCTAGCCTCCACATGTCCTGCCTCATGCGTGAGAAAATTCAAAAAAAAAAAAAAAAAAAGAGGAGCCACCACGTTTTTTTTTTCACACCGATGTCTCCGACTGCAGCCTCATGACGAACTTGTGGCTCTTGGGGTCGATGAACTCCTCCCCGAGCCGCAGGAAAGGAAGCGGTGTCACCGTGACAACCAGGGAGAAGTCGAGGCGTCGCATGGAGAAGACGAGACCCTGACGCAGGGCCGAGGTCACCGGCTCCTCGCTCACTAGAGTCCACTGGCGCCCTCTGTCGTTCTGCTGCTGGTACTGCATGGTCGGTCCGGGGGAGAGGTAGCGCTCCAGGAAAGCCTGACGGGGAGGACGGAGGAGATTTATTACCAAGGAAACACATCAAATCATGTTTGAAATAAAGTGTGTTGCTACAGTGTCAAACTTTATCAAAGATGTTTTCCCCAAAATGCTTTCTTTTCCTTTGTTGGTAAACCCTTGACAACAAATCTAGGTTTTTTTCCCCTCTCACCTTGGGCGTCATGTTGTGTGTGATGCAGAACTGCAGGTGTGTGAGGATGCTCTCCATGCTGTGGAAGGCCTGCTGCCGGGTGGTCCTCAGGTATTTCTGCATGGCGCGCGCCATCGGGGCGAAGATGGCCTGAGCCGCCTCCCTGGGATCCATCACCTCTCTGGGGTGTTTGGGGGACGAGGCGACCTCCTCTTCGTGCAGACGCTTGATGTGCGTGAAGGCCTCTTCCACCGCCACAACCAACCTGGAGGGTGGACAATAAAATCATCTGTGTGGTTATTACTCAGCAGAAACCATCTCAAAAGCAGGGATCATCAGGAGCAAATGTTTACTGCGCTCTGAGGAAAACTCAAACACTGCAGGAAAATAATCAACAATCCCTAAAGTCAGTGAGTTTAATTTAATGCTGACTGGATTTGGGTGTTGAGGATCTTTTACAGGGACATACCCGACAGTAAGAAGGAATTTAAACTGAATTTCTGTCAGTGGTATATTCAATGATTGTTCTGAAACAGCAAGCAAGCGTGTCCCTAGTTGCTTTGCATTTTATACTTTTTATTCTGATCATGTTTTAAATCTTGTCTCCTCCTTGCACTACATACATATGCTATATACAGATTTTAAAAGTTATTATTATTATTATTATCATTATTATAGTTGGGCCTTTGGATAAACAAACAGAGTAAAAATGTACAACATTCGATTAAATAAAAATCCATAGCACTTTATGAGGATATATTAAAATAAAATAAAAACAATATGACAATACAAAACGCTATAAACCAGTTTAAATTACAGTTTTAAGATACTATTTAAAAGTGTGTACAGCTCTCGTTTGCTTTCATCTGATACATTTTGTTTGAGGATGAACTGCTCTCAACCTTCAGGGGCCCCCTACTCTTCAGGGGCCCCGAGCAGTTGCCTGCCTTGCCTGTTGACAAACAGCGCCTCTGACCATATGCATGCTGGCAGCCTGCATGTTCAGTGACACAGACCGACACCTAAGTTCAATATTGAGAGTTCGGACAGTCCAGCGAGGATTTATCTGCACATTTTCATTTAATAACATTTTTTTTTTTTTTTACAGAAGATCCTTCAAAAATGTATTCCTAATGAACTTAAGAGCTGATCATAGGAAGCTTTCTGTTGTATAAAACGACACATGTATCCGTCTTATCGTTTACACTTGAGGCAACACAAAAAGGCGAGAGAGCTAAAGGTCTGTGCTAAGCTAATGATTGCTCAGGTGGTGCACCAGTTAGGCTCATTGTTTGTTATGAAGTGCTGTGATTTAAAAAGTAACTGTTTAACTCTGTTTGTCTGCTGCCAACCGCTGGTCCCACCTATAAGCACACAGGACAAACACTGGTTAATGTGTTAGGCAAGAGGAGAGGCTGAAGGAGCAAAAGGTCAATATCTCTCCTCATACGTGTGCACTGGTGAACAAACTGCATCTTGTAGCAGGTTCTGATGTTGCCATTGTTCTGCCATTACGAGTAAGTGATGCATGCAGTCAAACTGAGTGCATTGGCTTCAGACAAAAAAAAACACATTCTAGTGAGCGTTCAGCCTGTAAACCACCACTTATCTCACGGGTTTCCACGGCCTAAGTGGTGGTAAATCTCCTCTCTGTGCACCGATAAAGACTATTTGTTGTCTGGGATGTCTCAGTTTCATTGTCTGCATGCTGCGAACACCAGTCAGTTCGTCTCCTCCAGTCACACCTCACAATGAACCCCCTTGTTGTCACTTGATATCATGCATGTATAGATGGAGGATTATTTTTCTGACCTGGCTTTACGTTTTCTGACTCTGCGGTCCATCTCAGCTTCCTCGTAGTAAAACTCGTTGTGGGAGTTGTCTCTCCTCCGGGCAGCGGCTGCGATCATCGCCCGGGACTGTCCTGAGGAGTTATTGGTGGTGCTTTCTGAAAATAGAGCAAACACAAGAAGAAGAAATAAGAAGATGAAGTAGTAGAAACGGAGCTACTACTTAACACAAAGTGGTGTAGTTTCAGGTAAATGTATCTATGGTTATGTCACTGCATCTGTCTGTCTGTTAAGTGGTAATGATGATAATGGTTTGCGAAGACGTGCGTCAGAGTCACGACGAGGCCGTAATTACCGTCCAGAGAGTAAACCTTGAAGCCCGTCATCTTCTTGGACAGGATGGATTTGGGCAGGTTGAGCAGAGCCGGGTTGTAGACGGGGAAGTCGTTGTAATAACGGTCCAACACCCAGACAGCTGCCCGCTGGACACTGAAAACACAAGAGGGTCAGTCGTCACTGCAGAGGTGTATCATAAGCTGCACAACGACGCGCTACACACTGACCTGCACATGCATCACATTTTAATCAGTCACGTTAAGTACATGTAACATGTCAATTCTACATAACCTTCTAACAAATGCATCTGCCAATTTTGAGGGTCAACATAAAGTGAAGGATTTCCAATTTCTTCTTCTGTTCTGTTGATGTCACTTCTATGTACTTTACTGCTTTTGTGCTTTTGTTCTTTAGCCCCCCCCCCCATCACCCCAGCATCCACCTGCACGCTCCAGATGGAAGATTTAAGATATTTTCTCCCCCATAATGTCTAATTGTAAGACATATATGCAGGGAATGATGAGGTCAGAGCCTGGATACAAAACTCTAACTATAACAACCACATTTCTGATTCTGATTCTCTGTTACGGCTCTGTGCTGAAGTTCCCATATACGAGTTATCTGACTGTCTAAAAGTGTTGAACAAAGTTTAGTAAAACCTGTTTTTTTTTTTGTTTTTGAAGATTTCTTTTTGGGCTTTTGTGCCTTTATTGGAGAGATAGGACAGTGGATAGAGATGGAAATCATGGAGAGAGAGAGAGAGAGAGTGGGGGTTGGCATGCGGGATAGGAGACACAGGCTGGATTCAAACCTGGGCCGTCTGCTTTGAGGACAATAGCCTCCATATATGGGACGCGCGCACTAACCACTGCACCACTGCACCACCAGCGCCCCGTAAACCCTGTTTGTAGTCTTAAATTTGATGCAGGCAGTTTGGAACCAAATACTAATCCGGATCTTTAAACTGCAATATGACCTCGTAGTGCTCCACTCATTTTATTTACACTTTTCCGCAGCCAGTCTAACTCACCTGAGGTGTCCCACGTTGTAAAACCTGCTGGCCCCGTCCGTGCTCCTGACCACTTTGAGACAGAAGGCGGGCTGCAGGTGTCGCACCTCCAGCAGCACCAGCGCCAGGTACTGAATGAAGAGCAGAGCGTCCACCAGAGAGGCAGCGTACTCCACAATCCCCCTGTAGTCCCTCTCCCGCGGCTCCAGCACGCGCACGCCATAGAACAACCAGTACGACGCCACGAACAGAAACACCAGCACCATCAGCAGGCAGCGGAACACGAAGAAGCGGGGCAGCGTGGCACGAGGCGGGCGGAGGAACAGCGCCCAGGAGGAGATGAGTAACACCAGGAGCTTGAAGGCCAGAGAGACGTAGAGGCCTTCGCACGGCGTCCCGCAGGGCTCGAGGGCGTCCCGCCACAGCACCTGTGGGAGGATGAGGAAGGCCAGAGGTGTGACCAGGGCGAAGAAGCTCAGGCAGCCTCCCAGAGCCGGACCCACGAAGCGTTTGCACTCGAGTGGAGTCGACTCTTCCAAGTCTTTGGTGACGCGGGTCAGGTCCTCGTTAGAGATACTGTGTTCCGACGTGCCGGTGACGACCGTGGTGGTCTCGCCCCAGTTATCATCCTGCCAGACAGAAAAGGTTTAGTAGTTGGTACAGAGTTGGTAAAAGCCAGAGTCCTCAAACAGAGGTCACCGATAAGATGGCCGATTAAAAATAAGTGTTTTTGCTTAAGAGGTCACTGACTGACCCGTTCCTCTCCTCGGGTCGACTCTGCATCCAGCAGCGGCTCTCCAGGAGTCTGAATTGTGACTGATTTGTCTCCACGGCTGCTGCCATCTCTGCTTTTCGAACGGTGACGATCCCTCCGATCTCTGCGCGACAAAAAACAAAACGGCAACATGTGGAGTTAATGAATGTTGAGCGGCGTTAACCTTAACGTTCTTCCTCTGAGAGATATCTTAATGGCGCGCAGCGAGGTTAGTGTGAGCTCTGTGATCTAAAAGGGTCAAAGATCGACGACTCCTTCAAACTGATTGAAATAAACACGGCGGGTTTTTGTAACTTTAGACGCAAATTTAGCTGAAGTCCTGAAAGAAGACGGGTACCTCAAGACGACGACTTGTCTTAAGCTTAGAATTAAAACACCCTAGGTTAAGCATTACATAGCTCAGCTGACCCATCTGTTTTAACCACAGACTGTAAGACATATGGACGTAGTGTCAGTGATGTCACTCATGTTTTCTGAAGAGGCGTTATGAAGCGCAAAGATGGAGGTTGCCATAATGTTGGTTTCTAACTTCAGACTAATCGAGAAACAAGCCAAGTGGTGAAGCCGCTTAGTCCTACTTTCATACCGCTACATGCCTACCAGTCTGTCAGTCAACTCAGCCCGCCCCCAATTATGCAACTGAATGCATCATCAAAAGGGTTGAGTTACAAGATAATCATTCTCTACACAGTTTTTACCAATTAAGAAATTAGCTGAACAGGTTTTAGAACCAGGCTGTAAACATCATCATTCCTTTGTGTGGACACTTGAGGTACTGCAGTTTTTTGCACCTCAGCATTAGCTTAATATTTCCAACACTGAAGGTTTTCTACTTAGTTTTAACAGAGTTCAATTCAATTAGATACAAGGAAAGGTTCTTAAACCATCGAGAAACACTTAGATCCTGCATTTATCTTTAACATCTTTTGGATTCCAAACACATTTTGGACAGCGTGATTTAGACATGATTGAGAAACATTTGGAGAACATACTCAAAAACAGTCTTGAACTCCTGAACACAGAGCTCAAAACTTTGGATTAAAAAGGTACTTCTATGACTGCTGCAAAAAGTTACATTTTTATTTTAGCTCATCTTTTGAGTAATGTTTCTTCAGAGCTACGTTGTGGACTTCCATCATCAAACCTGCCAACAGGACATCAAGTATTAAACCATGGCTGTGTTTTATCTACCTGTGTTTGCGGGAGCTTCTGGAGTGGGAAGACTTGTATGAGTAGCCAGAGTACTGCGACTCGTTGTCCATGTCTCGGGTCGGCGGTGAGCGGGCTTTACGAGCCCCGCCTCCTCCTCCTCCCGCCGTGCTGCGTTGCTCGCCGACTCCTCCCAGCTGGCTCTTGCGCTCGGAGATGGACTTGGTGGAGAGGGCCAGGGGAAGCTTGAGCAGGTCAACCTTACTCCTGAGGGAATCTATCTTGGAGGCCGACGAGCAGGGAGCAGGAGAAGGGGGAGGCGGGAGAGCAGGGGAGGGGGGGGGGGGGAGGGGCTTCAGAGCAGAGGAGAAGAGGGTAGGGAGAGGATGGTGGGCGGGAGATTCACAGCAGGGGAAAGCTGAGGTGGGCTGTAACCTGAAGGAGACGAGGAAAGAGAGACAGGAACGGTCAATACATTAAAAACTTGAGATATTTCTTTTTACACATGAGAAGTGTCAAAGACTTTTCCCATCAGTTATTTTTAGGGCAGCATCTTAAAAGTAATTTCTTCAGTGTCACCTAAAACTGGTAGCAGCTTCCTCTTGGGATGATATCAGTCATGTCACCACCCAAGAAAATGGCATCGCACAACTTTACCCTGAAAATCTCCACTCAAACTTAACAGAGAGTTTTTCCTTTTCTTTAAGGTTATTTTTGAGCCTTAACCTTTATAAGTTAGGACAGCTGAAGAGAGACAGAAAACGCTGGAGAGGGGAGAGTGGGGGGGATGACACGCAGCAAAGGGCCGAGGTCAGATTCAAACCCGAGGCTGCTGCGGTGAGTTTAGCCTCCATACAGTAACCACTAGGCCATCAGCGCCCCAGCAAACACTCTTTTCATTAAACAGTAAACAAGTCATCTCTGATAAGATTACCACAAATCAAAAGGCATTCAAATAAGGATGACAAATCAATCCATCTAACAATATAAACCTGACCACTACCAAACTAAAGAGATGTAAAGTTTGTTATGAAATGATTCTCAATCAATCAAATGGATTTAAGTAGAAAATGTAAAAAAAAAAAAAAAAAACATGAGTTAAGTACGGTGTTCAATCTTTATAGCGCCAATTCATAACAAATGTTATCTCGAGACACTTCACAAAAAGCAGGAAAAGAACTTACTCTTTGTTATGTTATCTACAAAGACCAAACTTTAATCCACCATGAGCACTGAGCAACATTTTGCAAAGTTAAATGATGTTTTTCTCTCTATTGTAAGAGGCAGAAACCTCGAGCAGAACCAGACTCATGATGAACAGACGTCTGCAGGAACTGTGCTGGGCTTGAAAAGTGGGATAGAGGGAGAAGCAGGAAGGTGATTTGGATTGTTTTGGGCCAATAATAATGATCAATTCTTTATTGTTTCTCAAAGTGGATATGATTACAGATAGTTTAATTTTTCTTAACTTAAAAATAAGTTCTTTACATGTCGTTTCTGCAGACCTGAAGGTTCAAAATGCTACCATGTAGTGAGCAAAGAGGGATGAATTCATATCACGAGGCTCTCTGGACCTTTGTGAATCATTTACTGCTGAATGGAATACGGCGTTCAAACTGTTACCCACACCTACGAGCTGTATTTCTAGTTCATACAAAATCTCTTTCTGATCTGTTTTGTTTTAAAAAACATTGATGACATCATGTAGGTGCATAATAAACATCATGTAGCTGTGATGAACTAATACCAGGCAGATACATGACGCATTTCTTCCACATATTACGTCTTTTTCCAACTTTTGGTGGAAAACTTAAATATAAAATCTATTTATTGAAAAAGAGAGGAAAGCAGCATTTGAGGTGGGCAGCAAAAACAAGCCTGCTCTTCATTTCTCCTCTAAAAACTTGGTTAAATAGCGCTGTATTTATTTCTGTCCTGTGTGTTATGTTAAGAGTTAATGCATCATAATAATCCCCCAGGTATGAAAATGGTCTACATTAGAAATACCTGGGAAGTAAAGAGTCCCGTGAAGACTTTGTGTATCAGGTTCAGGGGGCGTAGCAGCCAAAACGAGTTTAATTGTGCTCATGTGAAGTGAACTGACCCTTTGAATTAAGAGTCCATGTATGATGTGATCGACACGCTGAGCTCTGAGACCCATCAGCTGAATGATCTAACACACATTAACCTCTTAATCTGAGTCTTTAGTTTCCCTCTCCGTGTTCGTATATCACATCTTCCAGGTCTCCGCCGAGGTTAATCATCACACGACTGTATCTCCTCTCACAGAGGAGCCAGCTCTAGCCGCCGTTAGCTCTGACACAATGGCGGCCATATTGGATTACTGTGTTTTCACAAAACTTGTTTGCCCTCTCCCTCCCTCTCGTCGTCTCACATTCCCTCCCGCACTCCCTCCGTCCCCTGGGAAACGGGGGCCTCTCCGCTGCCATGGCGATGAAAGAGGGTGTTCAGCTGGAGGGGGATTGGAGGTTGACAGTTTCCTTGGAAACCTGACCTTACGCCGCCCTCTGCCACTCCGTTCTCCACGCTGCAGGAAGAAAAAAAAGAAAAAAATCGCCAAAATAGAGGTGCTGGCATGACGGACGTCGGACTGTCATATGGTGGTTAATTGATAAAAGGTGGGTGAGGCTCGCGGGCTTTGATTGGACCGCTGTGGGAAATGGAGAGGGACGTTTGTTGCCACCGCTGTCCTACAGGGTCCTGCTTTTACTTGATGTGGTTTTTCTGCTCCAGCACCACCATTGTGTTTAAAAAATCCACTTCCCTTCAGGCCAAATACTGTCCAACAACTGATCTGTCTGTGGGACTTCTGTGAGTTTGTCCATGTCAGATTCTTTGTGCACGCCTTTTGTTTGACTGTCTTTCATTGCCATCTTGTTCCAGAAAAGGAAGAACCAATAAAACCACTAAGTTTTTCCAGACTACAGAAGCTTTAAGATCCCTGCAGAGATCTGCGAAACCCTCATCAGCATGCCTTTTTGTAAAACCACAGAACTCAAGTAACCAACAGCCTCTTCCTTGTGCATCATCCAAAAAGCTTTTTTATCTTCAGTAATGGCCGAGGAATCAGCATCTTAAATACAGAGTCGTGCTGTGCTGTTGTTCTGTATAAATGCAGGAAAGTCGTGCTCCATCCCTACCACATGCTATCTCTACAACAGAGAGGAATCTGCCCTTTAAATGTCACACAACATGAGCAAACACATGTTTTAGATATCGCTGCATGACGTTCATACTGAGAGACGCACATAAAAAAGAAAGTCCAGATTCAAGACCTGTCCTTCTCTCGTGCTTTGAGGTATACCTGGTGAATAGATACTCATGGAGAAGAAGATAAAAGCAGAGCAACAGACCATATCTTTTCTGACTGGCAGTAAACTGAGTCTAAACTGGGATTTTTTTAAAATCTAATGAATGCTGAAGGAACTTGCCCTTGTAGTAAGAGAAACTTTCCCAAAAATAACAATCTGTATTCATTACTGGCCTGCATGTTAAGCCCGTCACCTCGTAAAAATAACAATTACACGCGATGCTTCCCATTCTGCAAGAGGAGTTATTATCATACTGCAAGAGGAGTCATGCTGAGAATGAAAGACAGCAGGCGCTGATTGTGTAAACAAACAGCGGATTTATAGAAATGCATTTCTGACTAATGCAAGAGAAATTAAAGAAAAAAGCATCAAATGTTTCAAGGACACAAACAGGGAGACATTTCCTGCATTAGCAGCCAAAAGACATTCAGGACCCAAGGGCCTGAAAGAGAACCTTACAAAGAACCTTAAGTAAAAGTATTATGATGGAGCAATCCGGACATGTTGGGAAAAGCAAATACTGTGACGACGATTAGAGATTGTCTTAAACTCAAACGGGTGACATCATCGCTGTAGATGATCAGATATGTGGACAGTGGAGTCGGAAAACTGGGGAGAAAGAGAGTGGGGGACAACAGGTGGGAAAGGAGACACAGGCCGGATTTGAATCTTGACCCGCCTGCTTGGAGGACTTTAGACTGTGTACGTGGGGGTGCGCACACTAACCACTAGGCTACCTTCGACCCCTGCATCCCTCTTTTAATGAAATATCTTAATATCTATATAAAAGATGTTTGGACAAAAACTTGAGCTTCATGATTTTATGACCGACCTTTTAAGTGTTTTATAGATCAAAGGAATCAGATTAAATTATGTTGGATGATTAGTTAATGAAAAAACGTAAGTATTACAACCTGATTATGTAACACAATAACTGAAAGTCATGATCTCTTGCTACGAGCGTGTTGTTGTGATATGAAAAGGTAACAAACAAACCAAAAGGGTGAACACTGAATTAACTTCCCAGAAAAGCAAATATAGTGACTTTACGACACAGCTGTTAATTATATGATAATTATGCAGATGTTTTTTAAGCTAAACAAACTGCATGACTGCAATGCATTATGGGCTTTAGAGGATACTGTGGATTAAGAAAGTTTGGCTCTTTCTGTCTGTGTGAAAGCTAGTTGAAGTTAAAAAAAAAAAAAAAGCGGCTTCACCAAGAAGGAGTGATGCCAACATGATGTCACAGCACCTCTGTTTGACCTGTAATTCACATAATGGGACACATATGGTACAGAAAGCGCTGGAACATGAGGGCGGTCTTCTTGAGTACAGGCTACACTCAAAAGAAACAAAAGCTTGAAAAGAGCAGAGACACTGGTTTGTAGTTTTATAGCCATACATAAGAGGGGAGGACCTCGAATCTGTACCACAAGCTGCCACGTTTAAGGACAATCCCTTACATTCTTCTCTTAATGATAAATCCTCTCTCATGGTCTTATGTGGGTCCACTTATCATCTGTTTCAGCTGTGATTGCTTCCAGAGTGAATGCTGGCTGGATTTTGATTTTTCTTCTTCTCTTTTTTTGTTTATTTTAAACACAATTTTGCCGACGTGTTCCACCATTTCCCAATCAAAGGTTCATTTCCAATAATAATAACTGTTATTTAGCAAAACCACCGTGTCCTGCGACTCTAGAGGAGGCTTCTCAAATCTGACAAATATAACCCGGATGATGTCACAGCGCTTTTCTCAATGTTCGCCTAACAAAGAAAAAACACACTTAAGAGACGGTCTTCCTCATAAAGTGGAGGCTGATAATTGTAAGGACATGGGTGTTTACAAGGCAGGAAGAGTTTTATTGAAGACCCTGTTCTGTTGCATTGTGGGAAATATAGGATCCAATGTTTCTGGAGCTTTAGCCTCGACGACTGCTTTCATTTTTCTGACACTGTTTTTAAAATCTGTCTCTAGAAAACAACTTCACCAACAGGTAGA